AGACTTGTAGCATGCTTGCGATATTGTATCCCTTGATGTCATTTTGCTGGTGTGTGTATAATATATTATCATACGGTATATTATCATAAAATGCCATAAAATTTTGGTCCGACTTTGCAAAGTTCATCTATAAAAAGCACCTCCTCCCCGATTTCGTGATGCGCATACTGATACCTAAATGCGCATTCCTCCTGATATGCACGGTGTGTTTCTGTGACCCTCTTGACGCCAGTGACATAGTATAGAGGTACCTGTTCTGCCCGCTTGTATTTGTCGTCAAACTTCTTTATACTGTAGTCTAGCACTAGTAATATAATGCTATATACCCGTATCTATTGTTGAAGTCCTACGTGTACAAGGAACACCCACTAAGTATGTAGCATCACACACGGGACGAGCATGAAGCTTGAAGTTCCAATGATGCATCACACATCTGACCGTACTTCTTAATTTTACGAAGTCCGTAGCGCCCATTCAGTGATGCATCATGTACTACCTCGAACTATCATGATACAAAAGACAAGTTATTTATTCAAGGTCACAGAGCACGGCGGTACAAGATATTATCAAGATATTAAGGACAACTATCAAGAAACTAAGAACACTACAGCAGTAACATTATGTGAGCTACAGTGCAAGAAGATACATGTATAGAGGGATGCAGTGATCTGGTCGCACGAGGACTAGGCCTTTGCCCGCTTTTTCCTGCAGTGCCGTCAGTATATGCAGAAACCAGAGATGAGTTGGGTGACATACTTGGAAGCGCCCGCACTAGCAGGTTTGTTCTGTGCAGGTCGTTTCAACGAAGGCTGCGCCCCTGCAGACAAGCCAACATCAGTTCCAATTGCGTCCGCCAGCTCATTGCGCCGGGACTTGATTGGGACGCGCTTGGATGTACGTCCCCCAGTGTTCGCGGAGTCACTCGTCAAGTTGGCACTGCCTGGAGCCGTGTTACTTGATGGACTCAACTTAGCTGATGTGGGTTCGCCAGATGGCTGGGAGGCAGTACATTTGCCAGCGCGGGCTTTGGCCTTTGGGGCAGCCTTGGGCTTTGGGGCAGCCTTGGGCTTCTTGGACTTGGGGGCAATTGACTCTGCGGTGACAGCTTCCACACCGGGCTCGGTGGAGGGGTCGATAGATTTATCGGATGTACCCTCAGTAGTAGGATAAGGCAGTATTGGGAGTGGCTGAGTGGGATGGGGCAGTACTGGGAGCGAGTCGATACTAGTTCCAGGCAGTACTGGGAGCGAGCCCATACTAGTTCCAGGCAAGACACTGGTACGTTGTGCTCGTAGCCACTCGGCGGTGTTCGGGGATGCGTGGTACATCGGATCGTTCCAATTCATATTGTGCAATGCCTCAGTGAATGAGAAGTTGGAGGTTGACATTGAGGGTGAATAGACTGGCGTGAACGCATCGGCAGCCACGTGAGGCGCATAGCCAGACATGAAAGACTGGGGAACTGAATTGCTGGGGATGTTGGGGGCGTAGACTGGCATGAAAGAATTGGGAGCCACATTGCTGGACACAGAGGGTGCGTAGACTGGTGGTGAATTGGCAGTTGGGACGAGGAAGCCATTATAGTTAGCCATGTGCGACGGCAAAGGATATGCTGATGACTGGAACGATCCATCAGACACTGGCGCGGTACCAACCCCGGCTGACAATGTGTGAGCACTAGTATTAGACTACGACGTATAGCATTAATAGAGAATAATTGCGCGATAAAGTTAAGGCACTTACCGACAGGTTGGTTGCATCCATCATTCCCGCGCCTGATGCATCCATCATTCCCACGCCTGATGCATCCATCATTCCCGCGCCTGATGCATAACTCAACGATGCATCATCATCAGGCGATGTCAGCGAGGAGCCTTCTGATTCATCTCATGCATCAGCTACTGAACCACATATAAAGGCTGATCTACTCACCATTATCCATCATCCCAGCACTCCCATCTTCAGAGCCAACTTCCTGCTCTACCGCTTTGGTCTCATCATGCCCTTTGGGCTCCTCCTCATCAACCATCTCGAATGCCTCATCGCACTCTCCGTGCTCCCCATCATCAGGGTCTGTTTGTGACACCCCCCCATCGTCGTCCCCTACAGTGAACACGGGCTTCCGCTTATCGGAGGCTGGAACGATACAAAGAAAGTGAGTCGACTAGCCACTGGTTGAGAAAAAAACTCACGGAATATCAACTCTGCATAATGTTGAAAAGCCTGCAGGAACTCCCTATCCGCCGTCTGGTATAACTGTGCAAAGTTCTTCCCTTGTGGGGTTTCAGAAGGATGACACCTTTAATACGTGAGTCAGTGTGAATCTCGAAATAGTATCTGTGACTCACGATAGCGATGTCATATCCCAGTCACTTCTCGGGTCTGGGCCGGCGAACATGCAGGACATAATGAAACCCGTCTTCTTCTTGACGAGGTGCGCAAATCGCCGGCATATAATCGGTAAGTCATCTATACCCCTACATGTTGTACATTAGCTGTTGAATCTGTGATAGAATCAATCCGAACATGTACCGTATGATTCCCTCTGCATCAAGCATGCAGTCATCCTCGTCGTCGTCCAACTTATCGTGAGTTTTCCGCTGCTGCTGTTTGTACATTTCGTGGATCTGAGCTTTGACGTCCTCCTCTTCATCATCCAGCAACTCTTTGGAGAATTTACGACTCAGTGCGATGCGTCCACCTGAAGTTACGTGCCCGGCCTCTTCCTCGGCCTTCACTAATGGCTTGATGCGCTCGTCATAATAGATATCGGAGTATATCTCGGCCTCGGACTTGGCACGTCTTTTTGGCTGTAATGCATCATCGAAGACCGTTGATTGCTTTTTCAGGCTGCGATTTTTCTTGGAAGCGTTCGCACGCCAGCGAAACCAAGTCCGCAGTTGCTAGAATTTATGGTACGTCAGGATATGGTGTTGCACCCATTATAGACAAGCTTACTGATTTCCGCTTGGCTTTAGCTGTGTCCAGTGCTGCCTTTTGCTCTGCCGAAAGAGTATCAGCGGGAATGTCGGGAAAGGTGACCGCTTCTTCAGGGAACTGCTTAAACCATTCTACGTGCAAAACAGGCCAGAAGTGAGAGTAGTCCTTGTCTTTCAGGTGCTCGGTCATATATTGTGGCAGGCGTTCTTGAAGCCATTCTGCCTGTTCCGTTGTGGTCCATCGTGACGCAGGCATCTAGTCGGTGTGTTAGTCCTTGTAAGTTTAATAAAATAACGAAATGGTCATACGCTGTCGTACGTCTAATGGTCGTACGCTGTCGTACGTCTAATGAGGTCACTGCAAATTAAAAGGTGCACACTATGGCCGCAGAATGAATGACCCCTCATAGCGGCCATGTATAAACTATATGTAGGTGAGATTGTCACATTCGCTATCTCACGCACAGGCCAAACGTTTGGTGATTCGCCATCTCGAACAGTACAGCGAGTAACTTGAAGGGGCGGGCACTTCGTCAATAGCTAAGATTGAAGCTCGAAGTACTACCCCGAGGCAAGTGACAATTTTAAGTAATTGATCGTAAGTAATTGATCGATCGATCGTGTCTAAATTTATCCACTCCCCCCTGCCTCAACATTACTCCCCACACCCTCGACATCGAGCTCATCGGCTGCAATGTCCAAATTTACAAAGGCCTCTTCGACCTGCAAGACCATTGTGTGATCGTGCACGGACACTATAGTGAATGGGACATATCCTGCTAGGGCATCAGTATGCAGGGTTCTTTGGTTACGGAACCAATTCTGAAGGCGCTATGATGATTGAGTGGTCAGCTTGTTGCAATGCGAACGTTAGTGAGGTACTCACACGTTTCCTCGTCGCTACAGCCTTGACCACCGCTTGCCTCTGCTCTTCAGTGAAATCCTGGGGTGCGGACCCATCAGGGAATAAGACCTCATGCTCTGGCCAACAAGTGAAGAAGATCTCAAATAAGGAGGTCCAGAAATTGACAAGATCATTGTGCTCGTCGCAGTACCTGTACATGTCTATCTGGTTATCCAACCAGTAGCGTTGTTCGGCTGAGAAATATTGTACCGGCATGCTAACGTTGAATGAACGTTGGGTGAGTTGAAGGGGGTGAGTTGAAGGAGATGAACTTGAACTTTGTAGTACTATTTTTGTACTCCGCCATTGCGGACTCCATGATTGTCGCCAGAACGTATGGTTTAGTTCTGCGAAACATGTGAGAATCTGAAATACATACCTCAATACTTACTAGCTAGTAAGAATGAACGACTCGTAATTGCAAGCCTGAAGGCTTTTGAACCGAGAGATCGTGGCAACGGATTGCACTTGATGCCATGTCTAAGATACAGCTACTACTAAGTGCTCAGCTCAGGTAACAAGACCCGGCTGGTTTGAAAATTGTCGATGTCAGTGCCCAAGGGTTGATACTGACCAGTAACAGCCTGCCAATGCCTAAGTTAGTACTGTTCGTTCAATCGAAGTGGTCGTAGCAACATGATGGTGGGGGCGCTCGATTTATATGAGGACCACCCATTTGCTGCGATGCGAGGGCGGCTTTCATTATTTGAAACCTTTGTTCGAATGCCTCGTTAGCCTTTTGTACTTGGTTATACATGCTCTTTAGAGTATGAAGACCGATTATGACTTGTGGTGACCCCATTGGAAAACGAGCCCTCTGATGTGCCACCGTTAACACCTGCTCAGGTGCCATGTTGAAGATACGGCTACTACTGATAAGTACTCAGCTTCATATGAGACCCGACTGGTCCGAAAATGCAAAGTTGTTAATATCAGTGCCCGAGGGTCGATGCTGACCAGTAAGGGACACCCACCGATCAATACTAAGTGAGCGTTAGTATGCTTGTTCGATGAATAAAGGTGCAGTCCTGCTCTGCCAGTCCACGATGAGTTGAAGTCGGGTACACCTCCAGTTATTTTCTTACTATGTCTGTACTCCCTTGAAGTTTCCATTTGCAAGCAACAATGTGAGTTTCTATTGCACTCTTTATGCTTAAGGAAACACTTGTTCGTGCTCTGCAGCAGTGCAGTATGTTGTTAGATGTAGTAAAACTCCTATAAAACTCCCAACAACAAAGCGTTCAACTCTTTGGATTCAACTAATATACATTATCTTCTAGCTCGACAACTCTACGTGACTATGTGAGACTATGCGAAACTGGTCATACTAAGTAATGACCTTTACTACGTGAGTATGTCGACGATTCAGCGCCGCATGCAAGACCTTACCAGCACAACCAGTTCCTGTCCCAAAGTCCTTCAAGCTATGTTGCACAATTGCTAGGTATGTTACAGTATGCAATATACGCAATGACTATCATGGTATCAATGTTTCCCGACACTGCGCCACCACAGTCATTCAACACTTACACCAAATCATTATCAAACTTGAACATAGCCTGACATTCATGCCCTCAAGACCCTCTTGTATTGTACAGAACTCGTCTCCCCTATGTGTCGTCTTCAGATCCATCTAACCGGTGTTAGTACTCTGGCCTGGGTCTATAATCCAGTCCCTGATTCACAGGTACGACATCTCTTCTGGAACTGCTTGATTAATTAGCGGATCACTTCCAGCAGTCGACGGCGACTTCAACCAATGAGTATAGCGTGCTGCGCTTCCTCCGTGCTCATCGCTGGTTGAGTTTCTGAGTTCGCCGTGGACATATTTGATTCTCAGCAAGATTTTCATTGGTGGAACAGCAGTTGACGGCGACTTCAACCAATGAGTATAGCGTGCTGTGCTTCCTCCGTGCTCATCGCTGGTTGAATTTCTGAGTTTGCCCGTGGACATATTTGATTCTCAGCAAGATTTTCATTGGTGGAACCAGCGGTACATGGTACATAGAGTAGGTACAAGCAAAAAAACGTCAAAAATGTGTCAAGTTTGAGAGTCGCACATTGTCCACTTAAGGAAGCCACTGTGCTTCTCCGAGATCTATCGCATCAAGCATGCGAATCAGACCATCATACAGTGACTTGCAGCGGCTGAAAGAGGAGCAGCTAACGCCAAGCACATATGGGGATGTGCGTTGCCTGAAAGAGAATCAGAGCAGGAACATGGAACCAATGAAAATACGCACCATGTCTCGAAGACACCTACCCGGGAACCACGGGTGATGAGGTAGAATGGACCAAGGGCCGCAGCACGCGGGACATCAAATGCGAATCCACGATAATGCTGCTGTCCCCTTGTCTCACCATTGACGACGACCTCAGTCAGCGGGAGATGCGGAAAACCATAGAAGCCGGAGCGTGCTGTTGGGGTAGGATGGTTCACCACAGCAGGAAGTGCAGCAGCCTGGACGATGACAGCGGGAGGTTCCACGGCGGGAGCTGGCTGCACAGCAGGACATGTAGCAGCCTGGACAATGACAGTGGGAGGTGCCATGACTGGGACAACGGCAGCGGGAGCTGGCTGCACGGCAGGAAGTGTAGCGGCCTGGACAGTGGGAGTGGGAGGTGCCACGACTGGGACAACGACAGTGGGAGCTGGCTGCACGGCAGGAAGTGCAGCAGCCTGTATCTGGTCAGTGATTACATCAATAATTGATTGTGCGTCATCATGCGACAATGTCAACGATGACAACAGTTGCAATACAACATCTGAAAAATATATGGATTACTGAAGTATTTTGAGTAAGCGACAGGCAAAAACGCACCTAGGCTGCTTTGAGTGTCGTCATTGGATGGGTTGGTGGTGGTGGTGGCCATTGTTGGGAAGTCAAATGAGTGAGATACGGCTATACAGTACAGAAGATAAATACTCACCCACTGGAACTTCGACCAAGGATGATGACCACGATATCGATGGAGAATCACCTGCATGATGCCAACTTACGTTTGAACTTTGAAGGTCGTTTAGTTGTTTGAGGTTGTTTATTTGAAATGTTGTCCAGAATGTGGTACGGAACTGGCCGGTACAGTATTTCGAAATTTTGATCGATCGATCGCTTCATCATGGACTCCTCGACTTCATCGCACATCATATGCACACCAGAGTTGCGTCGAGAATTGTTACCAATTGTTGCGAGGGCTAAGAAGCGGCAGAAAAGGCCGACCCTCAATTCTTACTCACGTCCCAAGCCTTCAGGCCTCAAGCAGCGACAACACATGGAGTATCAAGTTCACGGAGATGGCTCTATAAGCTATACACGAAAATATGTTCAACCTCCAACAAACGCTCAGCCACCCCCGCGACCTGATCCGCCTGCGCACATTCAACAAAATGACTCTGCCATGCTATTCAGTGAAGATTCGCACGATCTATCATGGGACGCCGATGATGGTGCTCAACGTCTGGGGAGACAGCGTAGGATAGGAGTAAGTCGATAAACTGACAGAATCACACTGTTGTTGCCACTGACATCATTCAGGATCATCCGTTGCTAATGTGGCTCAAGCATCGTACCCTGTTCCTTCAGGAGATGTTACGACTCGAAGGACGAGGTGACCTTAGTGCAGAGCCCTGTTCCGGTTGTGGTAATCCACATCCAGAATATCGATGTGAAGATTGTTTCGGGACTGAACTCCGTTGTTCCTCTTGCACGGTGATGGTGCACAAGGATCACCCATTACACCGGTTGCAGGTAGGTGCCAATTACTCAATAATTTAGGGTACGAACTAACTAGAACATACTACAGAAATGGAACGGTGAATATTTCGAATTTGCAAGCCTGAAGAGCCTTGGTCTCCGGATTCAGCTCGGTCACGCACTAGGCCATACCTGTCCCAAACCGCGTCGCGCGTTCGATGATGACTTCGTCATTATAGATTCTCATGGCGTGCACGAAGTATTGTTAGATTTTTGTGACTGCGCTCTGGCAACAACCCACGTACAACAACTGCTGCGCATGTCACTGTTCCCTGCAACTACTGCAGACCCCAAAACGGCTGCTACGTTTCGTCTGTTAGAAGAATTTCACCTCTTGTCTTTGGAATCAAAAGTGTCGGGCTATGAGTTTTATTACGCCCTAATGCGGAGGTCTGATAACACAGGGATCAATCCTATTAAAGTGGGTCCTATTCCTATCCTAACGCTTTGTAGGGACATTGGCTTATTTCCCTTTAGGATCGATATGACTCATTCTTGAGAATGGTACGCGAATGGCGTCACCTCAAAATGCTCAAGCGATCTGGGAGAGCGCACGATCCCAACGGCATTAATGCGACGGCGGAGGGTGCATGCGCTGTTATATGTCCAGCCTGCCCACATCCTGAGAAGAACCTACCGTCCAACTGGAGAGAGGCCCCTCCTGACAAAAGCTGGTTGTATGGCCTATTTGTGGCCATCGACGCGAACTTCCGGCTGAAACGGAGAGTCGTGTCGAAAGATAGCGTGGACCCTAGCCTTAGTAATGGCTGGGGGTACTTTGTCGAGGAAAGTGCGTACAAGGCCTTCCTGAACGATAAATCCGATGTTAGCCAAGAGGTGAGTTTTTTTTGTAGTCGTTATTTTCTATAGTGATACCCTATTAAACAGAAGTCCACCTGCTCGAGCCATAACGCTGTAAATATGGCGGATACTAAATCAAATCGTGGCCTGGCAGCTACAGGGCTCGGAACCATTGATTGCGCCCGCCACAACATGAAGTTACCGACGGCAGTTGGGGACCTCCAAAAAGGAGAAAAGTAAGTTTGTTACGCTTCAGACTCAGACGCATCGAATTAACTACATCTAGGTACATAAATATGGATTATTTGTTTTTCTCGGCCCTTCGCCATACAACTGTCGATATTCTCAACATCTCGTACGACATTGCTTGCCAGTGGAATAAGAATCTATGGCACCGCATGACGTCGTTTCCCCCTTCCATGCAGCTGAACCACAACAACAAGAAAATCACATTCTTTGTCCCCAAATTCCATCTGCCGGCTCATATTCAACAGTGTCAAACGACGTTTTCATTCAATTTTACGCCCGGTGTTGGACGGACGGACGGAGAAGCCCCTGAGCGGGGGTGGGCTAATATCAACCCCGTAGCGTCGAGCACCAAAGAGATGGGCCCAGGCGCGAGACGGGACACGCTGGATGATTTCTTTGGGGATTGGAATTGGAGGAAGATTACTAATCTACGTAAGTTATTTTTACAGCGAGAGGCGCTGCATAATGATGCATCACTAATGCACGAATAGGTCACACGATGTTGCGCAAGATGAAAGATGCCTTGCCCGAATTATCGGAACATGAAGCGGCTCTGGACGACCTCGAAGAAGGGCTGAAAGAAGAATACTCGGAAGCGTTGAGCAGGTGGAAAGAGGAGATCGAGGCATGGGAGCAGGATCCCTCCCAGCCGAACCCATACGAACGAAGCGTGGAACGTGAGTACCGTGTTATTCGTGCGTAGTATCTAATGTCACATCACACAGGTATCACCCTTGCCTCCGTGCGTCTCGAACTCGCAAAAGAGGAGGCATCGGAAATAGAAACTGATGGCTCCCGTGCGCTGCATGAAGATTGCTCACCTAGTACGCTGATTAGCAGTGGACTCGAACTCGAAGAACAACAGTAAGTGATATCGATATTCGGCTGAATGAATATTTACTAACTAAATGCTTCAGACGGCGTCTTGCTGCTGACAAGGCAGGTCTGGGCATTCATGCCACAGATACCCAAGTAGGAAGGCTTCTTCAACGCAGCAACAGTCTTCAGCGCCGGATCGAGTCTTGGGTCAAAGTTCAAGAATTGTACATCCCAATGGTCGCCGCCCTACGACGAGACAAGTCCAACGATGTCATCACACCCGAATCTTTCCAGCTTTTGCTTCCTTCTCATGTCGGCGGAACCGCCACTTATGACCTCAAATTCCAGACCATTGAGTGGAAACTTCGATATGGAGAAGCCCACGATACCCTCCGCTCCCTACGCTCTAATCTCCGTGCGCAAACTGCTGTCCTAAAGTACAAGGACCGGAACCTCCGTGGTCAAGGTGCTAACACCAGAGCACGTAACACACTCAAAGGGATCGATGGAAGGATCGAGGCAGCATCAAGCCGATATCAGGATGCACGCAAGGCGCTGGTAGTTCTCGCTCCCCTCGTCAAGGAGACAGGCTGGCAGTCCTCTCTGCGCCCGCTCAATCGTGAAGATATCCGGGGAATGTCAGATCTTCTGTGGGGCCAGACTGAGGGAAGGCGTAAGTTGTCTTGGATTTGGAATATGCGGGGCGCACATGGAGATGAGTTGGGCAACGACGGATCTATGGAAGGTATGTGCACTTACGGTCTCATTACTCCACCCCATCTCACTTCAGCGCACATCTTCCAGACATGAAAATCGAGTGGTGCAAAGCCAGGGCGCGTGCAATGCGGTGGAAGGAGGAGGTTGAGTTGTTACGGGAGGAGATGCGGAGGATCTTACAATTCTTCGACTGGCAAGCCACGTCTTGGGACGAGCGCGCGAATCAGAGCTGGTCCGAGGGTCCTGCAGAAAGAGAAGGCAAGATCGCATATGCTCAGCGCCAAGCAGCTTTGCGTCGTGCACTATCAGTCGCATGTCGTTCCAGTTGGGAAGACACATGCGCATTCATAGACCACTCCACGCTGATCTGAATTCTCTCAGTCTGGGACATCCTTAACGAGTTTATATCCATTTGGCATGTGTAATGTACAGTATCGTAGCTACGCAATTGAATATACAATGTATCCGTTGAAGGGGAGGGAGGATACAAAGAGTGGGAGGGATGCATCAACGATGGGCGGGAGGGATGCATCAACGAAGAGCGGGAGGGATGCATCAACGAAGAGCGGGAGGGATGCATTAACGACGGGCGGGAGGATGCATCAACGAAGAGCGGGAGGGATGCATCAACGAAGAGCGGGAGGGATGCACGCATGGATGCATCAATGCAGGGCGGGAGGGACATGCATGGATGCATCAATGCAGGGCGGGAGGGATGCATCAATGTAGGGTGGGAGGGATGCATCAACGAGAGGTGGGAGATGCATCATTAAGCAGCAGGGGGATGCATTAATTGAAGGGAGGGGATGCATTAATTAGTAGCAGGGGGATGCATTAATTGAAGGGAGGGATGCATTACATTACTGGGGGGGGCACGCATCACACATGTGTTAGGACTGTAGCGTTGTTGCATCAAAGTAGCGTTACAGTTGTAAGGATTCATGCATAAGTTTGACAGGAACCTGTGATCAGGAGATGCCGAATCGATAATGGACAAAGATAAAGTAGCCCCAGTTCACGGTGGGACGCGTGGTGTCTTCCTTCTTCCAGTAAATGTTCATTAGTACTCAACCCAACTTCCCTCAGTGGCTCCAAGTCGTGGGGACAGTGGAATCGGGAAGGGACCTTCGAGACTGTATTGCGTGCGTGAAGCTATTAATGGAGCGCAGCCCAAGATTAGCTCACAACACCTATCAACGGCCTTACAGTTGGAGCAATTCAGTCCCTTCTCCCCACATACACGTCCACTAGTGCAGTTCCAACTCTTCCGCCTCCCACCTTCTCTCCCGAGTCCTTCTCCATCGGTCAACGCCGGGAACGGCTGGTTCGATTCGAAAGATACGGGTTTGGCGCCAACGCAAGTACAAGGTTGCACCTCCTCCTGTCTGTTATGTTGACTTGCCTGTCTGAAGTCGTGTTTCCTGGCCTTCAATAGTGAAGTTGGCATCTGTATGTTATGTTCTGGCGTCGTACAAATCCTAAGTTATTGATTTCTGTGATTCGCAATTTAAGCATTTAGTATGTTCACCATCGCCTCGGTCTGTGGCCTGAGACTTGCCCAAGGACTGTCGACTTTTGGTGGCCTGTGTACGGCCGGGGTGGGCGTTAGCTAGGAAATGACCCGAGTAGTTGTCACCGCACCCTTTGCGCGTCGAGAAGAAAAGAAATTAGACTCACGTGGTCGGGATAGTCATCAAGGGAAAAGCGTATTTGTCCAATATCCCCCAGCACATCATCACCATCCTGCTCGCGGTTCCCCTGCTGCACTGAAATCTCCTCTGAAGACAAAACCGTGTTATAACATCCAGGGCGAGCTCGAGAGAAGAGGATCTATGTGGGTGCGCAGAGACTGGGACAATACGAGGCGGCCTCATGTGACGAGGAGCCAAGATGTCCTTACACGACGACTCACAGTGGTATACACTCAGCTTTCCGCCCTTTGCACGCCTCCTTGTCTACACCGTGCGAGAATACTTGCAATCACGTCGGATATGTGAAGTTACAGGTCAATGTACGTGACTGTTAATGCTGAATTAGATATCGATGCAGACATCACCCGCGGTGCGGGCTGGTAGGGAGTACGGGATGATAGTCTCCATGCACATTTGCAATGGTGCGTGCGTGGGTCTGTGAACGAGGACAGTATGAGATTAATTGCATGCTACACATGTAACGTTTTGGCTATCTATATCATGATAATGCATATGACACCATTTAAAGGACTGGCTGGTGGGAAATAGAAATTGACGCTCTAACACAGGAACATCGGCAATGGCTATGAGGCTGTGAGTGAAAAACAAGGAGAAGCAAAAGATGTGCACTGCCATGCAAAAGCGCGTTAGGATATAAGCAAGGAGGACTGCTGTGCTCACCTTCGAGATTTCCTCGCTCTTTCTCTTTACTAGCCTCTTTAACTGACCATCGGCTTCAGCAGGGTAAGTGCTGTCATCATCAAAATCCCTATCAGCCATCAGGCTCACAGCGCATGAGGACAGCTCACCGCAGTTCCTTCGAACACACGCATCCTAAGATTACTTTACTGCAATTTCGCTTGTGGAGACACAACCATGGCTTCCACATCGACGAAGCCGTTCGGTTTAGACGTCAATAGGATCCTGGAACCGGTGATGACGTCGGAAGATGACATGGGTGCTACATCCATAGCCTACTTTCCTGACGGGCAGCGAATGATGAGCGGATCTTGGGATAAAACCACTCGGCAATGGGACTTGCAGTCGGGCAAGGAGATTGAGAAAGCGCGGGGTGTTTGCGAGGAGGGAATACGGGCAGTTGCGGTATCAAGAGATGGTCGATGGGTTGTTACTGGTGGTGGAGATTACGAAATCGGGGAGCTGCAGGCCTGTGAGGTTGAGACGGGGATCGTGAAGACATTCAAAGGCCACTCAGAGAGGATCAGCTGCATCGATATATCCGCGGACAGCAAGTTGCTGGCGAGTGGGTCAGTTGATGAAACAGCGCGGATATGGAACTTGGAGACGGGCGAACTCGTGGCCGGTCCATTCGAGAGCGTTGATTGGGTGGGCGCAGTTCGATTCTCGACGGATTCGAAGAAGCTCGCGATCAACTCTGTTGTGGGGATGTGCCTTGAAGTCTGGGATATCCAAAATCAGAAATTGGATGTGAGGAAAGGGGAAGACGGTGGAGAAGATCTAGAAATCACATACTCGCCAATTTTCTGGACAAACAAAAACGAAACCATCTTGGCCACATTCAGCTTCACGGATGACGATGCCAAGACGATCTGCGAGTTCGACGCATCGACGCTGGAGACGGTCGGAACTCCCTTCGAAGGGCACACCGAGCTTGTCACCAGCCTAGCACTTTTATTTGACGGCGCCCTCCTCGCCAGTGCTTCTGATGACAACACCATCAAGCTTTGGGCCTTTGAGTCCCGCCAACTCCTTGCCTCCTTCGATGTTGACAATGTCCACATCCTCATGCCCTCACCAGACTCACTTCGACTAGCTTTCACGATCTGGAATGATCCCAATATATACATTTGCAACACTACGTCCTCTCTGCTCTCTATACCGGAAATACAGTCTATTCTCCCCAAAGTACGCACTTACCAGCGCCATGAACCTATCTTCTGTGGGCTAACCTTCCCTCAAAGACTGATACCACTCTCCGACATTTACTTGAGGTATGTACCCCACTGTTCATTCTCACCATGGTACCCAATCAGATGGATGATTACAGTCTAACGCAACCCGTCGTCCCGCTGTCGTGCGTAGTACCCCAGCGAGATCACCTGCTATATCACTCCCTCCAAGGCATCAAAGGCCTTCGCATACATTAGACAATCAGCAACCCACATTCCTTCGCCGTGTTCACAAACTCTTTCATTTCGCTTCTCGTACAAACGCAATACGGCATGGCCAGCCTCGCGATCCATGGGATGTTCGTCGCTTTATCTCATTTCTTTCATAGTTGACTCACGCATTTCTTACAGCTCCCTGCTACGTCGCCCCTGCCTCCCACCCACTCGACTTCAGCGCAGGCCCCAACTCAGTTCGATCATGTTTGTCTTCATTTTGAATCAACTCACAATGCATCACTAAGTCCTATCCAGTTTGAAATAAGTTCTCCGCCCCCCCGTTCGAACAGAGTCACACAATTCCTGCGACAGGGCCTTTCCTTCCATAGGTCCGGATCCCACCCTGAACCACAAGTTGTTGAAGTCGCAGCCGGGCGGAAAGTCACTGTAACCCAGTCTTCTTCATTCTTGTCGCTTTTTTGCTGATGTGTGGCCTACAGCGACTTATGGCAGCCAAACTACCAGAATATAGGAAAGTCAACGATACCCGACATCCTTCTAGCCAACAGCCTGTGCTTCAGGAAATCGAATCGTCTGACAATGATTCGCTCCCAGACGTGCATTGGTGCAAGGCATTCCTCTGCTATTACTCGTGCTGGTCTCATGGGAGACTGAGGATGCCTCCTCGATGGCGCTTGCAGCCCGTTGAAATCCCCCGTCAGGAAGCCGGGACAACTAGTAGCCGTGCTGGGGCTCACGGTAGCAGTTAGCCTAATGTAGATGTATTCGATTTGGTTGGATTCCCCGCCAACTGATGATTCAAACTTCTTTCTGCACATTTTTTTTTCGTATTACACAGTGACGAGTATCTACTACAGTCTGACGGTGCATGATTCATACATCCCAGGGTCGTAGGACAATACATAATGCATCGCGGCCTTGCTCGTCATCTCTTCCCTTGAGATTATTATCGTTCTGATCATTCTATGGTTTTCCATTCCCATCCTCTGCGACTCGTCGTCTTTTCCTTTTTATTTGTTTTTTTTTTCTTTAAGCAGTTTCGTGTCTGCGAGCGCTTGGCTTTTAGCTGACACAGCCGCTGAGTATGTCTATAGGGCCTTACTCCTAAATTGAATACTTCCGATCAGTGATTTGCATGAAAGTCTGATTCCAGTGATCGGCGGGACCTTAGATTATTACTGTACTAGTACACAGCCAGACATGGTGTTCTCCACCTCGTTGATCATCCCACAATCGCGTATCGTAGTCGCATAAATCCAGATGCATAGGAACGTGTCTCAGCATCAGCACGAAGTAGTGGTGATCCTCAAAAGAAAACCTCGGGAGAAAATTACTGCTAATGCTGTGATCATCATGCTTCGTGCATATGAACACAATGTTTCATACAAGTCTAGTGGGCCCACTATAGATGCACGGTTGCCCTAGTTTCTTTGTGGTATGAATTGCATTGGAATTCCTTACGTTCAGACAGTTTGTTTACAAGGTCAAAGAACGTTATAGCATTGATGCGTTCATGCATAAGTATGGTGTGAGACGTAATGAGTGAGATGATGCTACAGATACGACAGAGCAATATAATGCGTAATGAGTGGAGGATGCTGCAGATACGACCGCGCGATATGACATATAAAGAAATGCAATGAATGAAGGATGCCCGCAGGCGGATACGGCAGAGAAATATAAATGACAGATAAAGTAACGTGTAGTGATGAATTATGCAGTCCAGATGACATAATGCGTACTTGCCCGATGATCTTGTCCGAGGGAGATATCTGGAACCTTGTTCCAATCGAAACCATATGATCAATCTTCCGACTCTTCCGACGAGTCCTCATCACTAGGTCCTTTGGAACAAGACCTGATGTGACGCGTCAAAGAGTCCGAGCGACTTAACCTAGTGAGAGTATCAGCTTCACAGTCGTACTTGAGAGACTGGCATTACTTACTCCTTGCCACAGTATTGGCATACATGCTGACCGGTGCGCCCACTGTGCGTCTTCGATCCGATATGCTTCAGCAAGCTGCCTTTTTGCATCGGATCTGTATGTTTGCACTGCGGAAGAAGGCATTTGTACTCGACCTTGCCGCGCTTTACGGCCCGTTTCTGATGAAGCAGTCAGTGAGATAACTCTGACTAACTAAATAAATTTCACTCACGAAATTGGGAGGTGCAGCATAGTTAAGAGGTGGGCGTCTCGTACGAGTCTTGCGTCCCGCACCAACACTGTGTACCGCCTTGCGTTTGGTAAGAGTCTTGCGTCCTGCGCCAACAGTATTTACCGCCTTGCGTTTCGTAAGAGTCTTGCGTCCCGCGCCAACACTATTTACCGCCTTGCGCTTCCGTAGTACTCGTCCTTCTTGTACGGGTTCAGGCTCGAGGAGTAGGTCGTTAAGGGATTGTATCGTGGAGGGTGGGGAGGGGTGGCCGTATGAAGGCTGGGGCAAATAGACCCCCATGGGAAGAGGGGCGGAGGGGTGGTGCGATGGCTCAGGCAGCATCTGAGGCTGGGGATCATAGGCTTCAAATCGAAGAGGGATGGAGGGGTCGTACAATGGCCCTGGGGCCATCTGAGGCTGGGGGAAATAGAGTTCGAATGAAAGAGGGATGGAGGGGTCGTAATATGCCCCTGGGGCCATCTGAGACTGGGGGAAATGCGCTTCGAATGAAGGAACGTCTACATGCCCCATCATATCCGGCATGAGGGGGGGCAGTCCATATGGTAACATATCAGCATCGAACACTGCAGTCTCCATTCCGTACGCTGTGGGAGCCGGCCCAGGTGGAGCGTACTGAGATGGATCCGCATACATGTCGAAAGGAACAAGTTCGGCATGTTGGAGTTGTGCTTGAGGCTCATCTTGGGACGGGCCTGGGATGGAACTTTGGCTCATTTGAGTCGCGTAGTGGTCCATAGTTAATGATAGAATGCTTGAGAGATGTGTTGTTGATGGCGCCAGGCCTTATACTGTGGCAAATGAGCGACAGAAGGTGGAGGAAGTGTACAAGAGTAACTCACTGTGCACAAGTTATATGGCAGATGTTTGCAAGGAAAGTGCGATGGATGTTGAAGAGAAGTAGAGGGACGCAGGAAGCAGTATTTAAGCTGTTGGAATGTATGTCACGCTTTGGTCTTTGGTGGACGTTCCAAAGCGTCTCCGACATATCACTTCCTTTTTCGTATGATTGTCCACACCTTTTGCCCATACTAAGCAGCATAGTGAGCACAGCCTGGTTTTATACAAAGGAATGCTTCCACCGACCAGATTTGACAATAACACAACACCCCCGGATAATCCCCCATGAGGCTGTGGGGATGAGTGATTAGGGTGATTGTCGTGAAGAGTAGAATAAGGTATTGGTGAACAAACATTGAACACGACGCGCTGGATCTCAATATTCAGATTCCTTTGCCCTTTGGCTGAGCATGTTCTTCGTGTGTACGGACATGATTTTTTTTTATATGCTGCTGGGTATTGATTGCTTCCAAAAATTGTATACACGAAATCTAATCGACAGGGTTTATCAATATAAACATATTGAACAAGAGATTGCGTGCTTATTGACACCACCGAATGATATGCCCGTCCAACCACCAGTAGAAGGGTGCGTCTCTCCAACGCGTCCAACTTGCATCGCGTCTCCCACTGGCCAAGAGCAGGTCCACGCTTAGTAGAATGCGATCTCCACGCCTCTCTTCTCTATCACATGACACTTGTTCATCGTGTTCTTGAATGAGCACCCTGCGTAATAGTCTGGCGCATGATCTCCGTCTGCGTGAAGCGGAACATGTCAGATCACGATAAGGGACCATGCAAACGAAGGTCAAGGTAAGAGCCGTACCATTAAGTCAAGCGCGACGGGTAACTTAACCTCGTGAATTGCCTCGCAGATGTAGTGTCATGTGAGATCGCTGCGCACCTGCGGGATGTTGGTCAGTGCTAGTCCTTGACTTGAGATTCGAGTTGACTTGGACTAAATTTGTGTAGGTCCCTGCCCGCCGTATGCTTGGGCATTCCTACGATGGATCAAAGCGTTATATTTCCAGTGAGACAAGGACAAGAGCAGCATAAAGGGCCCACATCAGCCAACATGTTTCCGTCCCGCGTAGGGCACGTTTTAGAGCTCCCGCGAGGTCAAGATGCGTAGGGAATGATACGCATTGTATTCAATATACATCCCCGTCAAAGGGTTTTTTGGCGCGCACCAGCTCATCAAAAGCGCGCAGACAAGACAGCCAACTCCACCCCACCAAAACAGGCACCGAACCGACTGGCGAAATGCAAATAAGTTGAAATACTCACCAATGTCCCTGTGCTAGGCGCGACGCTCAGATCGAGCACGTCTGCATCAAAAATTGGGTCAATAGGGAAGTCTCGTTGTGGGTGAATGTCATCGCTTTTTAACCATCTTGCCGATGCGTCAGCATCTGCGCCCTCCCCTCACTACAAGAAACCGACTCGCCTATCAAGCTCTTGGATATTACAGACGTCGTTTCGACATGACCTTCTCCAAACCGATGAAGACGAGACCGGGGTTGAGCTTTGGGAAAAATGGGAGAGATTCCGCGTCGGTAGAGGCCGCGACAATATCAACATGGGCGCCTATCCAGATGACGAACGCTTGGCCGTATTCTCTCTCTGGTCGAATGTCAGCTCCGCGAAATCTAGCCGGAGAAACTCACATCATGGTCATCGCTCAAAGGTAAGTAGGATAGAAATTGAATGCTACACATGAAATGTACTTACGTCATTCAAGGGACTGGGTTACATAGTTGGAAATGGAAATTGAAATTGATGCCCTAATATAGGAACATTGCCAATGGCTGTGAGGCTGTGAGTGAAAAGCAAGGAGACCTGCTGTGCTTACATTCGAGATATCCTCGCTCTTTCTCTTTCCTAGCCAGTTTGACTGATCATCGGCTTCAGCAGGGTAAGTGCTGTCATCATCAAATCCCTATCAGCCATCAGGCTCACAGCGCACGAGGACAGCTCACCGCAGTTCCTTCGAACGCATGAATCCTAAGACTACTTAACTGCAATTTCGCTCGTGGAAACAACAATGGCTTCCACATCGACGAAGCGGTTCGGTTTAGACGTCAATATGATCCTGGAACCGGTAATGACGTCGGAAGATGACATGGGTGTTACATCCATAGCCTACTTTCCGGACGGCCAGCGACTGATCAGTGGATGTTGGGAGAAGACCACTCGGCAATGGGACTTGCAGTCAGGAAAGGAGATTGAGGAAGCGCGGGCCCGGGGTGTTTGCGAGGGGGAGATACGGGCAGTTGCGGTATCAAGAGATGGTCGATGGGTTGTCGTTGCTGATGGAAATAATACAGCCGGGGAGCTGAAGGCCTGTGAGGTTGAGACGGGGATCGTGAAGACATTCAAAGGGCACTCACATGGGATCGACTGCATCGATATATCCGCGAACAGCAAGTTGCTGGCGAGTGGGTCAATTGATAGGACAGCGCGGATATGGAACTTGGACACAGGCAAACTCGTGGCCCGTCCATTCGAGAGTGGTGATTTGGTAGGCACAGTTCGATTCTCGACGGACTCGAAGAAGCTCGCAATCAACTCATGGGTGGGAAAGTGCCTTGAGGTCTGGGATATTCAAAGTCAGAAATTGGATGTGAAGAAAGGATTCGGTGGAGCAATCATAACGTCTGAATCTGCGCCAATTTTCTGGACAAACAAAAACAAGAACATCTTGGCCGCACTCGCCTTGACGGATGACGAACCCAAGACAATCTATGAATTCAACGCGTCGACGTTGGAGACTGTCGGAACTCCCTTCCAAGGGCATACGGAAACTGTCACCGGCTTAGCACTTTTATTTGACGGCGCCCTCCTCGCCAGTGCTTCCAGTTACGACGGCACCATCAAGCTTTGGGCCTTTGAGTCCCGCCAACTCCTTGCCTCCTTCGACGTTAACAATGTCAGATTCCTCATGCCCTCACCAGACTCACTTCAACTAGCTTTCACGGCCTGGGGTAATCCCAATATTCACATATGCAACACTATGTCCTCTCTGCTTTCTATACCGGAAATACAGTCTATCCTCCCCAAAGTAAGCACTTGCCAGCATCATGAATCTATCTTCTGTGAACCCACCTTCCCTCAAAGACCGATACCACCCTCCGACATTTACTTGAGGTATGTACCCCACTGTTCATTGTCACGATGGTGCTGAATTGAATGATTACAGTCTGACGCAACCCGCGGCCGTCGTTCCACTATCGTGCGCCGTACCCCAGCGAAATCACCTACTTTATCATTCCCTTCAAGTCATCAAAGGCCTTCTCATACAATAGACCATCAGCAACCCACATTCTTTCACCACGTTCGCAAACTCTTTCATTTCACTTCTCATACAAACGCAGTACGACATAGCCAGCCTCGCGATCCATGGGATGTTCGTCGCTATATCTCATTTCTTTCATGGTTAACTCACGCATTTCCCACAGTTGCCTGCTACGTCGCCCCTGCCTCCCACCCACTCGACTTCAGCGCAGGCCCCAACTCAGTTCGATTATGTTTGTCTCCATTTTCAATCAGCTCGCAATACATCACTAAGTCCTATCTAGTTTGAAATAAGTCATCCGCCCCGCCGCTCGAGCAGAGTCACACAATTCTTGCGACAGGGCCTTTCCTTCCATAGGTCCGGATCCAGCTATGAACCACAAGTTGTTGAAGTCGCAGCAGGCCGGAAAGTCACTGTAACCCAGTCTCCTTAATTTTCGTCACATTTTTGCTGATGTGTTGTCCTACAGCGGCTTGTTGCAGCCAAACTACCAGAATATAGGAAAGTCGACGATACCCGACACCCCTCTAGACAACAGACCACCGTACCGCAGGATGACCCCTCGTCTGATTCGTCTGACGCCGATTCACTCCCAGACGTGCATTGGCTCAAGGCGTTCTTCTGCTATTACTCGTGCTGGTCTCGTGGCAGACTGAGGACGCCTCCTCGATGGCGCTTGGAGCGTGTTAAGCCTCGCTAGGATTGCAAGGTCTGTCTGGTACGAAGGCTTATGATTGTGGTTAGTTCAATATATCTGCGCCCATCTGCGTTCGTTGAATTCCCAACAATCGATCATTTAGCCTGAACTTGAATATTAATCAGCTGTACGGTGATTATGAGGGTAAATTGAATGTCTTGCAGTTTCGTTCCAACTTCACACTGAGGCGGGATGAGGACACTACATGTGACGGGCAAAAAGGATGAGTATCGGACCAGAGTTTCTGGCAACACCACGAGGCAGTCCTCTCACGTGTCTAGTAACAACTCTGATCATCCTCGTTGAACTGAATGGGATTTCTGGAAGGTTTGTTGTTGTCCCAAGTTCGGAAATCGTTGTTCTCTTACTTGTCGCACGGCCAGCCATCACTGGCAGTACTGCTCGTGTTGTGAATTCACAACATCAATCTGTTCTGGGGCTCTGCACATCTGCTATACATAGCCTTGACGTTTGAAGGTGCTTCATTGACGCAGGAATTCCCTCGCAATTTGCCCTGCGAGCACTAAACTGAGCCCACCCAATCATCCTACCGGAGGCTAGGTATGTCACTGCATTATGATCAGATGATTTCTGGGAAAGATCATGAATGGTCATGCCGGAGTAGGCGTTGGCGGCCTTCCTACCAGTCTGTGTCTTGATCGTCCAATGTTGCAAATGTCACACTGACCCTTGCATATCCCCATCGTGACGGTCCGTTCTGTCATTACACGGCTAAGACATGATGAAGTCCTGCAGTTACTCCATGTTAATCGATAATTTCATGATCACAGATGGAACTGATGCATGCAGAACCTCAAAAAACAAGTTCCTTCACGAGCAGATTTTTTCGGTGTTCAAATATTCATTCCGCAAATTGCAGACCTAAAAATGTGAGTTACTTGGAAATCTGTCAAACGAGGGCTGTCCCCTTACTACTTTCTGTGATCAGTCATTGTCATTTGAGAAACAGCCACTGTTCAACTTGATCACTATAAAATCGCTGGATGGTGGTATGTCTGCACAAACTTCATACGCCCCATACCAATATGACTGTCATCGTCTCAAACGGCCCCGCTTGGTGGTCGCTCATCAGCAACGCTCGTTTTTTCAGCTATTTTATAGGTTCGTAGAGAGCAAGTGGGATGATGATGTTGACGTCTCATTATCATTGACTGTGGTTTCGCAGTTGCATCCTCTGCTGTTGTGGTATATGATTGGGGTGAGCGAAATAACATTTTCCGAGGGGATCATTGATATGTATATAGTACTCAAGCATTAACATTTGTACAAGAGGTAAGTTGCTGTCACGACCTCCGGAACGCATCTCACTAAGAATACTCTAACAGTTCGAACTGATATGGGTGAGCAAAGTTCTATATCAGAACTTTAGAAGCAAACAGGATAGCGCGATTGACTTCGGGCAGAGACAACGCTGGTCCTTGATGACCGTTCTTTATGTTTGTGTACGTTGTATTGCAAGCGCAGCTGACATCTTGTGCTGACTTCAACATATGCTAGGTCCGCTACATTGGAATAGTCTATGCTGTGTATGTTTGCAATGCTAACAAGCCGACGCTGCGCTAATAAATCATATTCCACAATCAGCAATGCTACACTATGTGTGTATCCCCAAATACACTATTCGTTTCTTCTGACTCGCAATATTATAGGGTTTCTCCCGGTCCCGATGACAGACGTAGTGGGTGTTCGGCACCGATGCCTGACATTCCCATTCCCGTTCAACTACTAACTGCTCTCCTACACAGGGGTGAGTAACAACCTCGGACAGCTTGATGGTTCAACATGACTGCAACAGCTGTAAGTTTATTTGAAGTATTGAGTCCATCAATGCACATCTAACACCGAGTTTTTCAGGCAATATCGTTTATTTCATATGGATATGGATGCCCGTCGTCATCAATGCCATGCTGGGTGGTGAGCTCACCTGCGGTACCTTACTGATACTGATTTGACTGAAATATCACGCAAGTCATCATGATGACTCGGATACATGCCATGCATGGGAGATCCAACAAGATGCTCATCTTTCTCGCTGTACTCTTGCTGGTGTGCACGATCACCACTGGAGTTGGGATGGTAATTGGAAATTTGAGTTTTGTAGGGGGTAAGCTTTAATTATTGGTGAAAGCCTTGAGCACGCGGGGCTCATGGACACATATTAGGGGAGGCCGTGCTGGCCAGTTATCCTGTCTGTGTTTTCCACTTGGACGCAGACTTGATGGATCTGGATTCCGATATGATCATACCCACCGCGGTATGGGAGATCCTTACCTTTTTTCTTGCAGTCTGGATTGTTATAAAACACTTCCGTGAACTCGGCGCTCGACAATCGCAGAGAGGATCGATCATTGGAGACTGTTTCACGGTCCTAATGCAAAGTCACGCGTTGTACTTTCTAGCGTGAGTTCGGTCATTTGGATGTTGTTAAGTTGTTTCGCTGAAGTTGTGCATGTGCTAGCTTTGCTGTCATGGCTTGCTTCAGTCTTAGTTCACTGTCCACGAACATCAAGGTGCGTTGACCTGCGACTGGCAGCTGCATCTGGTCAGTCCTGATTATGTCTACAGTACTCAAATGCTTTGGGAGTTGTTGTTTTTCGCGGCATTTTCAACATAGTCCAGGAGTTCCAGATGTGTGTGCTGGGACCACGTCTGATCCTTGACATTCGTGAATATCACGCTAAGCTCGTGGCCAGGTCCAACGGGGGAACACACATGACGTCCATTGCTTTCCAGGCTGGTGGAGACGCGTTGGCTGGCGGAGATGCGTAGCACTGGAAACCATCCAAGTGAACAACGGTACCGGTACCGGGCAGGAATTATGTATATATTTGATTGAGTTTCATAGTGGTATTTAAGTATAAGTGATTTAGAGGATGTAGGGAACTTCGTCCCGGTATTTATTTGGTATTTCGGAGGATAGAATGACGTCTGGGTAATGTCATATTACATTACTACCGTAGAAGCTGTTAACCTATGTGTATGGAGCCTACCGATGCCTCAAGTTGTCCTCATGATCGACGTACGCTGTTGTCAAGAATGAGAAAGCCAGAACTCAGGTGTGAAAATACGGCATAGCGGACGACGAGTACCACCAGTCGGCAGTCATGCCAGAGCGCGTATGAGCCTGAGTAGCCCAGTCATACAATGAGCGGGTGGTATTATTGCGAGAAGGCGGGTGCGCTGATTTGTAGGTTGTGCAGAAATGGCATGTTCTTTCGATCGACTGTTGCTGACCCAAAATGACCACGCAGCGCCCTGAAAGAAGACAGAATCTGATGGCAATCTGATGCATATGTATGAATAAACACAGGCTTAAGTTATACAAAGGATCACTTATGTGGCGTTTGATTAGACACTACATTCGGACTCATGATGTGCTTCGTTTTGCTCAACGGAAGAGCCCATTCTTCTGGTGCAGGTCCACCTTGTAAGTACCAAAGATCCTGGCGTAGTGGCTGGAGTCCAGGCTTGTAGTCGGTTGTCGTACGTTGATGTGCGTTTGGTACTAGTCAGTCCTCGATAGATAGAGCTTGCCGCCTCCAGTCCGAATAGAGGTTTGGCCTGAGTTTCTCCTGGAGTCCTAGCACCCGGTCCACGGTGTAGGCTTGGTTGAGAAATTCCCGAATTGTGGTATCAGAATGGAATAGCACGCATTATATAGCAGTGGTAAAATCGTGATTAAACAGACACTGGCTGGCATGTGTGCAACGTGGAACGGTAGTGGGCTTTAATAAGTGCGCGAAAAAAATTCCTGATCAAGAGGGGCTCAGGTAAATTGCCGCATCACTGCCGCAACTTGCCGCACCCTAACGCACCACTGCCGCACCCATCCCAAATCATGAGTACTACACTTATTTTCAGCCTGCGCTGTTCTCGTGCACCAAATAAATGAACTAGGAGTGTTTCTCGTCCGACTCCTCAATTATCCACTTCACACTAATGCATCTGAGAGGCTGAATTCAGAGAACAATTTTGAGCATGTTGCGGCACGGATGCGGTACTGGGTGCGGCAGCTTCCAATCAAGGTGAGTCTTAGTATACTGTGTACTATATATGAGACACTAACATTCAGACTGTCTACAGCACCCACCTCGCAACGGCCTGTCTCCCTTGACAGGCGCCCTCTGACTGCAATATCATATAGGCTTACCATGTGCACGTCACACCACCCCTCAATGGCACAGCCACTAATATCGAGGGATGCGCATCGATCTTTGCAGTATCACGTGCAGCTCCTGCAGTGTCAAGACCTTGCGACGTTCAAGTCTATCTCATCCTCTCTCGTTCGCGACTACCCCAAGGCTGAGGACTGGTTGAACTGGTGGATGGCAGATGGGCGTGCCGAAATGTTGTTCACTCCCTTTCGGCGCATGCCAGATAATCTCTGGTATAATCTCGAGGACACCACCAACGCGGAGGAGGCAATGCATTGGCGGATATACTGTGGCCTTGGCAAGTTTCATAGCTTCGTGGCTGGATTACATGCACTGCGGGCATTTTCTGAGTATTGGCAGCTGCAATTGGCTGGTAATTCTTGTACGTGAATACCCTTATAGGCATATATGCTCACTAATCACTAAGGGCCTAGCTGGGATTCCTCTTTTCTATGGAAATATGCGGCAGTTTTGGCAGAAATGGAAAGCCGAGCTTGGCACTACGCATCCTTCTCGTGCACCAGACAAGATCGCAGCCAAAAAACGAACTCGAAATGATGGTCGCCCCCCTGATACAGCTCGTCAATTACTTGGCAATCACTCTACCAATGGAGAGGCCCTACATGACACATCATTGTCTCCGACGAAACGACCCCGCCTACTAAATGACATCAAACGAGCTTCCTATAAGTGGTCTAACAACTCATGTTGGCTTGATACTTCACTCGAACTTCTTTTTGCTGCTGCCTCACGAGATTTCGAGACATCATTCAGCCCCCGAATGTCAGAGTTAACTGATGACGACTCGCTTTCACTCCTCAGTCGTGCCCTCAATGCTCGCGCTGTGGTGCAAGGCCCCGATCCCTCAGCACCAGATGATATTGTTGGTATGTTGATTGTGCAGCGTGATAGTCTTAGAAAAGACCTCTCCGACAAGAATATAATCTCGGACGTAGACTCTTTCGAACCAATCTTTGTATGTAATGAAACGAACTAATCTGGTCACATCCTAAACAGAACTCTTGTTTTGCAGACTTGGTTAGGATCATTGCTCGACTATCCACGTAACGGTCCTATGAAATTCATGCATGGCTACTTCCATCTTCACATGATTGATGTTCGCTCATGCTCCGGTTCACTCTCTAACGACTCGTCGTTCATGCAAGATCGGCACTGGCAAATTGTCCGCAAGCCTAGGACCGTCTTTCATCACCAATTGGGAAGATCTATGGCAGAGCAGTTTGACGGGGATGCGAGCAAATGGTTTCGACACTTAATCCAGGTCAAGAAGCCACCCGAGAAATCACATTCCTGCTGGTGTGTATTGGATGGTGACGTGTTGTGCAATGGGGCAGCCACTTGTCTCAAATTTTGCTCACATATACCCGTCACGTTAATAATTGAAAATGACGATCAAGACATCCAAGGGCATGATAACAACGGCTCATCGTGGCACTTCCCGCAGACGATTCGACCACTAGATGGAAAGGCAGAGGAACGTCAAGGTGTTGTATATGATATTGTTGGGCGAGCATTCTTTAGTCCGGGCACCAGTCATTTCATTGCTCGTTATGCCACTCCCGACAAACACATCTACGACTACGACGGGATAAAGTTCGGTGGTTATGCGACAGTGGATAGGAAGGCAAAAATAACCACCCACGTCGCAGGCACACATCGCCTGATATCCCCACCCCCTCGATTCAACACTTGCGCTGTGATTTACCATCTTCGTGGAGGGACCGAAGCTCAACGATACTTTTCACGACACCAGATGGCATTAGCGCAGCAGACGTTGAACATCGAGTTTGTCAACTCACATAATGGCAGCCAGTTGACTGATAGCGAACTGTCAATACCCCGGGAAATTCAATTGCATGGTGATATTCTCCCAATTCTGTCAGACGAGCGGTTCTGGGCCCTGGATCAAACGAACTCGTCAAAATATGTGGACTATGTATCTCGCAAACCCACCGTGGAAAGTTCATTGCCCCCCCCACCAATTTCACAGCCAAGACCACTGAAACGCAAGCGGGTACAGTTGAATGTCCTAGATAGCGATGATGATGAAATCCAGGAGGTCAAACCACCACCTCTATCCCAAGAATACGAGTTCTACTGCCGGTGTGGAAGCCGGGAACATGGAGATCTCCAGCAAGAGAGCGAAGTGGCAATTCAGTGTGATAACTGCGAGCGCTGGTCTCACGTAGCTTGCCAGAGGGATGGTCGGGCAAGTAACTTGACAAAAAAGCAGTCATTTTACTGTGATGCTCCTGACTGTGCGCCATATGGTGATCGTGTATCACTCTCGCAAATTAGACGGCCTGAGCGGTGTGTCTCTTTATTTGTTGCATCGAGACTCACAATGTTATATTGTTGTAGTATTTCCCGCCACGTCACGATTCCTATGGTGAAGCGCTTGTTGTAAGTTTGCCTGGATATCTATATAGTGAGCGGGAACTCATCTATTATATGCAGACCAGGGAAGGGGGCACTAGCACGCCATGGCAAATATTGGTATCCCGTCAGGATAAAGTCATGTCAACGTGTGTCTGGAAGTCTGAGGACATCGTTCACCGTCAAATGGTGGAGGCACTGTTCTTTCAAACTTGGTACCACACAACCTCCAGGTGAGGTTGGCGAGGGAGATATAGTTGATGCTCTCTATGGAGATCGAAAACGTCGCCGCATGATCCGGGTGTGTAATTCTTGTGGATATATGTCAGACTTTAACATATTCAAAAATCATAGCTCGGGAAGTGGACACACGCTCACGAAGTTCCCCAGCATGAGGATGTCGTTGCAAACTTTAGGAATATACCCTACAGCATCAATATCGACGAAGCATTGGCTCCTCACACTCAACTTCTTACAGATATTCTTGAGCATCCAGATCCCGTGAAGATGCGCGACACAGTCCCAGTTCTTGGATATCTCGCCAACCTGTCAGAGAAATCAGGTCGTAGGCACACTACAGTCCCATATTGTGGTGATCTGTCACTCACGGACTGTGCCCATATTGCGAACTGGATTTACCGACATGTCCCTGGCGCAGCTAAACGAATTATTGATTGGCTGAACTGTGCTACATATGCACATGCTTGCACTATCGTAGTTTCGAAGCGCAAGAAAGACTTACTCCAGGAGCCGGCCGAAAATATCCTCATTGAACGTCGCTCGTCAGGACCTGACGTGGACTCAGTTCCTACTCCCGAAGAACGAGAAAACGCGATGCTCCAGGCTGCCTGGCTTGACCTCCAACTCAGCTATGATCTGACCTCGATGGATATAGACGTCGACTTGGAGTGTCTTGGCATACTGGAACAGCGGATGTTCGAGCTCTCGTTGGCTGCAGGAGCTGCAGGAAATGAACAATGGGGCAAAGATGCTGGAGCACACCAAGAGCGATGGAATCCCTATGAGGGCCTCCCTGAGCACTGGAATCATGGCGACCGAGATTCATACGCACCAGAATTTGAAGGAGAAGTAGACGTGCGTCATCATCGCTTTTCATCGCGGATCAGTCTGACATGGTTCGACTAATAGTGTGGACCGAACTTTAGCGAGGGAAGTGAGCCTGACATAGTTAAGAAAGAGAAACGCACCAAAAAAACCAAACCGCGGCCACGACCAAGGAAGATACACAAGGCTTCATAGGCTGGGGCCTCGTAGTAGTAGTTTGTACTCTGAAATGAACGAGACTCAGTTTGCAAGGACAAAAGGCCACACAGATATGACATACATACCTTAAAGCCCCGGTATCCGTTTGCACAGGTTGCTGCAGAACGTGGTCGAGGAGATGTGTGACAGGGAAGTCAGGCAAGGCATGCAACCAGCAAAGACAGGTGTTGAATGATAGGCGGAGGCATCGAGGCGCCAAACCTGACAGGCGCGAGCCTGTGTGAGGGGTCGTTGAGTTGTCTCACCAAGTTTCGCGCAGCTGCTGGTAACGGTGCTGCAAGTGGAGTTGATAAGATGCGTGGTTTGGTGTCGGTGCAGTGGTGCGGTAGTGCACAGCCACTGCCGCACCCAACTACAGAATTGCCGCACCCGATTACAGAATTGCCGCACCCGATTACAGAATTGCCGCACCCTACCGCATCACTGCCGCACCCATCAAGTACATATATCACTGTAGTACCACTGTTAGCCTTACACAAACACCTGGAATATAGTATTACTTATTCTTAAATCATATTCCAGACAGTTGCGTACGACGTAGACGCATTTAAGAGGCATATAAGACATTGTTGAGTAGGGTGCAGCAGGGTGCGGCACAGATGCGGCAATTTCCTAAGGCCCGATCAAGAGTTGTTTGTCAAGAGCCTTTGATCCAAACATCACGCGCATGCGCAACTTGAACTTGAAGGTCTCATGATCGACGTGTTCACAAGCCAGAACTCCGACCGCTGCAACGTGCATGTGCCATAAATACAGCTATCCGAACTTTCATCAGTATGTAACACGTCGCGGGTCCCACTGCCTTTCTTCCTCCCACATAACCATCCGATCTCCTAACCATCTCAACGCTCAACACGATGTCTCAAAAATATGCGCCGTACGGCCTTTGGGAGTCCCCCATCACAGCTGATGCTATTGCGCAGGATGTATGTTCCAAGGTCATCTCCGGTAGCTCGGTGTTTGAGACTGATCTACGCCGTAGAGCGTCTCCTTGGCCAACATCTTTGTAGATCCAGTCACAAAGGATATCTACTACACTGAACAGCGTGCATCGGAGGGTGGTCGATGCGTGGTTATGAGCAACCAGACTCAAAAGGAAGTCTTCAGCAAGGACTTCAATTCGCGCACGCGCGTTCATGAATACGGTGGAGCTGCTGCGATCGCTTATGACGGGACTGTGTACTCTTCAAACTTCGCGGATTTCCTTATATATGCCGCAAAAGACGGGAAAATAAAACCAATTACACCAGGTGCTTAGGTTAAATCGTGTGCTATAACATCGTACTAACGCTCCGTGCACAGAGGACCCGAATAAGATTTATCGTTACGCAGACCTCTGTGTGCACCCAGTCCACACAGATCTGCTCGTCGCTATCTTAGAAGACCATACCAACGACACGCCGCAAACCGTGCGCAATTCTCTTTGCGTCATCAATTCCACAGCTGCAACTGTCACGTCCTTGGTTTCCACCGAGGATGCTCAAATTGAATTCTATGCGGCACCGACCTTTTCTCCTTCTGGCGATAAGCTCGCATGGCAGTTCTGGAAACACCCAGACATGCCTTGGGAGGGTGGACAGATCTGCGTGGCTGATGTCCACTACAATTCCAATACCCATACACTTAGCCTGAGCAACGCGAAGCTGGTAGCTGGCGAAGCTAACAATATCAGCGCGTGTTACCCCTTGTGGGCCTCTAACGACAAGCTTTTATTCACCTCCGACGAAAGCAAGTTTGCAAACCTGTGGGAGTATACCCAGGCATGCACCAAACCAGTTCTCTCGTCCGTTGTGGAGCAAGACTTCTGCAGGCCATCCTGGACACTAGGTAATTACTCCTTCGCTTTCCTCGATGAGAAGGGCACAAAAGCCATCTGCGTTGCATGGCGGAATGGCCGAAGTGTGCTGTACGTTATCGATATCGCCAAGGGCTCCTACACGGAGATCAAGGACGAATCGTTCGACTTTGTAGTTGTCGAACACGTCCATCGTCTGTCGGACTATACTTTTGTCTTCACGGGACTACGAAGCAACGCCCCTGGTGCAGCTATGCTCTGCAGTCTTACCGGACCAACACTTGTGCCAAATTTCCAGGTGCTCAGATCTACTGCATCGACGTCCGCTGCGCCGTTCCCTGAGGGCATCATTTCGCTCCCAATCCCGCTTGAGCTTAAACTGGCAAGTGACAAGATTGTGTATGCCGTGTACTACGCTCCAAACAACCCAGCATATGCGGGTTCGAGCATTTCCAAAGAGAAGCCTCCCTGCGTGCTTGGCGTACACGGTGGCCCCACAGGATTAGAGACCCAGAATTTGAACTGGATGAAGCAGTATTTCACAAGTAGAGGATATGCTTGGTAGGTCCTGTCGACCACCGTAACATCATCATGCTCATAAATTGCAGGTTGGATATAAACTACAGCGGTTCTTCATCCTATGGACGCGCATATGTGTACGTTTCTACCTTCCGCCGTGTTACCTATGGAACAACGCTGAAGACGTGACAAAGGGAGCGCCTCCAAGGGAATTGGGGTATTACCGACGTAAGCGACTGTGTCGAAGCAATCCAAACACCTACACTTCGTTCCCTCATCGACACCAAGCGCACTGCGATCCGCGGGGGGAGCGCAGGTGGGTATACTACCCTTGCCGCCATTTCCCTTGACTCCTCCGCGGCGAGCAAGGCGAAATTTTTCGCAAGTGCCACGAACAGCTACGGGATCTCAGAAATGGGGCTGTTTGCAGAGGATACGCACAAGTTCGAGCTTATGTATGTCATAAAGCTTCTCGGTGGTCCGATAGCAGAGATTCCGAAAGTGTGGCACGACCGAAGCCCAGTATATTTTTCTGCAAACATCAAAACACCGTTGCTCGTATGTTTATATTTTGATGATGTGCGCTCTGATGGGTATATTATGTTTCTGACAGGTTCTTCAAGGCAATGATGATGCAGTTGTTCCGCCCGCCCAATCCTGGACTATTGTTGATGGGATCCTTAAATCTAAGGGGCATGTTGAGGCGCACTTCTTCGATGGCGAACAGCATGGGTGGCGCACATCAGAGACAATTAAGAAGGCAATTGAATTCGAGAGGGAATGGTACGAGAAGACCATGGTGAGGACTACTGTCAGAAACTAAGAGTAACGGTGATGAATTGATTATTGGTGATGAATACGAGCGAGGGGAATAGACAAGAGATTTACACGATTGCAGAATGTACCAGGTTCAGGTACTAAGGAGGAGGCATATCATCGCTCCCATCTTATCCAATGGAGTAGTTGATTGGATGGATAGATCCTGTGTTTTGGATCGAGCTTCGCACATACGTGGTACGTACCGTGTAAGCAAGCCATGTTATTTGGTCAGCCCACCACTCTGCAATATTGTAGGAATAACGACGGCGCACCGAAAGGTAGGCGATGGCTCGTTGATATAGTTCCTGGACGCTATATACATGGTGGCCTCGGCCCCGCCCGCGTGCCTTTTTTTTCGGCTACCGTGGACGTGCTCGTGCCCGAGAGTGGTGCATTGGAGAACAGGCGTGGATATTCCACTACGGTGGGTCTTCGTCCGTCCTCATCTTCCCCAAAGGAGCTGAATTTGAAGTGGCCGGGGATGTCAAAGTGGGCAAACACATCTGGACCCACGAGATCATTGGAGTGGCTGGTCCCAAGTGAGAGTAGTTCAAATACCATTTCACGAAGCATACCTAACTATAGCTATTGCGGAAACCATATAGATACGCTTTCCTGTACGAGTGTGTATCAAACGCATCAAACAAGTAAGTCTTGTACCGTGTAACACAATGTCATGTTTAACTCGGATTTGTTGATCATACCATCGCAACTATGCGCTGGAGCTGAGAACACCTTCACGACCTAGATCTAGCAGAAGACTGTGACGTCAGCAACTTGGGCTGCACTCCCAGCGTCGACGCTCGAGCTCTCGAGTCTAAAGAAAGGTCCACAGGCAAGCTCCAGCGCCAAAAATTCGCTCATCGTTCTGCTCGTTTACAAGGCGGAGCGACTAAAAATGGTTCAACGCAGCCTAGGCAGATCTCGCGATCCAGTGAGAGGAAATAGTCAGGAAAGTAATCAATCACAAGGACGCCAGCTGACCACCAACTTTTCTGCTGACTCACCCAAACCACGATAGAAGCAAATTCTTGACGGTATCAGTATACATGCATGGGGTCAAACTACGCAGATATACACCCCAAACATACTGGCACATTCGTCAGTGTGACCAAGACGGCGATAGGCGACCATAATGACCTACCCCAGTTGTTTGTTGACGGTAGTCCACGAGGACATCGAGAAAGCGTGATTTTCCGAGAAACTCGTACCTATGAATTGTTCAATCCTTGAGCGAGGTTATGATGACAATATAGGCAACGAAATTGGATCGGAATGCGACTGGCGCGAAGGAATGTCAATTTTTGATTTATATCGACACGGCAAGCTACAAACATCAGTCTGAAGCCATTTTGCGTGGGGCGAAGCGGCGTCAATGAACGGTCACAAGATAGCAATGAATTGAAATGGCTTGTGAATTAGACAGCCACAGGCCTGGGTGGTTGCGACTCATGTGGCGTTTGATTAGACTTCGTATTTGTCCAAGTTTGTCTGACGCCACATTCGGACATGTGTTCTCCGTTTTGCTGCAAAATGAAAACTTGCTAGCGCCAGTCTTGAGTCAACTACCTATCCTTCTGCTTCATCTGTCGAGAATGCAACAAGTAGTATGTGATCATGTGCAGTCATGTGCAGACACGCACCCAGGACCCGTACCCAATGTATATGGGACGTTTCATTCTTGTAAGCAAAAGCAGATGCATTGACCGGCGCTTAGTATGAACTTGAACTTATTTTCCGAACGCCTCTGTCACCCCCATCGCACTAGTATGGATGCGTCAGCTTTGCCTGTTCGTCTGGCGGGATGTCGAGTCACCGCCATGTCCCGATCAGTGCTAAATATTTAGATCATGACGCCGCCGGCCATTCTTAAGGCAGCCATCTGGTAGTCCCGGCTGCCGATTGCAATATTTGAACGGCCTTGTCAATCTGTGGAATCCTGATACAGTACTAGTGACGCCTTGTTTTAGAATCTCCTGGGCTCGACCGCACGTTTCTGCGTCATGATGGGAGTTAGCGGCGGGCAGGCCCTCGATCCATTTCTGGTGTTCTCTGGCCATCGTTCTTCGGGATGGCTTGCGTTCTGGTCCTCCTGTTTGTCGGCACAGATTATCCACGGACTGGCAATTTCGATGCCAGCGATCGCCGACGCACCCAGAAAGGCAAGTCTAGTATTCCATCTCCAGTTGAACTCCATCGCTGAGGACTATAAAGTTAACCGCCCGCCCGTCCGTTCAGTTTCACCCAACTTTTCTCCCCAACGTCCTCCGACTGCATCAATTCAATATTAATATCGTCGACAACTTAGATAATGTCCTCTCCAGGAGCTTCTCCGCGGGATGCGGCCACCGGGCTCAAACTGGCGTCGACGTCGTTGCCATCTTGCCCCTCGCCAGATTTTGTTTGCTCCCCGCTCATTCCCTCTCCTCTCAATCCCTCCCCTCGTCTTCGACAGGCTCCACTACAGAGCCCTGGCGGCGGGATCATTCCTGCACACACGCGCAGATCGTCTTTCAGTCAATCGTATTTCAGCATTGAAACCAAGTATAATCTCATCCCGCCTCGCCCCATCCTTGATTCGGATGTCGCTCGTCGCTCCATTGAAGCCAGCTTGCAGACGTCACCCAGACAGAGCGTCGTAGAGCAATCGACGATGTCCATTGGGACTTCTTCCGCTGGATCGACTGCCTATGTGCGCCATCGCTCTCCCTCTGGTTCCTTCAACCAGTCGATGTCGCCTGCTCTCTCCGGATATCGGCCGCCATCACTTGCGGCCTCTCCCGTACTCGAAGCCCCATCGCCTCATGGTAGTGCGGATTCTCATAATACAGGCCATAGGCGTTCATCGTCATACAACTTCCCTGCGACAGGCGGCGGGTCTTACTCCCGCCCGAGGTCTAGCACTCACGTGAGCAGTCCTTCGACGCCAGGCCATAGAAACTCGCACTCCCTTTCTCACTCACCATCGCCTCGTTCTCAATATCCGTCGTCTTTCTCTCCCGCGACGTCGATGCACAACCAGTCATTACTCCCGTCTTTGCCTGTCCCGTCTACCCCTACGCGCCGTGTGTCATCCCAAGCTGGTGGTTCGTTCGCCGATCGCAACTACGACGAAGTCGATTGTTCTACACATGTCCAGGGCGACTTCACACCTCCAGGACGCCCGCCAAGGCACTGGTGGAACATGACAGTTCCATGGAATGCAGACGAGTGGTGGACCCCCGGAGAGTTTGTATATCAAGACGAACCCAGAGTTAAACATGATGAAAGGCTCAATCCAGTACGGCCCGCGCAGCTGCATCTCCCATCCGGCGACGCGACGTCCAATGGAGAAGCTGGCGGGGTGACAATCAGGCCACTGTGTGTCGGAATCGCGGATGCTGAGAGAGAGAGAGCAAGATCGAAGAGCTATTTGGCTTCTTTTCGATGGCATTCATTCTCGCAGCGTATGGTGGTATGCGCCGACGACCAGGGAAAATGCAGTGATAAGGAGAGGGGCCATAAATCGAAGGTACTCTCTCGGTTTACTGGCGCCGAACTAGATGGTTACAACAGGGCACAGAAGGTGAGGCCTTCGCCGTCCCCGTCCCGTTATGTGCCTTGTCTTACTGTGTTTCGCAGAATGTCATTCTGGCGTGCTATTCAGTAATGACCCGAGATGAGCGGACTTCTGAATATGTCAAAAAGGATTCTACAGCATCCCGTAGGTCCCCTTTCTTCGCTGATACGAAAGGAATTTGATTTTATCACTCTCAGGCGTTTTCTCGACGGCTGGGACAATTATTGATGAGGCACTCCCTGCTTTGAAGACCATCCTGGAGTGCACATACAGTGCAGCTGCTCTAGTTCCTGTACCGTTTTTTCTGGAGGCGTCGCGGACCCTCCTAATTATCTGGGAGGCATGTGAGCAGCTTTCGGTGAGTTGCTCCATGGTTACTCGTCCCCATCGTTGCTGACATCGGAAACATGACTTCTTTCCCTTCAACGTCGTTCTGCAGTCGAATAGACTTTCTTGTCTTCGCATCGTCGAACGCTGTGCAGGAATGCTTTACTTTGTGCGCGAGCAGATCGAAGGGGTCGGTCCTATCGTTGGAAAGGAACTCGACGCGGCCTTCCACGTCTTTAGAGAAGTCATCTTTCAAGTATGTTCTTACTATCTATCTACCTCCGTTCTAACTCTGACAGCGTAAATGATAGATTGAGGGATTTCTCTGCAGAATCAGCCGCCGACCAATGCTCAAGCGCTTCATCAGGAGAGCTGAAATTGCGAAAGAACTTTGCAATTGTGATCAGGCTTTGATGGATGCTTGGCTAAGATTAAATGTATGCCAGTCTTTTTATCGCATGTTCACGATCTGAAACAACAGCTCCGGCAGGCAACGGTATCCGTGAAGATCGTCCAGAATGTCGCATGTCTTGATGAGAAGATCGAAGACCTGGTGTCAACTGTTCTTTCAGACAACACCGCGACACTATGTGCTGACCGCGAGTCGCTAGCACATGCACCCTCAACTCTGGACATCAAGACGTCCGCAGCACAGAAGTCCAACCTCTGCGACACGAACTATCTGCTTACAGAGACCGTCCCATCTATGCCAGAGTGTCTGACGACTACCGAGGGCAATGTTCGTCGCGAGTTGCACCCCATCTTCCCTAAAGACAATCCGGATAATGAACTCCGACACGACCAGTTCCAGCTTGAACATCTCCCCGGCTTCATTAGCACCGCGCAGTGCGATGCGGACGTCCTCAATGGTCTGGAGATTGAACGAAACGAGGTCGCTGAGATAATGAAAGCCATGCGGCGACAGTTGGAGTCTCTGCATGCATTCTCGCGGACGACCCCCGCTGCCAGTGACAGTACTCTCGCTGAGATGGAGCTTTTGGACGCTAGTATCGTCTCTATGTCGAAGCTGCGCTGCATGCAGGTGCGAGGCGCTGGCACTGACAATCCTCTTCTACCATGGGAACTTCCTTCATGGACGATCACGCGGTGGGTCCCTTCTTAATTTCATGCCGTACTCCTTGTTCTGATAGAATTTCTCAGGTATGAGGTCGACCGGTTTGAGATGATTGGCCAAGGGTCATTCTCCAGAGTCTATGCTGGATCCTGGCGCGATAGGGTTGTCGCCATCAAGGTTCTCCACGATTTCACCCCAGCTTCGACGTTTCGTCGAGAGGTCGAGCTGTGGCGCAGACTTAGGCACCCACAGGTCGTTCGTATGTTCGGGGCGAGCAGTGCTCATGGATCCAAGCCCTGGTTCATCGTGAGCGAGTTATACGAACGTGGAAGCCTCGTGGAGTGGTTGCTGACCGCAGCGCGCGAAAATCACACCACGTCACGCGAATTGGACCAGTTCCGTTTCATATGCCAGATCGCCAGCGGGATGGAATACTTGCACGATCAGAAGGTGGTCCACGGTGATTTGAAGGTTCGTGACCCATCCGATATCCCAGCGCTTTGCTTATGTATATCATGGAGTAGTGCGCGAATGTTTTCGTGAATCTGGAGGGAAACTGCGCCATTGCTGACTTTGGTCAGAGTGAGCTCAAGGATGATGCTTACAGGCTAAGCGGGTATCAACGACCAAGTATGTTGGCTTCTGAAGCGATGCCTTGTTTCTGACCACTTGATCGCACAGAGGGGACGCCGAGGTGGAAAGCCCCGGAAGTGTTGGACGGTGCCGCAGGTCCGACAATGAAAGCTGACGTCTACGCTTTTGCCATCTGCTGCGTGGAGATCCTCAACATGGGCGGCATTCCTTACGGCACCCGGGACGACGAAGATGTGAAGAGGATTGTGCTCGGTACGTTCAAGCTGTGTTGTCCAACTCTCAAAATTGCTTATGCGTTTCTAGAACACGATGCTCGCCCAGAGGTGTCCTATTCACGTCTTACCGACATTCTTCTCCCAGTCATCACCTGCTGCTGGGCGAGTGACCCTCGTTGTCGTTCATTATTTTCCGTTACGGTGCATTCACTTCGAGGCTGTCGGGATGTCTTATATTGCCATGGTGCAAACGTCTTACCAAACCCTTGCACGCCAAGTGCTCCCGCGAACTCCCCAGTCGTTGGCTTCCCGGGCCGTCTCTCACCTGGCCCTCGAGTTCTTGGCACACCGACTTCTGACGGCCATTCTTGGATAGCACACTCTCCATCGATGTCCGAATATTATAGCACGTCATCTGGATTTGGATCTGAGTTCGGACATTCAGAGCCTGACTCTGACTTGACGGACGTCCTAGAGCCGTCTATGTCCAGCGGGACACCGGTTTTCATGGATACGTACACTGTCGGTGAGGTCGGCCCCGTCGCCGAGCACACCATCGACGGCCTCCTTCCCGAGATGTCCACGAATACGTGGGCACAGGCCATGCAGAACGAGAGGCGCTACAGGCTTTTGGCCAAGGACACCCATGGGCATGGAGGTTTTTGTACGTTATCGTTCTGTTCACCTTCATGTGTGCTTATACTCATCGTTTATAGTCTCGACGCCTCTATGGTATCCATCACCTGTCGAGGTGGGTGCTGTGGGATATATCTCCAAACCCGACGGGGAGTTCATAACCCTCTGCAACGTCACTGAGATTGGAGGAAAGAAGAAGGCCGAGGGTGACGTAGCAAAATGCATACCTCCCTTGCGGGATTACGGTAGCATCAACGTTGGGAAGACGCGTGTTCGAAGTGGTTCGCGTAGGCTGAGCAGAATGTTCAGCTTTGGCTGCCACCATGACGAGTAGGTTTTACTTGTTCATGGTTGTATTTTTGTGCTGAACTTTTGCAGCGGCGAGAACGTATCTCGTAGGCAACAATTTACCCTGCAAGCTGGCAAGCCGACAGCTGCTGTCTACGCCGAGTCATTCGAGTGCCGGGACTTCTCCGATACTACCCCAGCTTCGCGGTGGTTTAAAGACAATATCCACACGATCCTGCAAGAATACGCACCGAATCACCCTATACAGAAAGAGGACGTCTTTCTTGGTACGTGGATTCCAATCTATACCTCCTTGGCTTCGTCTTAGTGATGCTGTTTCGCAGTTACGGGCACTGTAAACGCGCACGACTACGCTCTCTTCGTGGCCGATCCCATTTCGTCAGGGGAGGCGTACTTCAACGTTTTCGCTTCTCGCAAAGCGAATCATCCGTGGGGCACTTTCACGGTCAAGTCTGATGGTCAGGAGGTTTTCCCCGCGGGGGCCAGCTTTACGAGTAAGGTGTCACGGCGGCGGTCCGACAAGACTCGGGATACTATAATCCTTGCGCGACTTCGCTTTGCGCCTGATGCAGAGGAGCCGACCCTGTATTAGAAAGCATCGTCCCTCCCATCTTATCCAACGGAATGGCTACATACTTTTTTTCTGTTTCCTGTACTGTTACTGGTTCCTGCAGACATAATATCGCATTTCATGTATGGATAGATCGTGTTGTTTTGTACCTTTCGCACACATGTATCATAGCAAAGCATTTGATCTGGTCAGACTGACGATGGGAGACGATAACATGATCCAATTGACATTTATAGGTGATAGTTTGTTTCTCGAAGTGCGCATCAGTATGACCTTTTGACAAGGGTACTACTGTCGCATCAACGAAGCTCAACCGAACACTTTGCACAACAGGTGACCGGTGATTCTTCAAGGAAGCCGGAAGCATCCACAGTGTCCTATATAGCTCAATGAGTCAACCCTCTGAACATCCGCGGCCCCCAAGCGCCTTCGGGAGCGAAATTTGGTCATCTCCAGAACTTTTGAGGCACGTAATTTCCGTATCGTCTTTCGGGGCGCCTTCAAGGAACGCGCTGGATCTAATCATAGCCTACCCTTCCACCAACGGGAGCGCTCGCTTTAGTATTCAGGAATGCGTGATGCGCAGGCGTTTGCAGAACTTCTCGGGGGAATTATACTAGATTTTAGTGCCCATTGCAAATAAATCAGCCCGGCTATAGTAGACGCCCTGGAGATAATTGGCGACATACACAATGATAAGCCAGTCGGCGGCCATGCAAATTAGACGAAGAGATCATCCAATTATCCCCAGCGTCTGGGTCACTCCAAGTCATCTATTTAGAGCCTTCAGCTCGTCGTAACACACACCAGGTGTCCACAAGACTTGTGCTCCAGGGTCCCTCGCCAGATCTTACAAAACAGCACGAAATCAGTGACCCAAAAAGAAGAGCAAGGGTGCCAGACTGCAATGAGAAGAAGATGCCTTGGAAGTCGAAAACGGTGACGTATGGGAAGGCGTAACCTAGTTCCTATTGTCGAGTCGAGCACTGGAAGTGTGACGATGAGAGTGGCGAAGAAACTTCGACAGTTGAGTTGCAGTTGAAAGGACCGACTTTCATGCTCAACACCGAGTGTTGGCAATCAGCCCTGACTTGGTCCTGAAAGATTTTAGTATTATGACGGCGGATGCATAGGAATAGTGGTTAACGACGAACATTAACCTAAGCTTGCCAGTAACTTTTAGTTGGTGGGAGTTTGGTCCCATATCAAACTTAGATCAGCTGGAAATGGTCCGTTATGTACGATTGTTATTATGTTGACACCATCACCACCGATATCGATACCGTTATACCTGGATCTCCATCATGGCACCCAGAATTAACGCAAAGGATAGGGAAGCTCTCAGGGCTCTGCCTCGGTTGATGCAGGTGTGTTCAAATCTCTAAAAAGGCACGACAGCGCTGATTTCTTTGTCGCTTTAACAGCGTAAAATTGATGGGGCATTGCGTGGCTCAGTTGAAGACCTCCGAGACATTGTTGGTAGTCTCAATCAACTCAAGGATATCACGCCACTTTTGCTTCCCGTCTTTCACGCTCAACTGGAGGCATACCCCATCCCAGACGGAATCAGTCCTGATGTTGTACCAGTGATCATGCTCGCTAAATGGTCTTTGGGTGGCATTGTGCAAATTTGTCATAACCTCGGCAACAATATTAGTCTTGGAGAACGCATTGTCCATGACGCTGTGGCTTCAAAGTGGGAGATACTCTTCCCGTGGATGCAGTTCTTCAGCAACAACTTCCTCCCACCTTCGCGAAGACCCGCTGTCCTCCCGCATGGCCTGTCTGTTAGCACTTACGAGGCCCTTAGGATTACCATACATCCATTGTCAACTTTGTGTCAATTCACAGCAAATGGAAGACAGTTGATGAGGACGAACCCCACTGTTCAAGCGTTTTTCTTTCGGGCTTGGGTCATCGTTGACGGGCTGAAGAGCGATGACGTCGCTGATCCCCTTCGGGAAGGCGATAAAAACCTCAGTGCACTGATACGGGCGAATATGTGCTCGCTCAGCGTTATTTGCATGGAAGACACCCCTGCGTCTCTGCCAGTATCCATCATCGCCTCTGCTGCTGGCGGAATCTTCCCCATGGCCTCATTAGCCCTCCGATATATTCGTCGTATGACTAAAGAGGTGGCTAATATGCCAGAACCCCGGTCACGTGCAAGAGAGAATGTCGACTTCTCGTCCATGACAGTATGTGCTACTGGCTTGGCTCAGGCCATCCTCTTCATGCAATCCTTGGGCGACCGAGAGGGCGGTTGCCAAGAACTGCTTCTCCAAATTGGCTCCATTCGTACTGTCCTAAGTGCTATCACGACACTCTGGGAACGGCTCCTAACCCCTGCGTGGAATAGTTCAGACAATGAACCAGATATTGGGCTAGCGGCGCGACGCAGAGTGTTATACATAGCATATCGCTATATCGGCTATTCAATGAATTGCGCAAATGACTCTGCTTTGGTGATATCTCAGGCCCTTCAGCACGGTCTACTCGAATGTCTCCTGCGGACTGGATCATCGCGAGCTGAACGTGTTGACAATACCAAACGCTTTGATGATGACCACGACATTCAGTTGCTCAAAGAGCTTCCCCGGTTCTTCGTGTTCTCAAAAGTGCTACGGGCTCTTCACCCTGCCCTTCATAGAGTAGATAGGGCAGGCCTGCAAGAACGAGCATCCCAAGACCCTGTATTATGGGAAGTATGGGAATCCGTCGACTCCGCAGCCCGTACCTTCACCAATTTCCACGAGTTGCCTGAAGGAGCCCCCTTCTACCGATATAAGTGCTGTAGCTCGAAAGTGCGTTCGAGGACGGTCCACTTATCTTCGCCGACTAACATCCTTAACTATTAGTGCTCTCTCGATTTCTCCGAAGACGATATCTCAGCATATCGTTGTTCAGGGTGCATGCTGACGCGTTACTGCTCAAAAAGATGCCAGAAGGACGCTTGGGATTCCGGTCACCGTACTCACTGCCGCATGCTGCGTTCTGCTCTCGGTCAGACCTATTGTCCTACGCATTTATAAATTCTTATCTGATGATTTAACTTGAAGGCAATCAAGATGTACGCGAGATTCGCAAAAGCTTACCCGTTATTGCGATGATCGAATCTTGGATATGCGAAGAACGCGTTCATGAAATCAAGGCGCTCGATAAAGACACGGTGAAAACCTCCCCCGACGATCGCTCCATCGTAGAGGTGGACTTGTCCGTCTATCCCATCGAATTAAACCTGTATTCCCTGCGGGAATATTTCCTTGTTTGCGGCTCTCACACCTTCGAACGAGAAGTTGCTGACTCGATCACAACCCCAAAAGAGAGCCCGTACGATCTGGTTACGGTCAAGGTCAGGCTTGGGAGAGAGTATTATTCTTTGTTCAGCCCAGCAACATCTTTGGGTCTTGCGTTTGGGTGGACGTCGGGCATTCAGGGAGGACGATACATCCATGAGCATCCTCAGACGCCTGATCCATGAATTGCACAAGACGTCCAGTTTGGCGATACCGTCAGCCCTTGTTGGCACTTGCATTCTGGATCTCAGACGAGGCGCGTTACTGTTAGAACCTTGAAGGAGCATTTAAAGGTACCAGAACGTAGGTGAGCCTTCGAAAGAGCCATGTTCACGTATTGAACTTGTTATCAAATGAAACTCGCATAGTCCACAGGACTGCATGAACCTCTGGAGGCCTTTAACAAACATGGATACACGGCATCTAGTGCTGTGACCCTTGGGAGATGGGAAGATTGGTCCCTTAGAAATTTACCTAGATTTACATCACAGCTCTGGCTAGCTGGGACGCAATAGACTAAACAAAGTTACAACGGAGACAAGGGCAAGTCAACATTGGGGCATACTGACTACAACATAGACATCTTTTCAAACTTCCGTTTCACAATCGACAACTCGTAGTGAGTGAGGTCGATAAGTTATAAGGAGAATTGTCATATGCAGGTATGTCTCATTCACTAAGCTTGTTGTATGAATGATCATGTGGCAGTGTCAGCACAACACAGCTCGTGCACTGAAAAACAATCGCCTTGTACCGGAACAAAACGATGTGGTCCGGTGTTGTTCGGATCAAGTGGAATTTTGGATGATTTCCACTCCAACTTGTCAAGTCGGTCAGATATCTTGCCAGCCAAGCCGGAAATTCTGTATTCGTAAGTCTGCTCGAGTCAGATGAAGTGGCAACCACTATTTGCGCAATGGTGATACCATGCAGAGGGGAACGCAACTAACTCTCTGACTGGTGTGAAATCTCAGTGAATCGTACTGTTCCAACGTGTTCCGCTATGGTCCGCTGCCAAGGTCGGCGCTGCGGTGTAGCGGGCTTCCGCTCTTCCGGCTTCTTGTTTATCCACTAATGTTCGAAGTCATGTCATGTCAGACAGTAGCACGGAGGCGTAACCACCGGGTATTACTCGCTTGCCAGCTAGCGAGTCCTGGGGATATATGTTAGCTCCAAATCTTAATTGTATTTAAAAGGAAAAGAGACGCCGGCGTGATGACTCTTCCAATAATTTTTCTCAGTCACGTTGGGCGCATACGTACACCTTTGGGAATAATTGCAATTGTTTATAGGATCCTAAATCCTCTGCAGAGCAGAAGCACCAGTTATTATCGATGTCGTTGATCCCACTGCGGGTTGTGGGCATTTTTGATCAGGTCTCCAAATCCCTAGGAAAAATAAATCACAGTACTGAAGAAATCTCTTGATCCCGACTCCAACTTGAAGTGAGACTCTGGCCCCAGGGCGGAAGTAGTTTGGAGACTAGATAGCATTCTAGGAACACCGGTTGAGAGTGAATGATCCTGGACGAGTGCTGTGAGATAGGCGCGGATCCTGGAACAGCTCGCGCTGTGCCTGAAATGTCTGATTTCGAACAAAGCGCGTTCCGGAAGCTATATCGCATCAATGGCACATGTTTCCATTTGGGAGACCTCGTCCATTCTAAGGAAAAAGAGAGGGAATAATATTAGTATGTGTGCGTGCAGTATCGATGCTCAAGCCATTCACGACGATACTTGTCCACCTTAGACTTCACTTGGCATCGTAAATGCTCGGCAATGAAATCATACGGTCTCCACGTGGGATGGTAATTATATTTCAGGATGCTGATGGTCTAGTTGATATACACATGCTGGTGGGAGGCGCACCACGAGTTAAGATCATGCTACTTCTCGGAGCCTTTGACTAATTCGATTGCTTCATGTTGCTGCGAACTGGCATTGATGGCACTGAGGTACGTGTCTAATAGACTATCATCAGGAAAGAAAGATTCTCAGGTAAATTCGAACTTACTCCAAAACAAGCTGACAACGCTAACGACAACAAAACGAAGGTGATGTGGCACGATAGCGAAGTTGATGATTTGGGTGGGAATAAAGACTCCCCTAGATCTATTTGAGCGTACGATGGCGTAGGTGGCGCCACAAATCTTACCAGTTACGGATTAACGTTGGTGTGTACGCCTGAGAGACAGGTGAGATGGGTACCAGCTTGTAGGGGGAAGTCGCTTACAGTACTAATGCGGTCCTGTGCGCCAGAAATACCCTTTCCTTCCATGATACTCATTGTGCCAAAAAAGAACCCGACAGCCACTATAAGAAAGTGAAAAGAGTGAGAAATACGAGTAGATCCATGTGTGGTCAACGAACCAGGAGTAAGGATCGCTTGGTCCAGCCAAACCTGCAAAAAGGCGATCATTCCCTCATGAAATTGAAGGAGGCAGTACGTCCCATACACGATATATCACAGCCTTCGTAGGAGTAGAGAACTTGATCTGGTTGAGAAGCTGGTACCATTTTGTCAAGGCTGGCCCAAAGAACGCTCCTGATTAAAATAAACATGAAAATTAAGCTTTAAGACCATATTCGGCTTGAATCACCCCCATAAAAAGTGAGGCGCGCAGTACGCATGAACTACGCAGATATGATGAATACCGGTTCATCCTGTAGTAGTATCAATACTCACATCATGATTCTTCCCCTGGCGCTCGATGACTTGCTGGGCGATCACATCGCCTGCGCCAAATAAGAAGGCGGCTGTGGCAGACTGTGCGAGCATGGGTCTTCGGATGAGAGCGGCACTGGAATACTTGAGCAAGCAAAACCGAGAATGGTGAATTTCAAGCCGCCTACTTGTACAACCGAAGAATTGAGGCCATTGTTGAAGAAGTAGCTTGGAGTCTTGGATAACTCCAACTAAGAACCAACACGGAGAGCGCGCGTCTATGGAGTCGCGGAAGTTGAATTCAAGGCCTGATATTTATGTAATATGTACGTCAGTTGACGGGGTCAACCGTGACAACTTCATACCAGTATGCATAGTACTGAAAACCTCTGAAAACTCACTGAACGCTTAAGTTCTTGACCCTCGATGTCTTATGACATGACGATCAAAATTATGTAGTCAAGTCGCCTGAAGCTTTTCTCTATTACTTATGTGACATTTCCAGAAGGGTTAGTGCGCGCGCGTTTCTTATGTAAACCATTTGGGTGAGTCACCGTGACTTCGCGCGAGCTATTTCCACAAAAACAAGGGGCGTATCATCTTTCTATCAAGGTACGACGACGGGGACTGCCAAACTGGCATGACTGATGTTTTTAAGTGAAGTAACGTCTATTGTTGTTACCTCTTTTGATTTCATAGCCTTACTTAGCTTCATCACGAATCGTTCTAAGTTGAACGTTGATGTCCAAAACTTGCTGAAACAGTCTAAGGTACTTGGAGTGCTGACATGGCCGTTGATTAAAATTTAAATCCTTCGTACTGGAAGGACATAACTTTAAAAATCATTCCAACCGTTGCCTATCTGGCATTTCAGAGTTTGCGTTATCTCTCTCTCGAATTGCGAGGCACGTTACCGGCGTTTGGCGGTCTACATTTTCCTGTGGCCGGATGCACGTACGGAAGACAGCTCCTCTGTTCTCAAAGAGTGCAGGTTTGAGATGCGCCGATATTTGTGGACCGGAATCAACATCTTGTGTCGCCTCGAGACAAAATGAAAATGTTTTTTGGGTTGAATAAAGAATTTGGGCAGGCCAAGTACTAGTGGTGCCTCAGTGTGTGTTGAGTGCGTCCATGGGTATGTCCAGTTGTCCGCATGCAGTAGCTAAACAAGTCGTGAAAGCCACACGAAATTATTCGACGGTCACGGGCTTAGTCGCTGCTGCCACAATGTCAGTGAAGTCCATATGAGCGCACACCACTTTGGTCAGCCAGCCTGGTGATGCTCCCTTGGTTTTTGTTCTCTGAGTAGTCGGACATAGGAGAGTTATTTTTGTGGTCGCGATCATATGCATCCTGCATCCCAAATTAGCCCGAATCCGAGGACTTCACACGTACCCAATTTGTACCCAGTGCCAGTGGATGTATACTGGTTCCGTTGCAAACTCAATAGGCAATTTGGCAGTTTAAATCCAGATCTCAGTGTGATACGGAAGTGACCTACCGTACAACCACGTGTAATAGACTTGAAGGGCTCCTCAAGACTAATGTATATCGGATGGTCCAATGCAGCCAGCCATTTGCGCGAGAAGATGTGTGTCTAGAAAGTGTGTTACGTCAGTTATGCTGGACAGGTGAGTGTCCGTAGCTATCCTGGCATGTGGTCACGAGCCTCACGGCGAGTAGACTTCAAACCTTCGGTCCTCTGGTACCCTCTTGCTACCTGCTGAGTGGCGCATCGGAGGACCTGGGTCCTGCATTTTTACTGTGGGTGTGTGAATTATTCCTCCTGAAACCCGAAGTAAGACACCAAAGTCAAAACACTCACAGTCACCCAGCGCCAACGATTCTCGATCTAAAGATAGCGTGCGCTTACGACGTTATCATTCCAGGGCGAAATTTTACATCACGAACCAACGTCTCACCTAGTGAGCAAAAAGTGACATGACCTCGCAGCTCGAAAAGCCATGGCTAGACGATACCTGCAAATTTTGTTATGAAGGATATGGTGACGATACAGAATGATATTGCGGAATTGCGCGTAGCTCCGGATAAAACCTCAAAAAGTTAAAATTCAGGCAACTCGTTATCGCCTGGGACTCGGATGTCGTGGGTCTTCCAACCCAAACTTGGATAAGTTGATGCGGCGTCAATATCATTCACTTCTTTGACTTTCACCGCCATCAAGCCACCATCTTGACAAATGCAACAACGGCCGCTGCCCACAGTGGTGCAATCATGTTCCCCATAAAATCCCGAAACAGCCTGTTCATCTCATGTAGGTCATCGAGTCGCGATTAACAAAGTCTCCCTTACTAGGTAGATCAATAGAAGGAAGGTTGCCCTTCCTTCAGTATAAACAACTAGCACACCCTGAACTGGACGTTGCCCGCGGCTGCTGCAACGCTACGAGGAACAGAGGGCCAAATTAAATAAAGAATCAGACAACCAGACACATACCCTGCGATTATGTTTTTTCCAGTGGAGACTCTTCCTCGGAGCTCTGCGCGAGATAATCGGGAGTAGTTGGATCGTGAGTGAGAACTGAACAGTATGTCCATCTCTTGGATCAGTTCCTGGAAATCACGTTCACCCGTCGTCGAATTCTATAGTAACAGGGTTCACTCCCTCACTCATTTTAGAACTTAATCACGCTATTCACTGCAGCGGAGTGTGTGCGTGCAATTGGCACCGCACTCCACACGCGAAAGGAGGCATTCCAGCTCTAGTATAAAGGACCGAAGTAAATGTGGACACCTGACTTGTCCCCGCTCTCTGAAGGATCATAGCACCACAAGTCAGCACCGGTAATCCAGTCATGTCTTCGAACTCTGTTACCGAAAAGGAGGGCCCAAGGGACAACTACTACGTCCAGACTGTCAACATGGACACCCCCACACCACCTGCACCGCAGATGCAGCCCTTCCAGAGAACATACGGTAACCCCGTACGTCTTTCATGCTTTACTGATAGTATGTTGGCATCATTTAATTGGCTTCCAGGCACCTTTGGGCATGCTGGCCTACGGTACTGTCTTCCTGTGCTCGTCGATCCTAACTCTCGCCGCCAAGGACCTTAATCACTCCGCCAGCTTGGTCTTGGTTTTCGCCACCTTGTGAGTTTCCATTATTCACAAATGATCCTGATTTTGACCCAGTCACCCCCAGTTACGGTGGCATCTCACAAACACTGGTGGGCATGTGGGAGATGTTCCTTGGGTATGATTCTGACCTCTGTATGGAGGAGCTACCACTGACATTTTTCTATAGTAACACATTTAGCGCAACGGTCTTTACTACCTATGGAGGTTTCAACTTATCATATGGCGCTCTCTACCTGCCTCAAATTGGCCTTGCGTATGTCGCCTGGAAGCATTGACATATGTCCTCCCTAACACACCGTTTAGGGCTGCATACACCGTTGACGGGGTTGTCGGACAGGAGTTCTACAATGCAATTGGGATCTACCTTGCCATCTGGGACTTGATCACCTTCCTTTTCCTGTGAGTCCAAGGAAATATGTGACGCGGACAGCTCTAATAATTTTACAGCCTTGGTGCAATCCGCACAACTGCCCCAATTGTCGCAACGCTCGGGTTCACTGTCTGCGCGCTCACTTGTCTTTCCGCAAATGCTTTCACCGGTGTGTTTTAACCCGTCTAGTTTTATGTTCTATCTGACGTCCAATACGCAGGCATCCCGGCATTGGCAACCGCAGGTGGTGCCCTGGGTATCATCGCTTCCTTCGGTGCATACTACGGCGCCCTCTCACTCTTCTGGACACAACAGACCACCTTCTCATTCATTCGCCTCCCTCCTCTCATTACAGCCCCTTCCAACGTTTAAGTGTTGAGCTATTGATCCTCAACAGATCGCTATGTCTCATCTTCCATTTTTATTTTGAATGAAATGTTATCACGTTTGTATTAGAGTCTACGTCTGGTGGAATGGGTGGGGTTTAGTGTGTGGAGTAAGATACAGTTGTTTCCTATGTTTGCCTCGGTTCCAGCTTCGGTTCCGGGTTGATGATAATAAAAACCACATATCGATATGATTGTTGATTCTGTTCATCTCTAAATTGGCTATGAAAGGTGGTATGTTTTTTTAATGTTCCAGCAACAGATAGCTTTTCCGATCCCTGAGGTTCACTGACGGTGAAGCTTTATCGAGGCAAATACGTGGTGGGAAGGTTTATTCTCGATGGATATCACCGTCACTCAATGTGTATCAATGTTAGAGGTCACTTGAGAGGCCACGAACGTTTGCCCGAAGCCAACTGGAACCCAACCGCGACATCGGGCGCATCGTCACCAATACTACCGACTCGAGGGTCATCAAGGGTCATCAGTATCTTGGCATTAAGACTATGACGGCTCCGCGCCAACAGGCTGAAATCCTAAGCACATCACCGCTGTCATATTTGCCAGATGACTCAAGCTCCAAGTCTTATCTGGGGGCTCAACGAATCTTGGCGGCGCCCGACAGGGGAGAACACGTAACAAGTGTGAATGCAGCAACAACAATCGGCCAACAGATCTGCGCCATTGTAGGCTCAGGCACATTAATAAACACTGTTCTTTGATTGGACTGCTCGATTTGCATGGGCGTATCTGTGGTGATTTAATGAACACCTAAAGCAGAGCGGAAATGTATCACCAGGTCAAAGTCAGTGAGAGTACAGGGATAGCCGTACGCGACTGCATCGCCCATGGTATCAATTACAGAACTTGAAGCAAGAAGTCTCAGAGGGAATTCTTGATTTCGAGTTGGGGTGCTAGAGGGATCGACGATCAGTACCGTGATGAAGGGGGGTATTTTGAGGGCGGTGAGAATACTTGGTCACCTTTCAATATACAGGATTTATTCAAGTCTTGCTCCATTATTATAAACAGTGAAAATATGTAATCTACAAGTCATCAGGTATGTTAGAGCATGTGCGCCCGGCTATCCGGACCGAGTCAAGTCAGTCGTTCACGAAGCCAACCAAAAACCTGATAATCTCTCGCAGCCCAAATCGGCCACAAAGTGAGCGAGATGACAATAAACAAACCACATCCTACGATTCCTAGAAGTATGACGGATGTAGATTTAAACACCAGGAAGGAAAATGCGACGACGAAGCATGCCATCCTGACCCGATGATACTCTGAGCATCAGAAGGGATAGTTGAACGAAGGTACTCACCCCCACATAAGCAGTGCATACGGAAGACTATGTAAAATTGCAAGCGCTCTGTCACCAAATATTGAATGTGTCATCTTGGTGAGAAATACGACCTGCACAACGGTTGTTAATGCGTGCACAGTCCATGATAAAGGTACACCTCATACAGCGTTATTGGCAGACACGTTACCATATTTGCGGTTCTGGCCAGCAAGTAAAATGGACACAACCAAGGATCCAACTACGCAGAACGTTGACAGATAAGCCGCAATAATGGCAACAGATTGAGAAGTTTGGGCGTTCACACTGGGCACCGTGAGAAAGCTGAGGTCCACAGTTAGCATCACCGTTGACTGTAAAAACGGCCCGGTTTAGAACATCAGACACAGAGAGTAAGGTAGATGATATCGCACATATATTGTGATAGAAATCCATTCCCTGCTGAGCTTGTCGTTGAAATCTTTCCATCGAGGTGAACTTGTACTTTTATCCACCCAGACTCTTTGCAGTTCCGTCATCTGGGCGTGGGGAGCACCGAAGAATAGAAGCTCCACTATCCACGACAGCACGGACTTCACTATGTGCTCATCATTCGTGCGATATATTGACTGGTCAGCTTCTAAACGTGCACAAGGTTGACCGCAGAAGTTGAAAAATTTGGCTCGGGCTGTTCCCGAATGATAAGTGCACAAAAACATTGATGCAATGGCAAACCGTACCAAAGTATTGCATAAATCGTGCTAAGAGGAAATCAGAATATCTGAGACGAGAAAAATATGCAAGGTTAAAGTGTTAAAGACACACCAATGACACACATGGAGTAGGGGCGACATTCACTTGAAGTGGTTTCTGTTGTGTCAGACGTGCGTTTGATTTGAGTGAGCTATATTGTGCACTTCTGCGCACCTTGAAGGTGATTGATTAGGTCGAGTATTTTCGAGAGCTCCTCTCCCCCGAAAGGTGATAGTGACTTGTCAGACGTGATGACGTCTAGGTGGACATATGAGTACAATTAAATAAAGGCAAATTGGAGTGATTTGACCTGCACTAGCATGCACAATAATTTCTCTGAGTTCCATAAGGAGTCCATTTCGCGATTCTACCTCTCTGTTGTTAGGGTAGAGCTCACAATGCACCCTACAACTGAATTGCTAGCTTGAACAAACAATACTAATACAGTACGAGTCAATCAGTATATCATCTCGAGATCATTACATGAAAAACTACTCACACAGGAACAATATTTACCAGTACTGGAATTGAATGACATAACCTGCAGCAGGAAGTTGATTTCGTGCCATCCTGACATTGGGCAGAAACTCACGGATATGACTGTGATCCTTGACCCCCATAACCCCATCAAAAAGATCTTCAGTGCCTAATTCATCGAGCCAGAAGAGGGTACGCTCGGCACGGTCTGCAAAATAGTAGCTGCAAACTCGTTCTCCGGTATCCGGATCCATGCCGAGTTGCAGTGTCAGTTCGATGTCGTTCGTCAGGACAATACCACAGCTCCTGGCAAGAGCGAGTAAATCATCTGCGCAGTCATTCAAGTCGTCGAGGAATGCCTGCACTTGGACGTTGGTATCGGTGAAGACCCTCTAATTAGATCAATCAACTTGAGTCCTGTGAGCCATAACAGGAAGGTGAGCCAACCTTCACTGGATGATAGAAATACAGGGTGCCCTCGGGATGGACATGCGCTTCCCAACCAGTGCCATTGGGCAATTGACGTCTCAATCGCATAGCATTAGCCGGGCATCGTTTACCCAAATATTTGCCACTTACTGAGGGTACTGTCTTACGACAGGCTGGATACTTTCTATTCCGCTGGAAGACTTGCTATACAGTGCATATCACTCAACAAGCTGTTGCCACAAAAGGAGCACCAGGAATAACTTACATTTGCATATCCTTTCCGTATCTCTGAACAGTGGAAGCAAGAAATGGAACTTTACGGCGGCGGCGAGCTGGCATAATTGGGGGCGCATGTTGATGTGACTGCGACTGAGGACCGGTCGCTACTGGCAGTACAAAGGAAGGCATAGTAACAGGTGTCGAACTGCATGCAATATTGACTGTCGCAGAAATTTATGAGTCATGCAATGGATGAATCGGTGGACTACCGACAAATAACATACCAGATGCATTGGTAGGCGCTGTTGGAACCCCTAGGAGACTGCTCCCAGCTAATCCCGCCGGGATATCTGACTGAGTGCTAAGACTACCAGCTGGTCGGAAAATACTTGAAATTGAACGTATGGAGCTCCGGGAAAAGAAGGAACGTAGGACGTTCAACAGACCACCACACAGGCGCCGGAACAAGGTCAGGGAGATGGAAAGAAATCCATTCGAGAGCGCCTTGAGAAATTTCCATAACGTGGTGAACCTAAGGAAGGCCCGAGGTGGAAGGTGAACCATAGATTCTTCTAGATGAGTTGATCGATGATATGACTGAGGCTACTGAACGTGGTTATCTGGCAGAAGCAAATTGATTCCCGCCTTGGCACTCGCTTCAGGATGACGTTAATACTAACAGAATATACAAGATGGCAGCATACGCACGGCGGTAGGCGGTGCAATGTTCGAAATGGATCAATCTGCACTTATTATATCTCAATGTGGATGGGGCTATGTACACTTTGTTATCGTTACCAGTGACAAAATCAAGCATGATATATTCATAGTAGGCGCACGTTCACCAAGACTCGCAGGTGCTCTTTGTCTCGGGGTGACGGACAATCGATACACTCTAGCATCCGTCGCACGATTTTACCATATATTGGTAGCATGGATGGAATCTTAAGTGCTTTGTCTTCCTTGATGAAAGCACAGATTTCGTGCGCAGACGTCAAACATCATCGCGTTTTGCCCGATCGAGAATCATTTCACCAGAACCTCGTTGACATGCGAAGGCGATGATATTGAAACAAGCACGCCTTGGCCGCGCAAGTGAAGGGCCATCTTCGTTAAGGATGGAGCTAAGCGCGAACGTTAGCCACATGAAAAAAAAATAGAGACAAAAACCTGTACATCTGCCAGCCTGTTAGTGGCGGAGTCCAGCTCAAGGGTACAAGACTCGCTGAAAACATGTCTATTGTAGCGGGGGTGGACTGTATGTTGTGGGTTGCCGAGGCAATATGTTGGACCATTCCCGGGAGATTTTTCATGCCTGGTATACCTTGGTGACATCAGCGATGCTTCCTTTTACAAACTTTGTTCGACCTGATGATAGAACTTAGTACATCATCGAATAGACGGATAAGTATATTCCGAACCACAAAATTCGAACTGGAAGACTGATCGGAATTTGGTTTGGAATGGGAGCGGTGAGTGGTGAAAGATTCTGCAGCAGCAATTATTGGCAATTATTGCACACAGGGAATACACAGAGTTGAGATCGCACATACCCCGCTTGTCTGAACGGGCAGGAAACTCTGTGCGCTCGAACTTGCAGTCGTGGATTCAGGATTCGGAGGATGCCGAGCGTTTGGAGCAGAACGGTCGATACTCTTGCCCAAGAACTTGGGAACCAACCCCGAGAGTCCTCTGCGGTTCTTCAAAGGCGGGGGAGAGGATAGCCAGAATGATATCGTGGAAATAACGCATAGTTGTAAGGCGGTAATTTGTATATCATTGTGGACGGCTGTCTCCTCTCCTTTGCCAATCGAAGGTCTGAATGACTTTGTTTCAACCGCCTCCAGTGTTTCTTCCGAGAAGCATTGTCTTCATTCATTGAGCACGACTAAGTATGAGTCTGGACTCTGAAGAGGTCTCTAGGTGCAAAAAGGACGAGGAACGTGGTGGATGGCACGCACAGGTGGATACCACATCAGCACAGAAGATTTTTGACGAACGTGTATGTGGATTCTGGAAGCGCCCATTATCGATCCAAGCTCGAATTTTTGACCAGTACGGGAGACTATAAGTATGCCAAGCACACTGTGGCACTAGAGCCAGGTTTGTTTGTGCATGCTTGTTTCGGTTAAAATGTCAATCCAGTACTACACCATGCGGGTAACTAAGTTATATACTACTGCCTGGCTCCTCTCTATTGTTCCAGGGACGAGCGCCAGCACACAAAATATTGTCAGCATCTCTGTGCCAGCTGGTCACATGCTCTATGTAGTCAAACCTTCCGTAACCGGTGCCCTCGATGTCCCCAACCGTGTCTGAAATCAACTCCGGTTGACGTGGCCACTGGGTGCCAGTGACGAGCCACTATAACGGACAGGTATCTCCCCCGTATAGAGTGACATCGTGCAGTCGAAGATCCAATCAATTAGTTTTAGGTCACTCGCCAGCGAGAATTCTCGTTTGCCTTACAAAGCGGTCAATGGTATGTTTTACTGTATGTATAAGAAAGTCGGCAAGTACTCGACCGTTATCCTAGGCACCTTTTCCAATCTTCTTCTTAATTACTTCTTTATAATCTAGCCTAGCCTGAGACGCAGCTTACGATGGCGCCCGTCGCAGTCTCCCCCAATACCACCACCGACTTTGTTACCACACCCAATACTCTCCACGACGTCATCGCTCAAGCTGTTGACCGGTATCCGTTACATGAGCTTGGCTTCGTAACCTCCTCGGCACATGACTCCTCCATTCAGACGAAGACCTTCGGCGCGTTCAACCAATATGTTCGCAAACTTGCACGGGCCATGCTCGAGTTGGGGAAACCCACAGGCTCAATTATCGTCGTGTACCTGACGGAGCATGAAGATAACATGGCTGCTGTCTGGGCGTGTCTTCTTGCTGGCTATCTGCCCTGCTTACAGCCCGCACTTAGCGCACAACAAGCGCACAAGGAGGCCCATGTTGCGCATCTCAAGGAATTGTTTGGGTCTGCAACTTGGCTGACCAGTGAGCTTGGGGCTGAGCAGATCACCTCCATTCTTGGTCTGGAGGTTCACTTGTTCTCCCGATTGAAATCATCAGGGGAGAAATTTACTGTAGCAGCTGACTGGGTCGCATACGAGGCTAAGCCGGACGACGATGCCATGCTGTTCCTGACCTCAGGGTCGACTGGGTTCTCGAAAGCGGTCGTCCACACGCACCGTACCATCCTTGCTGCATGTCGTGCGCAGGGGCAAAACTACGGCCTTTCTTCTGAATCTCAAGTGTTGAACTGTAAGGCGCACATCATTTAATCTTTCTTCCAGAACTGACGTGACATACAGGGGTCGGTTTTGATCACGTCGGGGGATCACTAACATTTCACATCACACCTCTTCTATATGGTGCTTCGCAACTCCACGTGCACGCATCTGTTGTTATTACTGATCCCCTTCGGCTGCTACGTCTGATCGACGAAAAAGTATGCCGATACTGAACCATAGCTTAAAGTGTATCTTATCATTCTACTTTAGTCACTCGAACTGGCTTATGCCCCGAACTTTCTGCTCTCCAAGCTCACTCGTGATCTGGAGAAGCGCACAGACCTCTTCGGATGCTTCGACCTGTCCTCCATCAAGCGGATCAACAGCGGAGGTGAAGCTATTGTTACCAAGACCGCGCAAGCCTTTGTTGCTATGATGAAAAGGTTTAGCAAGAACCCCTCTGCCGTGTCCTTTGTGATCGCCTCTGGGTTTGGAATGACAGAAACTTGGTAAGGATACTTCAAGCATATTGATATCAGCTGATGGACCTTTGCAGTGCCGGATGTATTTACAACTACCCTGTAGATGTCCTCACGACTGAGCATACTCGCGAATTTCTTGATCTCGGACGTCCCATCAATGGTTGCGAGATGCGCGTCGTGGACCCTACGGATGGCACTACCCTGCGCCCCGATGGTGAGAGCGGCGAGCTTCAGATTCGTGGACCGATGGTCTTCGTACGCTACTACAACAATGCCAAGGCTACGTCCTCTAGCTTTGTTGAGGGCGGCTGGTACCGCACTGGCGATGTTGGCATCATCGAGAATGGTGTCATGCGTCTTGGTGGTCGTATCAAGGACACCATCATCGTTCATGGTGTCTCATACGGTATCCCTGAGCTCGAAACCAACCTCCAGACCGTTGAAGGGGTCACGCACTCGTTCCTCGCTGCTGCTCCCTACCGCGCTCCTGGCCAGGAGACTGAAGGCTTCATCATTTTCTACTCCCCAACTTTTGACCTTGATGGAACAGATGCCTCCACCAAGCTCTTCGCCACGCACCGTGCCCTGCGGGATATCTGTGTGAAGATGATCACCCTGCCACCTCAGTTCATCATCCCAATCCCTGTGAACCAGATGGAGAAGACTACTCTCGGAAAACTATCTCGTGCGCGTCTCATGAGTCTGTTCAAGCAAGGCCAGCTTGCGGAACACATCACCCGCTCTGAGGAGCTTCTCAGTGAGGCACGGAGTATTTCCTTCATCGCCCCATCCACCGATGCGGAAAAGGCGCTTGTTAAGATATTTGCTGGGATCTTCAACCTCGCAGAAAGCGAAGTGTCGGTGAGCGACAACTTCTTCGAGATCGGCGGTACTTCTCTTGATGCTATCCGGTGAATATATATGTTTCCGCTTTCAAACGACATTTACTGATAAAATCCAGGCTCAAGCGCGAAGGAGAGGAATACTTCGGCCTTCCTGACATCCCTCCCATCCAAATCCTGAAGCACCCCGTTCTCTCGAGCCTGGCCAACTACGTCAACTCCTTGCTCTCCAAGGGCACCCAGACTGAGGAGTACGACCCCATCGTCCCCCTTTCAGTGACCGGAAATAAGACGCCAGTCTTCTTCGTTCACCCTGGTGTCGGAGAGGTCCTCATTTTCGTCAATCTTGCCAAATACTTCCAGAATGAGCGTCCCTTCTACGCGTTCCGTGCTCGTGGCTTCGAACCTGGCCACCCTTTCCTCACCTCCATGGATGAGATGACTTCTTGCTATGCCGCAGCAGCCAAGAGGATTCAGGCGACAGGACCTTACGCTATCGCGGGCTACAGTTATGGCGGTGTTGTCGCGTTTGAAGTTGCCAAGCGGCTCGAGGCCATGGGCGAGGAAGTGAGGTTATTCGCTCCGATCAACATTCCTCCTAATATCTCCAGCCGCATGCATGAGCTTGATTGGACGGCCGCCTTGCTCTCCTTGGCGGCCTTCCTCGGTTTCGTGTCGAAACATTATGCTGATGATCCGCCTCCTTCCCTGAGGCTGCTCGCGAGGCAGGAGCAGCTCGAGTTCGTGTGGAAGTTGTCGCCTCCTCAACGTATCGCTGAGCTCCAGCTGACGATCGAGAAGTTGGAAAAATGGACGGACGTCGCCAAGTCTCTCATCAATTGTGGACTAGACTACAACCCATCAGGCTCAGTTTGTAAGTTGTTCACTTTCTCACTTCAGAACCGCTTACTCACATACACCCCTCAGCTGCAATCGATGTTTTTTACACAACTCCCTTTGCCGGTTCTAGAGTTGACTGGCTCAACAACCAGCTCAAGCCATGGACTGGTTGGAGCCGCGGCGAGGCATGGTCTGGCTTCAGCCGCGGTGATGTATCGTATATTGAGGTGCCTGGGGAACACACGACGCTCCTGGACTTTGAATACGTCCCACACTTCCAGAAGACCTTCCGCAGTCGTCTTGAGGCTCGTGGGCTGTAGACGTGTGGGGTGGCATATTCCGATTATGTATTGTCTTGCGTCGGTATATTATTCAACTACAGGTGATACGGCTTATCAGCTGGGTAATTTCATAGCTTGTTTCTTTATCCATGTGCATCTTGGATCCCGAAAACAGATTCTGCGGACGGATTTAAAGCCGTTGTGCTCACTAACGTCGATATCGCGGTGTATGGTACGTACGTTGAAGCTGACATCTTCCTTCAGGACTGCGTATTGAAATAAATGCTCCAGGGATGTGATATCTGAGCTATGCTTACCGTTCTATCATAGAAATTGGGAGACAATGACACCCAACAAGGTCCGAGCTCAAGACATGCTTTACCACTATGTAAATCAACTGACGTTTTTGAGCCAAAGCATCCTGGGGAGTAACATAATACAAGTCCAGCATCTGACTTTGACGGGTTCAAGTTGTGGGTAGATGAAATACGTTCTCGGAATTTACACTTGGTGCTAGCCTCAACTGAGCTTGAAGCCAAGCATCAAACTAAAGCACACGCAGTTGGAGTGAAAATTTTCCAGCAAGGCCTCGAGAACTACGCACACCCGACAATTCGACTTTCTGTCAAGCATCAAGCAAACGTTGTAGAGTCTGAGCGTCCAAGTTGTACATGTATACGTACAAATGATAAAGAATGTAGTATCAAGGTGAGAATGGGTATAATATATGTACTGTAATGGCAACAAGCTATCGTATAAACCACCTTTACTCAGCTCTGGGGCTCATGGAATTAAGATAAACAACCTGGGTACCCTCATGCGCGCAGCGTCCTCGCGCCACTCCGGCTTACGTACTAATCACGGTACTACCGATTCTTCCCGCACGAAGCAAATGTTAAATCATCACATTCGTCACTTCATCCGGGTGAGGTCTTTGATCCCATAAGATAATAGTACCCAACGCACCTTTTGAACACTAGATTTTTGTGTCTCGTTACGGTGTTTCCCAAATGGCCAGGGTCTTTGGGTTTTTTTCTCTTTCTTGTCAGGTTCTGTTGGAACAGTCTCTGCTATGATCTTCTTGGATTTAGATGCCCTATTCCTCTGGTCCTTCATGTAAGTACTCATGAATCCATTCGCCCAAGAAAGTCACTGACCGACATTGCGCTGAAATCTGGTGGTGCCATTGTTGTTAACTCAAAGTGGTGGTCACAGTTGAAGTAGGGTATGGAACTCGTGAGATTTTAAGGGATCCTGCATACTGGAGGTCCACTGCATCGATGCCATTCTTGGTAAGGCTATTATTCCATTTGTGGCAGTACCTTGTCAAGGACCAAGGCTATGGCCTGCGGTTTGACGTTATAACAGCCACAGGAATGCTGTGAAAGCATGTGGATCTACAGCAGTTGCCTTTGTTTAAATACATGACAGTCACATCTGTCTTGTGATTATTGTCCTTGCAGTTCTCCCACTGGTCACACTGCGCTTATCCTCGAAATGCGATTTGGTCGCGCTAACCGCAAAGTCCATGGCATAGAACGAGATGTAAGTCCACGTTATACGTGTAGCGTACGCGGATCCCGGGTACTCATCTCCTTTTAGAGGATTGCTACAATGAAGCGGAAACCTAAGCGCAGCGGGATCATTGCAGAGATTGGGAACTCAAACTCAAGCGCCCCTTTCAGTACAGTAGTTATAAGTCAAGCTAGACCTTCGCTATGGCGTTCTTGGCTCCCGTGGAGTTGTTGGAGTGAGCGGCGCTTATACTTAGGTCGCCCGCCCGTTGCTAATAAATGGTCCATCAGGCAACTCAACCCTTTGAGGGTCAGCTCGTAACTTTGTCTGTCTCTTCTTGCATCGCACATGCTCAATTTTGCACGTGCCCACCAGGTTCTCATCTGCATGTCGCATGCTCGATGCACTTATCAATGGAAGAAGCCTGCTGTGGTGCATATATACCCTATACCCTCAGCCCCTGCAGTAGACTTTGCTCGCCCTCTTTACATTAGTATTGGATGACCGCAGGAAACGGATTTTTGTTGGCGGCGTCATTTGTTCATATTGGACCTAAGAATACCCACATCTAACAGCTTCAGTTAATATTATAACCATTAATGCTTGGTTGTCTGTCTTAGATGTACTCCCGATGTACTCTCGATGTATACCATTACAGTACATTGTCTGTTCATTTGACTCGAAGTATATATACCAAGTACGAATACAGATCTAGAGCGACATCTCGAAAGCCAATCATGGTTAACCATGACGTTCATGCCCGGACTGGTGAAGCGGTGGGGCTAAGATCTAAGATTTTGTGAATAGCTTTGCTAGAACAAAGCTTCGGTTCATTATAACTTGAAGGGCGATAGATGATGAAATTTCTTGAAGTCCTGTTCTTCTGTCCCTGAGAGATTTAGATTCTGAAGCTTTATCACAACCAACGCGTGGGGGAAAGCATATCCTTAAAAGGCTTGTATCGCCGCAAGGAAGCTACCTGAATAAGCGCGACCACCTTAGTTCTCGATATCCAAGGCATCGTTACCAATACCACCGTCTCGAGGATCATCGATCGTTAATGAAATCTTGGCATTAAGCGCCGGACGACGGCTCTCCCCGGTATCATATTCGCCAAATGGGCTTAGTGCCGTTGTCACTCAATGTGTTCTCAACGAACCTCGGCAGCCCCCAACGGTGGAGAGAAAACGGGAGACTGCATTTTGTCATCTACGCAGATATGCGCCCAGCCATGCTTCTGAATCTTAGCGCTGTACGGGTATTGTATCATCAGTTCAAGTGATTAGAAATGCAGTACTTACCTGTCTCGCATGAAGCTCGTTCCACTACCCCCTCCGTAAACTGCCATGAATGCTCGTGTCGTCCTTAAAGCACAGCATGAATATCTTCGATCTTATTTGATCTACGTCTCGGGGATGAAAAGCATCAGAAGTAAAGAAACTGATTGCGGCGGATGTAGCCGTGATATCGGGAGACAGTTGAGAGGCCGTATGACATGATGCACCCAGATGCATGTGGAAGAGAAAGTCTGATTAGCACCAAGTCCTGCGAAAATCAGAGTGCACTAATAGCGCAGGAGTCTGTCACGTCAAGAAGCGTTGGTGTCACAACGTATGTCTCCATGATGGATAACGGTGAAATATCACATCTCGTGGAGTCGGCGAGTTCCATTTGTTTCAGCCTGGAATAAAAATAATCAGGGAGACGACGAACGAATTAAGAAATATGAGTGTGGAAGGTATTGCACACTCGCTGACTGCAATAGTCAGAGTGAATCTCATATGTAGTGACAGTTGTTGAACTTGCATGCCCTCGTGATTTTGATGGATCGCAATAGGAGGCTCCAAGCAGATTAAAATAGACGCAGGGTTGGGTGAAGATGGGAATTCGAATTGTCCTGCAATTTTGTCACGGTTAACTTGAACTGGACGCTGAACGTTCAGATGACTCGCGCATACTGAATGCTACTTTGAGCCCCGTGACGCACCCACTTCTCCCCTCAAAGGCTGTGTAGCTCTCTTTGGCCCAAATTCAGAAAGCGCTGAACCTGCTGGGCCAGCTTTCTGCGAGACGCTACTTGCTCGGTGCAGCTCCCAACTGGGCGGGAGTTATGGGGGTTGAGGTGCTCCTGGAGCAGGGCTGTGTGCAATTTGAAACTTGGACGTGACATAGATGCCCGAAGCATGTCGTGTCGAAGAGTGTGTTAGAGAAATATTTTGCAGCTGCCTAGGTGGATCTAAGTCTGTGTTTGGATGCTAAAAGTCGTCGACATATGAGCTTGATATGAATATTTGTGCCTAGTAGTCTTCTACCGACGTCATTTATCGGTGTATTCCTTTTCTCCCGCCCGTCTGTTTCTGTTATGTAGTACTAGTCTGTTGTCCTAGCCGACGTAATCAATAGCCGCCGCGAGCTCCTCGCGCGGATCATAGTCCACGAAAGTGGTCTCCAACTCCTCGCGTTTCTTGTCTGGTGCAGATGTGAACGTTTTACAAACGCCACATGGACAGTCGTAGAAAGCAAATGAGAAAAAGCCAGTATCCAGCTCATCGCGCTTCTTAGTGATACCTGGTGCAGAGTTGATGCGTAAATGAATAAATGGCAAGTCAATGTATCCCACCTTCAGGAATAACAAGGCCATCGCGTGTAACGTACGAAATATAAGTCACGGAGTTGGTCTCAAGTTCGTCGGGTTTCCTACCTTCTTCTAGGAGATCACATTGAGAGTTCGTGTCAAGTTCCTCTCGTTTAGCTGAGTGATACATCGAGGCATTTGAGTAACTATGATAATGCTGATGATCATGAATGCTCACAGGAAAGTTCCTCAATCGAGATGGCTCTTGGCGTGGGTGACGCTGCAGCGAGAACGACGAAAGATATGAGCGCGCTAAAGAGCACAGAAAGCTGCATGTTTAGGGACAAGAAAAGTGACTACTTCGGCAATGTTACTACACTGGAAATTCGAGAGGGCTCTTTATAAATCCTGACAGGTCCGCTCGAAACGACACGTTTACATACCCTTTCAAGTCGGGGCCAGCGGACCCTAGGCCTCAACCAGGAGTTATCGAGAGCTTCAAGGTGTGGCACCGCCACCATACAACAATTAGGATCCCAGAACTAGGAGTAGTAGGCAAGTTAAAGGAAACAGCTGGGATAAGTTGCGTGGCAGTTGCCCAGTTGAGTAGTGCAGATCAGTCCGCTGCGGAAGCTTCATCGTCATGACGCATTCACAGTTGACCAACGTTCGGTAGTGTGAGGAGCTGCCACGTCATTTATGCAAGAGGGGCTGCGGCTTATTGTTTAGGTAATTTGAGTGCACACCTGGCGGAAGGATACTTAATTCAAAAAATGATGTTATGCCAGCTCGAGGACCAAGACAAGGTACGCTGAAGCGGTGCAAACCAAAAGTCACGTTTACTACACTGCTGACTAAGCTACGCCTCCGAGCCCGACTCGAAGAGCTGCAACTTCAGGTTTTGTTGCCAAGAGAATTCAGCACGCCAGCTGAGGCTTGACTAATATTAGCCAAGCTTCTAGACCTCGCTGAAGCTTCCAACCTATCAAAAGTACGAAGCATTCATTTGTACTAATCATCAAACTTGTTTTCAGTTATTTTCAGGTTATCAGTAACGGAAGAGATCCCATATGGACGGTCTTCCTTTTCCTACTGTGTAATGCGAGAGAAATTCAAATTCAGATAAGTCTCTCCGCATGTAGGTCATATACAGTACCAAATTCGAGGTTGGTGGCCGTGGACTCATTCAGGGAATCAGAGGGAACTTCCTGACAGGCTGTGGGGACCTCTTAGAAGCAGTGACAAGTGTGTCCTCGTTATTGACGGTGGCTGCGACGTTTACCTGTCTTTTTTCCGCTTAGCTTTAGCGAAGGTTACCGGGCCAGCATGTCTTGGTGGTTGCCTGTTGATTTCATTCCGACATGCATGCTGAAACGAAGAGGTACCAAATTCTAATCATGGCGTTATATCGTAATACTTGACCGTCATGTGCAACCAACAGAAGCAGGTGCCACCGCGTAGGCAGTGCAGTGATGATCAGTGACCAGCGCAACTGCAAGGATCAAGAACCCAAAAATCTCATTTCAGCAATGGGCGTCTTTCGAAGGTTCTCCCCGGCGTTGTCATCAGACCGTCGTATAAAGGCGCAATCCTTAGGCTGTGAAGGTATTGTCTGTACATTTCCTGAATCCCACCCTTTCCTGAAGCATTTGATCATATATTCCACTCGTTCAGCCACTTTCTCTTGCTAGTCACTAGAACTAGACGAAAAAATGCACAGTAATCATGACAACGTTGCCCTCGGTACCGAGGCAAGCAATTCCTTCCAGCATCAACGTTTAATTAAAACATTCATATATCTTAAGGATCAATTAATTTCGCTTCGACACCAGATCAATGAAATCCAGGAGCACATCGACTTGCTCATGATGCAAAGCGCCATTATACGGGAGCGGAGGAGTCTCCTTCAACAACAACCAGATGTCAAACCGCTTGCGATAACGGAGCAACAGGATCATCCATGTCCGGAGACCAGCCATGTCAATTTCCTGGACATGGAGGATACTTTGAATTCCGTCGTCTCAGGTCCATCTTTAGCGCTGAAGGGCGCAGGCGGCATCCGAGCGTCTCCCCCCCGCTCAGGATCAACAATGGTATGTGATAACTTGCGTGTAGCTGCTTCATCTCATACAATATGGGTACCACCTGCAAGACCACCCTTTCTGATGCTACAACCATTGTTCATACACCCGCGAAGCCTCAGGGCAGCACTTCCCAGGTGCGTGCCAAACCGCGGAGATGCAAGCCGGGACGTCGTGAATTTCACGGAAGATCTGCACGGCATGAACCTCCTGCTTTGTTTCAGGGGTGGGTGGACGTCTCTGGTAGCATATTCTAAATACTTCCGTTGGTTTGATACCAGCGATACATGACATTGATGACATTACGCACGCGTATGCGCCTCCATGGCCAGGCCCCAAGATTTGGTGAAATACGGGATGACAAAGATACATACGCACGCAATGTTTCTGCCAGTGGGATAGCATATCCAGAATACAGTCATTTGGTCTATTGGAATTGGATCCGTATTCGTACGAACTCGACACTAATACTGGGTTCACTGCTCGCATCCGTTACTATAGCAATACCACCGCCAGCTGTATTGCATGCAAATGACATTGAGCGCTTGTTTGGATCGAAGAGATGGACTAACTGACCTAGCACTATGTAATTGTCATCCTCAATGCTACAGTTAGGGTGCCATCGCAGTCTACATATATAGTATCACTAAGGCCATACAACCCGAGTCAGTTCACGGATATTTGCAAAACACGTCAATGGAACACGAAGACTTTCTCGTCGATTACCCAATCATATAACGGGAGGGCCATCTCGATTATCAACTTGCCTGGTTTACTGGGCGCAGTGTAACGTTTATATGATATGTGTGTTAGCCAGAGCAAGGAAACAAAGAATGGTTACATAGGAAGAACAATAACATCAGTATGCCCTGACTTCGAATGTGTGGGAACAATATACCCGCTCCGAGTCATTAGGTTCAAGTATATGCGATGGTGATCACAAACGTAGAAGTAGTTCCGAAGTGTCAAAGCCAGGCGACGGCCTGTGAGACTGAATCATAACGTCGACGTCTGGATGCACCACTGGCGAGCCATATTCAGAAAGAGCACACCCAATGTGCCACCTCCCATTCTTATTCATATAAATTCGCAACACCCATATACGTCCTTCAGTGAATAGTATGTTCAATCAGCATGAAAACAAGCCAAAAGACACGGATTACATACCCCGTGCAATAAATTCTACTGCAAATTCCTGCGTAATACGCAGGCGTGTCTGGAACATCTTGAAGACCAAACGAACAATGTGTCGGTTTTCAACCAGTCCATCCCGGAGCACCTGAATCTCATCTCGCGGACAACCCAACATGCGTCTCAAAGACTTGTCTTTGGCTGATAGCATGTGGTTAGTTAATTAAATGCTGCATGTGGCCGCGTGAATGAGCATGTACGCATACAATTTATATGAGCAGGATGGCGTAATACAAAGCCTACAATAAAGGGCATATATGCGCCTGGGTAAGCACAAGTAAAGGCGAGATAGTGTCGCCGGGCGCCTTCACATCGGTTATCTGAAGGCTGTTGTTGACAGTTCAATAGACATTAAGCCATTGTCTACAAACAGACTTGATGTCCTGCATAATGAACCTGCAATTTCGTGGTCTCGAAGTAGAATACCCATTTGTCTTCGCCACTCCTTAACGGATGTCTGCCCCAGTAGAACTGTTTACGCCGTCCGTACGTCCATGCCCGTCGCTCTAAAAATCATTGACGAACACAATTAGCTCGATATTTGGTTAACAGTCGGATTTTGAATGATTCCAGTTGACACGGAAAATGACGCAGTTCCTTACCGCCGACAAGAACGTATCCCAGTAGCCTGTCTTCTCGAATGACCACGCGCTTGGGAAGCTTCTCGGGTCCATTGACGTGTCCAAGTAGCAGTGTCTCGATAGCCTTCTGTCAAGACATAGATGATTGGATATGTAAGTGACTTCAGATTTGACCGAGCTCGCCAGCATGCGTCACGACACTTACGGTGATATCGTGCTGCTCTATAACAAATATGGATAGTTCCGCCCTCGAAGGACTGGAAAATAAAACATGGTCAACCCTCTAAGGATAAAGATAACATCATCCCCTGCAGTTTGCCTGCAGTTGTCTTGTTACCTTGCGTTTCTGCTTCTGACGGTGACCTGAACGACTGTCCCGATATAATCGCTGTGATTTGATAATTCGCCTGATACACTGTTGTGCGGGTGGGCCTCCAAGCACAACAGTCGAGTCTTGTTGAGAGATAGTGTGTAAGCTGCCATTGCCATGATATCTTCGTCAGCTGCTTCAAGTTGAAAGACCGGCTCATAGCTCTGCTTACCAATATTTTAGCCACGGAATGTTGCGTTTCACATAAGCGGCAGTGTGGCGGTAACTTCACCCATTGCCTACACCTATACCCAAACCTCCTGCATAAGATAAGCTACCAAACTAGCTAGGAGCGGATGTTAAACAACCCCGCGTCCGGCGCGTAGCGCCAGCAAATATCGCGAATCGTCACCTACTTAACCCCATATAGTAGGCGTGTTGTGCGTCTGTGTCTCGGAACAGAGTAATATTGACACCCCCATCTTGATGGGTTCAAACCTAATTCATCAGAGATAAGAAGGTGCTTGATGTGTGCGCTAAAGCCGTTTTTTACCTCTCGAACGAATACAGATGGAGTATTCGGCTGACAATGTCGCAGTGGCCAGGATTCTGCAGTACATATCGGTGCGTAGCTATCTTTATACGAGGGCAAGATAATAACGGAGATATGCTATGTCTGACCACCAGTACATATACAGTGCGTACCATCTGAGCTGCTTCTTCCTCGTTCTCACTTGATAGCTCAGTGGCACTGGCTACGCTCTGGGTATATAAGCTTGTCCGATCTATTCCTGTCCACCGTTAAACTTCTTTATCCAGACCTATGATTATGTTTGTTCACTTCACGAAGAGGTAAGTGATTCACTTGCTCCGTGACACGCCTCTGTTTTGGCATCCATAACATGCTGTTCCAAGTCGAATTTCCTACTTCGGTCGCGCTGGACCAAAGTGAAAACCCTTTATATCATTACACGATATGTTCCCTTTTGTCTCATCACCACAAACCTGCTTTGTACGTTCAGCTCCAGCACAAATCCCTTGATCATGCATGAGTTGATACGCCGCGTTTCAGTGACCTTGGCCCCGAACGAGAACCCCGATGTATGTGAATGCGCAGCGGACGACAACACTTACTGTATGACTTTTGCCAGATATGCAGGACACTAATCAATATTTACTCATGTATGTGTATGCTACGTGGTACATGCATGTCCTTGCCAAGCGCTACTCTTTCCTTTCACAGGTTTTGCAGTGATATCACTCACCTGCTCTGAATGTATCTCTCCTTCCCCCGCGATACATATGTGCGGCTGATCCGATTCATCCAGGCTTTTTTGTCTTCAGAACATATGCACTTTGGAACAGCAATAGAATTGTACTCGTAGCCATGCTGTTCACTCTTTTTGTGAGTCCCACGCCCTCACCACACTACAGCTCATGGCCGATGAGTCAACCAGGCCATCATCGTATCATTCATCGGCATTTGGTTTCCCGCTATTGCCACTTCTGATTGTTTGTGCTCTCCCCTTCCCCTACTACTATTCGCACACATTCAATTCACTTTCACAGTTACGACTAGCGCGATCCCAGGCATCACGGGCTGTTATCGGACCGCCAACAGTATTCTATTGACCATGCCATTTATTCTGTTGTTTGTGTTTCAACTGGGTATGTCGCCGAGACCTGGGAGAATACATTACTGACGCGTGGTGTCTGACACTCCCCAGGACTGGTCTCCCTAACGCTCATACGTGCCATACAGAGTTGGAAGTCGAGCAGGGGACCTCTTTACGTCATTCTGGTGAGGCATAACATATTCTACTATGTATGCGGTCTGCGTGAGTCAGGACCTACATATCTTTCCGTGCTCGTTAGTGATGGTGATTTTTCTGAAAGTTCTCTCAGCCGTGAACGTCCTTGTGCCGATGTTGTTTTCTGATGTATGTAAAACTCCCGATACCCTTCAATGTGATCGAGTCGTTGATGTTCCACACACCCAGTCCGCATACCACTCCTTCCTCGAAGAGTAAGCACCTCAAACTTCTTTTGCGGATTCCTACTGACAACACTCAAAAACACACATACAGTCTGGAGGTCTATATCCTTGCGATCCTCGCCACGCGCATGCACCTTCATCTCTGGCATATTGGCCGGTCCATGCTCGACTCTGACACCCTCGTGTGGATTTCTCTGTCTGACATCTCACCCGCACACCGTACGACGTGATGTCTTGTCGTGTGGCTTATTGGCGTCGTTCTTGGAGGTCTAGGTACGAGATGACTGGTCAGGGTGGCTTAGTTGGATGTGGCCGTAACTTGCAGGAGTGTATTTTTGGTCGTGGTCTTATTACACTCCGTGCTGCTAAGTCTGGGTCTAGGCCTTCACGTGCCTTGCTACGCAATAGACTCTATTATGTAAGATGTTAACCATCTCGCTGACTAATAAGCTACGATTTCTCTTGCACAATCACCTTGATCCCGAGTCCGTGGCAGTTACCTATGCTTGCCCTAACCCCCAGTATATCACATTCGTTGTTCAACGTTCAACGTTCAATCCTTATCCATATTCAAGATGATGATCCGTGCTTGGATCCGCCTGCAAGGGATTGGGGTGGACCGTTCTGGGAAGACTGCGGGAGCAAAACCGTGCGCTGATTTCGGAACTGTTCAAACGTCAACGCATGTCACGGTCGACTGGACACAGCCTCAGCGCGCTACTCATAACATATATACCTGAATTCGGCTCAAGTACTCGCCCTCAGCTTCCCCACAATGGATTTCCGTAAGTATGTCACCTGCTCACCTCGTCTAGAATCGTGCTAACAGGCTTGCCTCTAAGCACATCCATCGGCTTCTAATGACGCGTGGAGGAGTCTATGCAACGTCGTAGAACACAGCGGCATTTTCGATTCCGAAAAGCGCCAGCCCCACTCACGATGCATGGATAACACGCGTGTTGCGCTTCGGGAGAGCATCAGAGAAGTCCTTGATCGACACGATCGGACGAACGTTTGGCTCAACGGCCTCGCCGGAGTTGGAAAAACATCCATTGCATTCACTGTCGCTGAGGAGATGAAAAGGGTTGGAAGGCTTGCCGCCACATTCTTCTTCTCGCACAAGCATGCACAAGGCGCTGGAAGAATAATTCCTACAATCGCATACCAACTCGCACTGACGTTCCCGCGCATTCGAGGTGATATCACGAAAGCGATCGAGCAAGACGAGGTTCTCTTATCGTCTGAAAAATCTCGCATTGATCAGATGCGGGAGTTGGTCATCAAACCGCTACACGTCTTGAGATTCCGTCAAGAAACTCCTTATGCCATCATTATCGATGCTCTTGACGAATGCTTCTCCACTGAGGAAGCGGCAAGACTTGTTGCCTTGTTCACGGAGACGCTCTCGGGACCAGACTTACCGACCATCCACCTAGTATTCACAAGCCGCCCTGAGGCGCACATCCGCACAGCCATGTCAGCTGATGTCCGCCATATCTCCCTCACTACACGTGATGCAGACATCGTACAGGACGTTCGTTACTTTCTGCGAGCATCACTTGATAACATACGGACAAGTCATTCCGCCGTTTTCGGGTGGCCCCCCATGCCTTGGCCGTCGGAGAATGAATTCGAGACCTTGGCCTTTATGGCAGGCGGTCTTTTTGTCTATGCTGCTATGGTCATCAATTTTTTATCCCCCGTCGGTCATCATCCACAGCAGAGACTAGATCTCTTACTTCGCGAGAGGTCGAATGCCAGCGCTGACATTGACCAGCTTTATCGGCAGATTCTCGCAACTTCGGAGAATCCACGCTTGCACTGCCGGATGTTGGCATCCGTCATCAACCTCGTTCAACCGCTCCCACTTAGAGATCTCCAAGAACTCTTCCACGCGGACAGAGAGAGTTTAGCTGTGATGCTAGAAGCGTTTTCACCCGTTATCTTGAATTCACCTGATGGGAGTGGGAACGTTGAGATTTATCACGCTTCGCTCCACGACTTTATGGCGGACCGTCATCGTTCGGAACAATACCACGTGGATGCCGCAGAAGCTCACGAGTACCTTGCATGTCGCTGCCTTGATTTGGTCGTACAAACCGAGCCACCGTATGGAGGAGCACTTCGATATGCACGTTATTGGTGGGGTACACATCTTTCGAAGGCTTATCCTAGCAGAGAAATTCGACAACGGCTTGCTTGGTTTAAAAGGGACAATTTGCGACGTTTGGTGACGGTCGCAGAACAAGATCAATCACTCCGTGATCTAATAGTCAACTTGCGTGAAGCAAGAAAGGCGTGTTTTTCCTGGGTGACTATTTTGAATATCGGTAGGCGGTGCACACTGATCAAATGTCGTTTAGAAATGGATCAGAAATTTATCTGACATTGTGGCTGCTTGGCGTATTGTCAAAGCGTCAAGAAAAGTCCATAAAAGGGTGAAAAAATCAAAACGGTGAGTGAACTCGAACGTGCATCTTTAGCCAAGGAACTGATTATAAATATCATGGCAAGTGACAACTTAAATCAGCCTGCAATGCGGGCATAACACATGACATTCGAAGCTCACGATATTTGGTGTGGTGTAAGCCTATGCTTACCTTTGACTCGTGTGACTAACACGTCCCGTTGACTCTACGCTGACCGCACAACATTGTCCTATTTTGGATACTTATTCATTATACTTATATATCTCATCGCTCCTGTATCTACATTTGTATTTCTCGCCGTACCGCTGAATACCATACGCACTTCCCCGTCTCCCGCCTGACTTCCTGTTGGTGTTGCTGTCAATTGCAGTGAAGTGGAAATGATTGTGATAAGCGATCGGTCGTGACCCGTTTGACAAGGGGTTGCGTAGGATCTCGTAGGATGTCACTTTTGTGTAGGCGATGAAAATTTACGCCAATTGACAACATTAATGCATTAATGATGTCACCGCACCGGACTGTGTTGCCGTTTCGTGTGAGGATCCATGTTGCATTGTAAGACTGTCAAGATTGTGGTTGAAGACCTTTGTGGAGTTTTTATCGGTGCTTGCTGTCCGCTGGGGCAATGCCATATGACTGCCCTTGCTCGTATGTTTTATGCGCGTTCATGTTCATTGGGTACCTTCTTGGGTGAAGTTCAGCGCCCGAAGGGCCCAGTGCTCGGCAGCGGGCCGATGCTACAGGACGTGAGCTTGACCTGAGTATTATAATACAGCAGGATACAGCATAAACCGTGGCGTGACGAGAAAAAAATTCCACAGTTGCCGACTAAGGAAAGAGTAGCAATGGCGAACTACTTATTATGTAGTACTTGGGCACTCCAACTCACAAGGGCATCAAGACAATTATGTCGCCAGGGACCAGGGACCTAAAACTTTAACAATGCATGATGTATGAGCCACCGGCTACTGATAAAAAAGTAGGAGTTGCAAGAGACGAACCTGAAAAAGGTTTAATGGGCACGGCGTGAATGTTAAAGGACGACCTGGAGTTTCATCATCGGTGCCGCGGAATACAAGCAATACCGAGCGGGGATCACGATATCCACTTTAAGGTTCTGGAATATGCAAACACGGAGAACTTGAACGTGAGATGAGATTATATCTTGAGTTGGCGCGAAGATATAAACGCCGTGCTCGGTGCGCAAGCGCCGGAGCTGTGGTGCCGCTGTGGCAAGCTGTGGTGATGACCCTGCGGGATCAGACGGGACGTCGGTGATGGGAGAACACGTACGTTGGCATTAGGTGCTGAAAAGTCGGGCGCCTCAGGCTGGGGCACAATTACGTAAATAAACCATGGCGGTGAAGATGATTACTACCCGAGGAATCCCAAGTACCTGAAGAGATTCTTCAATGAGTATTTACGTCGGTCAACAAAATGAAGTACCAGTGTTACCAAGGCGTAAGGATTCAATATCAAATTCATGGGGCGCAGTCTGATCATGATGAGATACCGGCTAGAGCTTTTAAGGAGATAGCTCGGGATTAAATGAAAGTTGAGCCTTGAGCCTTGGTGTCAGAGACGACGGGTAGGTTCGCGGGTATCGTGGCACCATCGATTTGGCAGATCACATGGAGGTTTATAATTACGACCTGTTGCAATATTGCCTCTTGACACAGCAGACAATGCGTGTAGCCCTTGTGGCGCCCGGGTGACACTGCGGTAGGATCATGTGGATGCATCGATGAAGGTTCGACTCTGTATCAGCTGGACCCGAAGATTTGATCCAAACGAAACGGCCAACGGTTTCCTCGACGTAGAGAGCACCGCCGCACTAATACCTATCATGATCATATACCTGTTATTATAATGCCATTAGTAGTACTATGTAGCACTGCTGCAACTGAGCGGTGCAGCGCTGAGTGCTGAAAATAAGTAACCGGTTTGTTGCCCGAGTCATCATGGAAAGTTCCGGGGGAGTCGTGCGGGAGCAAAAATGATCGATTGATCTTTGAACCCAAACTAGGCACTCATATATACTTACCATGATCATTGACTGACCCACAAGCCGGTGCTTCAAAGGATGCGATGAGCATTGGAGCAACCAACTTATTTCTATACACCGCAGCTACTTGCTGAGTTGGATATATGCCCATCTTTCTTTCTTTCATTTCAGCCAACTCACAACACGATTCCATTTTTTACTAGTCCTTGTTAACTGGCGCCGGTGAGCAACTGACAATGAGCACACCTCCTTCCTCGGGAGCTCGTCTCAGCTCGTCTCCATCGTCGTCACCGTCACTGTTGCCTTCCCTGCTAAGCCGCACCCGACCCATATCCCGGGCGCATGTAAACAAAGCCTTCTCCACTCTCCCTCCAGAACCTATTCGCAGCGTGCATTCCTCCCCGGGGGATAGCACCGTCGATCTATCTCATGCCCGTTTCCCCGCACGTGGTGAAGGACACGGGAGTATGAGCATGAGTGCGCACACGATTGCTGACACACCTCGTGACTCCATTCTCCTTTCAGCGGCCAGCACAAGCGTTGATACATCCCCTACGCCATCTGTCATTCTTACTCTCCATCACCATGATGACAGAAAGGCCTCATCGGCACCGACATCTCCTACAAAGGAGGGGTCACTTCCAGCGTCTCTTGTACCTGTGTCATCGAATGGGCACTCAGATTCGCATCGTTACTTACCGCGCCCACAGGGAGATGCAACACCACCGAATAGCGTGCCGACGAGGTGGTGGTCACGCTCACCCTCGAACGAGAGGGGGAGGTCTGTTTCTCCCTCAAGAGGGAGGAGTTTCCCCTTCGTTAGAGGTAGATTCAGAGACCCGGTCGTTTCTGCGCCCGGATCGAACACAAACCTCCTGACATCGGATGATTTTGCGGAACAGGAAACTCCAATTCCGTCTTCGTTGCCCGACTCTCTGTCCCTTCCTTTGAACAGCGACCTCCTTTCCTTAGCTCACGAAGATATTCAGATCCACAATCACCATGGGATGGGCTTTTGCGATGAAGATGGAGCGAACGGGGATTCGCTTTTGCTATCCTCTCCCAAGGCTACTCCTGCCACCCTTGTATCTCCCACTTCTCCCACTGTACACATGCACCCACAGACCCTTAGGTCACTAGGTGTAGGAATCGAAGAGGATGAGCGGAGGGAAGACATCGAGCATAGCTATTGGCCGAAGCTACTCGGGATGTCTCCCAGGTCGTCTCCAAAGTCCCTTGGTGCAAATCTTGGGACCAATGCGTCACCAAGTGAGACTATTCCGCAAATCGAAGAGCATCGCGTTGTTACGATGGAGACCTGGGACGGAAAGTCTCTACAGGTCTCTCCTGTACTCATGTCCCTGGGTTCGTCGTCACCTACAAAAGGCAAGGCACCTGCACTGCCAAATCAGGCGGTGCCCTCGACATCCCCTCGTATGCTCTCTTATTTCTTCTTTAAGATCGGTGCACTCAATCCTTCCAGATAAACCGTTCTCGACTTCTCCTGGCAAAGGTAAAGGTAAAGGGAAGGTCCAAGATACGTTCCAAAAGGAGCAAAGCAAACAACCGGAAGCATGGTATGATAAGTTCACCCATCGTCCAAGTGCAAAAGGGCGGGAGAAGGAGAACAATGAGAATGATAGTTGGCTTCGGGCGAGGGAGGTGAGTCCCGTCTATTTTGTGCTTATAAATGTCTTCGTCTTCCTGTCCTTACTGGACGGAGACGTGAACCAAGAGATTCGAAATTTGGGGTTGTCCTTTTTCATTTGTTCAAGCTAAAACTTCGCTGTTCGACATACTCATGTATTCCAACAGAACGTATCACTAGCTTTGAATGCTGTACTGCCCGCTTCTGAGCTCGCGCAGCTTTCAGAAGCAGGAAAGGCTTTTGCGAGTGAGGGAAATGCCGCTCGTGCCACCGCTGAGAAAGAAAATGGTCAAGAGGTGGAGGCGTCTTCGGGTGCCGAGAAAGGTGCCGAGACCGAGAATTACCAGAGTACAGAGAGTAAGGATGGGACCAGTAAGAAGGCTTGGTTGACGGGTGAGTCTTCCTTGGGTGAAGCTGGGTTTGGCTAATTTCGTACTCTTTACAGTGAAATCCACAGTAGTAGCCGTCTCTCCCGTGCTTCGAACTTCTCTTATGGTCCTTGGTGACGTTGCCAAACTTACACCTATCCCTGGGCTACATGAAGCTGCGAAGACCTTGTTGTCGGTGTGGGAGGCTGTGGATGCAGTCGAGGTGATTTTTTGACTTCTATTGTTCTTTTTTGCGGGCAGGAACTGACGCGTTTAACCAGACTAACCGCCTCCAATGTCTCCGTCTTACCGAGCGCTGTGCAATGGCGATTTACTCCGTACGCGCTGAGATCGCGAATGCTGAGAATGAGTTGGAGTCTCAGCAAGGTGGGCATGGAGATGGTGGTATTGTGGGGTTAGCACAGGAGGTGCAAGGTCCCGTCCAGAAGCTGAACGACTGCATTGGGATGGTAAGTTTTTGCCTTGCTCTTATTTTGTCGGGGGTCGAGCGCCCATTTTGTTTGTACTATACTTGGGTACTAACGCTCATTCTCAAAAGGTGTACGACTTTCTCGTAAAGCTCAATCGACGTCCGTTCATCAAGCGGTTCCTGCGTAGCGACGAGATCCAGCAGGAAATTCAAGCATGTGACAAGGCGCTTGGGGATGCGTTGCAGATGTTTAACGTGAGTGTCGTTTCTCTTGCTTCTGCTTCTTCAGTTTAAATCGATTTAACCTTGATTTGATATAGATCTCAATCACAATCCGAATCCTCAAAGAATGCAAAGGCTTTGCGAGGGAGAGGCGTTTTGATGCTGGGTACCATGTGCAAGGGCCCACACCTCCTCCTCTCTATGTATCTCCTCCGACACAGACCCTGCCCATTCCCCTAGACCACACCCCAAGGGTCGGGACACAAGCACTTCCAGAAGTGCATGATATTCTCCCAGCGGCGTCTGGGCTGAGCAGGAGTCCTCCAGCACAGAATCAATTGTTGTCCCCACTCCAATCCCTGCAATCCCAGACTGACAACACCATCCCCTCCGATGCCAATGACTCACCCATCTCCCCTCTCATCGAGCTTCAACACCTTCACAAAACCCAAGATGCCTCCGATATAGAACATGACCGTGCACTATTCCATGCCACGCTCCAATCTGTCATCAGTGCTCACAGTGATGCTGAGGTGCTAGAAGTATTGGAAGTACGCCCCGAAGAGGTGCCAGAGGCACTAAAGGCGCTGCGGAGGGCTGAAGAAGCGCTGAGGAAGGCAAGGGAAGCTAACGAAGGGCAAGGAGGGAATGTGATCGAAGAGGGTTTGAAGAGAGTGTTGATGGAAACTGGGATTGAGGCTATGACGAGGTTGAGCAGTGTTGCTGTACAGAAGGCCGAGGATCAAGATGTGGATGTTCCCTGGGATCTACCTCCTTGGACTATTACCCGGTATGTCTCACTTCAGTTCTGCCCGGGCGAAGTTGACCAAGTTTCTCAAATAGCTACGAAGCTGACCGCCTCGTCATGATTGGCAGCGGCTCCTTCTCCAAAGTCTACCGCGGTAGCTGGTCTGGGCGGCGTGTTGCCATAAAGGTCCTCTCTTCCTACACCCCTGCGTCGCTCTTCAGGAAAGAGGTCGATATTTGGAGGAAGCTGAAGCACGAGAATGTGTTGAGAATGTGGGGTGCGAGCAGTGCTCAAGGCGAGCGGCCGTGGTTTATCGTGAGCGAGTTCTGTGGGGGTGGGAGCTTGGTGGGATGGTTGAGGGAGAGGAAGGGGAGAGTTGGTGAATCAACCGCTGGGGGTGCATTGACTCCTCCGAATGCAGGTACTAAGGGAGACATAGACCTTCTCCGATGCATGCATCACATTTCGAAGGGGATGGTGTACTTGCATGGGGAGAATGTGTTGCATGGAGACCTGAAGGTGAGTTTTGATCATTGCTTGGTCTTCGAGTCTGAATCTGGGATGTATAGGCTTCGAATGTATTGGTTGATGATAATGGGCGATGTGTTATCTCTGACTTTGGGCAGAGCGAGATGAAGTGGGAGGCGTCGAGGAGGAGTGGGAAGCCCGTTACGAGTGCGTTGATCTGGTCTCCCTTCTATTCTTCTTCCTCTGACTGAGGTACCATATAGACGGGACGCTGCGCTGGCAAGCACCAGAACTACTCAGTGGAGCCCCGAAACTGACGACAGCTACGGACGTATATGCGTTCTCTATCTGCTGCATCGAGATTCTTGGCATGGGTGACCTTCCGTATGGACATCGCGACGATACGCTTGTTGCATCCCTTGTCCTTGGTGAGTCCCAACCTATTCCATATCCACATATCATTAACGCCTCCACAGACAAAGACAAGCGTGCCGAGATTCCCACCACCCTCATAACTCAACTTGTTGAACATCTCATCCAAGAATGCTGGGTTCGGGACCCCGAGCAACGTCCTCTGTTTCCGTACGTTGCTGCGACGCTCAAGCGTCTCCGTAAGCAACAGGGAGGGGTGGTGGAGTCCCCTGTCCCAGTGCAGGCCGAGCTACTTATGGAGGATTGGTCGCAGCCGCCCCACCGCTCACCAATCGTGCATCCTCTTGCGCTACCAGAGACGTCTTCGTCTACCCTGCAGGAAGGTCAAGCCATGCCGGGCACGGACTCGCCTGTGAGTTTGGGAGACGAGTTTGGTACTGCGTCTGAGGGTACGGGCGAGCTTGATTGTGGTGATACGGGGTCGTTGTCAGCGACATCGTGTGGATCGCAGCCGAGACCTTTCCGCCCAATCGGACGGCCATCCACCAATCCATTGCATCGTTGGGAACCTGTCGTGGACCCTCTTACGGGAAATGTGAAGATGCCTGAAGGCAGGTATTCAGGGACTGTTATCTATACGCCGTCTCGTCAGCTATCTTTGGCGGAGAGCGTTTCCACAAGTAGTGTTTCGTCGCATCTCACATCAAGTCCAGAAGCTGAACACACCGCATTGGAGGGGGTTCGGCATCATCATTCGCACCGTGTTGCCTTAGGATACGAATTGCCTATGCCAATGGACGAGCATCTGGAAGAGAGGCGAAACGAGTTGCGGTTCAGGACCTTAGCTCAGTCAAACCATGGGTTCCATCATTCCCGTACGTCTTGTGTTATAATTGTTCTTGTTTGGCACATGATTGATCCTTTGGACTCGGGCAGTTACCTTACCCCTTTGGTCACCTTCTCATGTCGAGCTGGGTGCGGTGGGATATCTTTCTGCGCCAAAAGGGGAGTTTATCACACTGTTTAACGCCATGACACCCCAATCAACGACGGGAAGCAAAGTCAAGAATATTCCTTCGCTGGCCGGGTACCTTGAGGGACCTATTCGAACTGGGCAGAAATTCAACTCAATCCGCACAATGACGCAGAGGGGACTTGAACTAATTTCTGGGTTGTTGACCTTCCCGCTGGTAGGTCACAACGGGGAATATTCGTGAGTGCACAACACGTATTTTTGGCTGGTTTTTTTAACCACGCACGTTTAGGGAACGCATTTTGAGGCGTCATCCGTTCCCCCTTCGTGCGGGCCATAAGGCGGCATTCATCTATGCAGATGCCACGATGTATCAATTCATAGAAGACCTGGCAGCACCGAGGGAGTGGTTCAAGGCTAATGTGAACGCCATTGTCAAGGAGTATGCTCCTCGTCATCCCATCCAGAGAGAAGACCTTATCCTAGGTGAGTATTCATGTCTCGCTATTCATGGTCGAGTTCACACTGACTTTCCACGGCAGTTTTCGGTACTTTGTCTGCGCCAGAGTATGCGCTGTTCGTGAGCCACTCTCATCCGAATGGCCAAGCCAATTTCAACGTCTTTTCGGATCGCGAGATTGGTCGGCCGTGGGGCACCTTCACCACAAATACCGAGTACCCTTCCGATGAGGGAGGCCCTTCATACATCGAAGAGACAGTACCCCAAAAGGCAGTGTTCGCGAGCAAAGTATCGCCAGTGCGAATGAATCCTAAATCTAATGACAATGATTGGGACACGTTGATATTGGCCAGGCTCCGCTTCCCCACAGATGCAATGGAGCCTACTTCACAATGATATTGGAACTTGACTTTGATTGCATACCCATTTATTATCCTACCAATTTTCGCTGATTATAGAAGTGTATCATCTAATCTCGCTACATCTTGAACCTATGTACTTTGTTTTACCACACGATTGAATTCCTCTCACTCAGACAGACTTTTACATAATTTACTGCCTCATGCATGTACTATACCCATCAATTGACCTTCTGGATCGACCTCTGAACCTGCAGCTTGTGATTTCACTGAGTTAAACAAACGAACATTCTTGTGTGTTCAGACTAGATACGTTTGTCGTGGTGTAGATGCAGGAATGATATATCCTTTCACGAGCGCGCAGTTTCTGAGAGTATCACAATCATCAGAGGTCGTGCCATTTTCCTTCAAGAATTGACCGTGTGGCGAGCTACGCAGAGTCCCTGCTATCCCTGTTCTATTCTTGACTTCAAGGACAGCTTTCCTCGTGGGATTTGCCGATGCCTTGGGAAGTATATATAACTGATTGCAATATAGACACTGGCCTGGTCCGACGGGGGACCCATATATGTATCCGTGACCTCGAGCGTTATTCCTGTTGGTACCATATTTAAAGCTATGACTCTGCATGAGAAACGAACTTTAGTAAAAGCGAAGGTAAAAGTCGTCCAGTATCAGGGGAATAGGAGGGGTGCCAAGTATGGAAATATTGAAAGTGCTGCTGACATGAGCTTGCCATTGCCAGCCGAATTCACCAAACACGACGACAGCAACTGCCACCAACATCTCGGTCGAACCAGAATGTTTTGATATTTTCACATGTACAGGTGCACATGGTCCATGCCTAGGCTCTGGCATCGCAAGTCTCGATATATATAAAACCTGACACCTGGCACTGACATACCACGGTATGTAAATTTTGCCGAACTTTTGTCAACTTGAAAGCTCAAAACGACGGTACGTAGGCCTGCTGTATGACACCACAGCAACCGCGGCATAGCTCTCGTAAAGACAGACAGCTGCTGTTGACGTTGCTTCATGACGGCTGCGCTGTATGTCAGTTGTAAAAATCTCTCCACAAAAATAGCCTCGACTGTGGCATGCGACTGTAATTCTCAGGGTAAGAGGACCTGACCAGGTCGACATGTTTAGAGCCTCCCCCCCTGTGAGCACCCATGGCTTATCATAATCACACTTACTAAACGCTCTTGTTTTTTGATCAGCACTTTACAATAAAAACATTTTTGAAGTCTTGCATCGTGACCTAAGTCACGTCAGATACAGGAACTCGAGCCTGTATCATTTCCTTCACGAACGGTGCTAGTAGTGCTACATAGTACGTTGGATGAGCCAAGAGACACGTCAGCTCCGGCAAGAGGGACGGCTTGAGGCACACCGGGACAGTATTTCTGGGTACCCGTTCCAGCTTATCGGCGATTTTGGGCCTAGCCTTTCATTGCCGAGGCGCCGACGCCATGATGGGCTAATTTGAGGACGCTGCGGTGTACATAGCAGGAATTCTGTCCCCTGGTGTTTACTTAGTAGAAATGCCTGCCTCGCGTGTATAAGGCTCCCACTGTTCAACACCCACCAGCTGGAGGCTATTAGTTCTGTCACAATGACTCTCGGCTCTGTGTTTGCAACGACTCGTGAGTGCTACAGTATGAATTTCCTCAGTGATGTCTACGAACAATTGCGTGGTCAACAGCAACAGTTACTGTCGGTCCGTACCACTATGTCCCTACAGAGTGGATTTGTGTTCTTGTGAGTTATGTTGTTTGGACGGCTTGCATTCATTTCAGATTGTTCCCTAGTTCTTGGTGTTGTACAGTATCTCAACTGGTATGAATTTCTTCTGTTCACGACACATGATCATGGCTTGATATCTTCAGTCCTCCACTTGGGCCAGGCGTTCAAGTATAAACTCTGGTGGATGATCCCCACAGCGACCTTTGCGGGTGTCCTGGAAATATTGGGATGGAGTGCCAGGTTTTGGTCAAGCCAGAGCCCCAAGCTTTTAACACCTTTTGAGATGCAGTGAGCGTTCATCGAGAAGGAATCACTTGCATGCACACTCAAGCGTTTTCGCTGCAGGCTCGTTGGCACCATCATAGCACCTACTCCACTAGTTGCAGCCAACTTTATCATCCTTGGCAAGATAATCACTCAACTTGGACCTCAGTATAGCCGTCTGACCCCCAAAATATGTCAGTATTACTCTTATGTGCTAGATTTAAGTTGCTAATCTAGCGCAGATACCATCCTTTTTTGCTGCTTTGTGAGTATTATATATTCAAGTGATGTTAATCCTTCATATCTCTCCGACTCCTAGGATGTCATTTGCTTGATCGTACAAGCTGTAGGAGGTGCAACAGCTGCACACGCGGTTGGTGCGAAGACCAGTGCTTCGAATGTATGTACATCACCCAATGTTTCGTGCGACATCCACATCATCGAGACAGGGCGCGAACATTATGCTAGGAGGAATTGCTGCCCAGCTTTGTGAGTGATTAATGCCCCTGTGACACTTCTCTCTCACTGAGATTCATTTCCTTCGCTCTCCAGTTGCTATAGTGGTCTACGTCGCTTTGGCGATTGAGACTCTTTTGCGTTTGAAATATAATGCACCCTTTCGCTACGTTGATCAGCCTCGCATATTGGAGAAAGGCCAAAGTGCTGTAAGTAAGAACTTGCAACTTATGCTTTGTAGCATGGCATTATGCACCCTCTGCATCTTCATTCGGTTAGCGTTCAACACATTTTGTTATCAGCAGTTATGATGTGCTTAAACTCGTCCTTAGATCGGTATACCGTACTATAGAGCTCGCCAATGGATGGGCTGGGCCAGTGATTTCTACGGAGCGCTACTTCGGTACGTTGTCACTGTATTCGCTATGAGTACGCTAACAATGCTCTATGGCTGCTAGACTGGCTCGATGGTGGCTTGGTCACTCTTGCTATTTACACGCTCAATTTCTTTCACCCAGGTGTCTGGGTGAAGAACGAGGATCCCACTGCTCATGCTTCACAGCAAGCTCTTGACGAAGAAGCTAGTGCGACCTAGGTTTTGGACTGTATTTTAGCTCTTGGGTTTTTCAACGAAGCGGCAATGGACTTTCATAATTACTAGTAGAGTGGTCGTCAGCAAAATGGTTTGAGGGTATGCCCACAGATACCTATGCGATTCTTTCACGAATACCTGGACCTTTCTTGGATCTCTCACGTATCTTGGCATTGTATAATATCATTATGCCTGTTTTCGCACCCTGTGTCTCCTTCCAGCGGCCATCCTACCATTGTCCTATTCTGAGCATTCATTATGCGGATTAATTCAGCATCCGTCGGAGCTCGGTCTCCCGTGATCAGATGCTGATGCATAATCGTTTCCTCTGAATTAAGAGTCTCCCCATGGGCCCAATGAATAGTCTAACGTTGGTCCAATGGTTGTGCCGGGATAAAGTTGCCGCAGTCCGGTTCAGGTCCGGTTCGAGCAGATTTTGGTCGAACTCGAACTCGAACCAAGTAGCATTATTTCCTCACCCTCGAACCCGAACCAGGATTATAGGTTCGCCAATGGACCGGTCTCGTATGGTTCTGTTCGAGTTCGAACCGGTTCCAGACCCTTCGCTGATACAAAATGGAATTTTTTTTACTACTCGAGCTCCCGCAGCGCTGAACGACCGTCTTTTTGTTTTTGCACCTCAAAAACGGAGTCTTCTGCCCATCGTCTCCTCTCCGCAGCCTCCCTGTCAGCTTTCTCTGTGTCTCTGTGCCTTCGCTCCCGCTTGTATTTGCCTTTCACCGTCTGAATGTCGCCAAAGTTCTCGGGAAGCAGTCTTGCACGCCGTTTCGTGTCTGTAAGTCCTGCGTCCGAAAATGCTCGTTCGCATGGCACCGAGGAACCTTGCACAGGTAAATAATCGAGTGCGATTCGACTCAGGATGGGAAAACGGGGAGCATTAGTCTGGTAATGATGTTGAGTGTAGATATGTGCAAAATGATACAATACGAGAATGTACCTTCCACCACGAAAAAATTGATGATGCTTGCTGTTCTGGTGAGCTACTTTCGTCGACAGCAACTAATTCTTCTGCGAGGAAAACCTTCAACTCGGCTCGAGCGACTTTGGTTGATAGCTGTTCGCGAGTTCGACGACTTTCCGTAGCCCTTGCAATCAAGCTACTCGAACCGGTGCGTGAAACGGCGGAAGGTGCACTAGTACGTCCAGCATTCGATAAACGATCTACTGTTTGCTGCGATGTATACAGCTTTTCGTACTTGTCGAACTAGATCTGTGTCAGTAGGGTACTACTATGTGAACACGAGAGATACTCACAACTTGCTCCATCACGATTCGAGCTTGTGTTTGACCTTCATCGGACCACGCTACCTTGAAGTACTCGTCCTTGACACACGGATTTAGGTCTGAAAATAATTTGTAAGTGATTAATAAAAGTATAGAGTCACATAGACTCACACATAGACACGATGTGCACCGGGGAGTTGCATCACCGAAATTCCCCAACTCGGATAAGGGCTGATAATGACTGACCAGGATGCGCAAGGTCACAAAAGGTGCACCAGGTGTATCAGCGCGCGGAAGGCGGGGGAACCGACGTATAAGATCTGGTTGAGAAACTCAATTGAAGGTAAGATGGCGGAGGTTGGGTAAGTAACTGGTACCTTAGCATAGATTTTGAGCTTATAAGCATTGATATGGCAATGCTACTTATATGTTCTGATCTGCTGGAAAATTCTGATAAGACTATTTCATTTCGGTATTGCATTACATGGTATGAGCAGACAGTAAAAGTACATCTAAGAGCAGAACATGCACCAAAGCTTCTCTAAGAGCGGACACGCGCCCAAGCTTCTGAAGGAGACTCGGTATGACAACGACGACAAGAGCAAAACATGCGATGATCGGACAGCAGCTTGAATGCGAATTGCGAATGAGAAGTGGGACGACGACAAGAGTGAAACATGCGACGAGTGGACAGCGGCTTGAATATTGCTATATTGCAAGTGAGACAGACAGACGTCGTCTTGAGTGAGAAAAATCAGCGTCGACAATGAGACGAAATGGAAGATCATTACACATCACTTTCTTCCCTTCCTTTTCTTGGGTGCGCTAGCGGATTTAGCAGTCTTGCCACTGGCCTTGGATTGAGCTTTTCGGGGTGATCTTCGAACTGGAGTCTCAACTTCTTCCGCTTCGGATTCCGTAAGTGGGCTTTCTGGTTGGGTTAACTTCTGCTTTTTGCGGGGCAGTGGCGTGGATGCCTCGGATGGTGCTGTGTGAACGGGATGCGAGTTTGAAACCGGGGGAGCAGCTGCAGGTGAGAACAGAGCTTGCACCTGGGACTTACTAACCACAGCTCGCGGTTTGGGGCGTGGCTTCGGAGCTGGGGGAGCAGCTGCAGGTGAGGACGGAGCCGGGGAAGAAGGTGAAGAGGAATGTGGAGTAGTAGGTGAAGGTGAGGCTGCCAGGCTTGGGTCCTTGTGAGTACGCAGCCGTGGAGGAAAAGGTGAGGCTGCCGGGCTTGCGTCCTGGTGAGTACGCAGCCGTGGAGGAAGCATCTCTGAGCCAACTTGAATAGAACTTGATAGAACAGGCGGTGGTGGAGCAGGTTGCACCGTGCTTGCGGGATTTGCAGACCGAAGAGCAAACTGTTTACGCATCAATGCAACGTCGTCTTCATCTTCGTCCAAGTCTCCAGCATCTGAGGTTGGAGACGTCGAGAGGGCAGCAGCACGTCCAGCCTTGTCTTTGAATAATTTTCTTAAAAAGAAGTGATCAGCGAATGTACTACCAGAATATTTAGACGTACAGGTTGTAGTGTTGTAGGATTGCTGTTGCCCATCGTTTGTCTGGCGGATTGCGAATGACGTCGATGATCCTGTAATAAAATTTTCGATACGAGAATTTACCATCCTCTGCGGTCCATTTGTCGCGAGAAGTAATTGCTGAGCGTGCCTATCGTGGTGTGTTGAAGACAGAGTCATGCACTACATAATGACTCACCTGAACGGCTGCGTAAGCAATGTTTTCGGCTTCCACTGTCATCATTCCGTGGATTACGGCATTGCAAGAATTGGAGACGTGAAAGTCGTCTCCAGCGAGTGCGGACGAGGGACCGGTAAGTACATGTTTCATCACCTTGAGCAAGGTGAGTGGTCTGTCGTCGTGAGATACTAGTAAACTCACGCGTTCAAGTAGAAATCCTTCGAAAAGGCCATCCTGTACATTGGCCAGGTCAAAGGACTCCCCAGCCACTCCAGCAGCTCCAGCCTTATACAACAGCGCGGGCCACGCTCGCGCATCCATGTTAATAGTTCCAGCCTCAAGTTTGGCTTTAGTGCTGGTCAGGTGATATTAGTATATGGACACGCAGCAAAAAATAGTACATACGCTGAGGGGTCCTTTTGATATTCAGAAAGGAATTTGATAGGACACAACATGCGCGCGAGTTGCGGGTGGTTGAGGCCCATCTTGGCACGTGATTCCTTGCTTTCGGGGAAGACAGAAGGCTCCAGACCCTTGCCGTCGAAGGTAGCATATCGTGTGATGCTCCTTTTCAAGTGAGCCGCATCTTCGGATCGCACCTGTCCAATCAAATATTGCATCTGTAAAGTCATTAGTCAACTGAAAGGTGCATATATGCGCACGTACATCATCAAGAATCTCCTGTAGCTCGTTAGACTTCTTTCGATCACCTTTCATGAGTTCTTGGAGATATGGTGCACCAGCGATAGTCTTCTTGTAGGTTCGGAGGATCTGGTCCTGTGCATCCTTTGATCTAGTAGTTGTTAGTAATACAGCTATGAAACACGACAACGATCACTTACATGTTAGCCAGAAGAGTAACGTGTGCATCGTCTACATCGGAGTCATGGTCAGATTGAGCACGCGCATCCTCGATTAGAGGTGCGATGCGGAAGATATCTTTGAGAATGCAGAACATGTCGATCCCTCGAGGGATCCACCGAGCGAAGTTCAGACATTGATCACGCGGTGTCATAGCACCCCTTCATACATCGTTAGATTAATATCCACGAGTGTTGAAAAATGCTTACTTTTCCTCCTTTCGATGCCTAAAATGAAATCTAAAGTCAATATATGCGTGTATAAATGCCCAGAACTCACGATCGTGGACGTTTAGACTTAGCTTTCAGATGGTGCTTCATTTCAACTTGCTCCTCTTCCTCATCAGAAGGTTTACGCTTCCGTTTACCGAGTTTCGATGGCTGTAAGGGTCGATCGGACTTGTGCTTGTGTTTCCCGAGTTTCACGGGCTCTGGCGACTTGAATGAAGTCTCAGATGTGCTACGCACATACGAAATCTCAGATGCACTACGTGTATATGAATCTGGTGTTTTACGGAGGGCAGAGGAGCTCGAAGACGAGCCAGGACGATAACGCACTGACATGATGGTGGGATGAGTTAAGGGTTAGGGCATAGGACTAATATGATTAAGTTCTGTTTGGTTATGTTGACGCGATATTAGGTCACATGTTCCCATTTGGTGACTATATGCGTGTTGCACAGCAAGAAAATACAATTAATGTGATTCTATGATTACAGAGACAATGTATGTGCAGAACGATACAGTAAAGTGCAACAAGATGACAATGGTACAGTGCAATGAGATGACAATGGTAAAGTGCAAAGAAAATTACTCGGAGCAGACAGCAGCAGGCAACGTCAATATCGCATCAAGTTGAGTGGTTGGTACTTCAGAAGAGACCGCCCTGAAGCCACGGCGGGGGGGCCATGTATAACCATGCTCCTCCTTGAACTTCTCCCGTGTGAGACGTATAGAAGGAGAGTCTCTGCGGACGCCATGCAACTCTACGGGTTTTGCACTGACGCGTTGAGTATTCCTGACAGAATAAATAATGCGAACATCAGAATTAACGAATAGATCAACACTTACTTGGGAGTTGCCTCACAGACCAGAGTAATGTCTGGGTCCTCTTCAGTAACTTGCGGCAAGTGACTGGAAAGTCGGAACGCGTCAGTACACCAACAAGAAGTGAAAAAGTACTTACCTTTTTGGTTTTACTGTCCCCTCTGCCTCATCTTCACTGTTCTCGTCCTCAACCCATCTAAATTTCGACGCATCCTTCAAGCGCAATATCAACTTCTATACCGTAGATATCAGTGTTTAAACGACTCAGATATAATAAAAGTACTTACCACTGGTCCCGGACGCTCTGGAGTGAAATCTATTGTGTATGTTGGCCATCCAATGAGGAGGTTATCAATTTCGATGACAATGGTATTGTCATCGAAAAGAGTAGAGTTTTCCAGTAGGTCGATGGGTTCAGAGGTGGACATGGTATACAAAATGATATGGTGTGCGCGTCAATATCTATGCAATCAACAAGTCAATGTTTGGTTATGTTGATGTGTCACGTGACCGTACAATTTCGTATGACCGGCCAAAATAATAATTCGACTTGTGAGAAAATTTGAGAAAGTCAGTTGCTTTGCATCTTTGCATCGACCTACTGCTAGTGCAGACGCCCGAGCTCTACCCACCTTGCCTAGTAACTCCCTTTGGTGTGCCGGGGGGCGAAAAGCATAAATAGGTGGAGCCTGCCATGTACGACTTGTTCAGCTCCGGACTGGAGGCAATACATATAGTGCGGCTTGGAAGCCGGCACGGATGCCAATGGTCCGGGTGTAGCAAGTTGTACTGCGCTCGCGAACCATCGAAATACCTGCACTCTGCCAGATGGTACTCTCACATCAAGTCTTATAGCCCGGAGCATGCAGATTTGTCTGGCACCTCATAATTGCTGGCACCTTGTAGGTGCAAACTCCTAACCCTAACCCTAAGCTTGCTCAATGCCTGCAGCCCGCGCTTTCTCTCGTGTTGCTCCTGCTATCACAAACGCTCGTGCACGTCCTTCGCTGGCGACCGCTCCAGTCTCCTGACATCTTCACGCCTGCTATCAAGTGTCGCTCCTCGTTGCCTGCATTGCATAGCATAACGCTCACAACTCTCACCGGTCACCACTCGGAGCTTTCAAATGTTTCTATCCCTGCCCTAGATGGACGCCCTGCAGGTCATCGTGAAGTGGCCAGTAAAGATGAGAGCTGCATCAGGCCAACTCTCCATTCGGTCCTAGGCCCTCATAGGTGGCGCCCATATCCTTTGACCCCTCCTCTGCACATTAATTCCGCCCTCATGAGCGACTCTCGTCAGCAGCAGCACCCCCAACAGCCCTCCACACCTGACCCGTTCCCAGTCCCTCAGGTCCCCCTCCATTCCACACACGCCCAATCATCCCACCTGCGCACTCGCGGCAAGGACCGCTCCGGCAAAACGCCAACTAACCGTGCAGACGTCCACTACCAAAAAGACCAGCAAAGCTGGACGGTGTGCTTCTGGGAGCGTCAAAACGCTTGCGGTCTCTATTGTAAACTGGTCAGTCCTATCTCGTTCACGTACATCACGTGGACATGGGCTTTTGCTAATGCGTCTCTTTCTTATAGCATAAATATCTGCGCTGGCTTCGTGTAAGTCCGGTTGAGTGGGCTTTCGGGAGGGGGTCGTTTTTCTAACCTCAACTCTGTATCTACAGGCAGCGCGCAGTGCTACAACTGCCACACGACCGCGATGCCTCTATGGAGGAAGGACAACAAAGGCAAGACCGTTTGTAATGTGTAAGTACCTATTTCCTATTCCTTTCATACTCGTACTAATTAATGCCTTACATACATGCAGATGCGGCCTCTACTACAAGCTCCACAGCTTGGCACGCCCCATCAGCATGAAATCAGACATCATTCGCAAACACTCTCGTCACGATGCACGCGCGCAGTCCTCCTCCCTCACGGAACCACCAAGTGCCTCAAACACACCAGGCATGTTACTACGTTTGGCTTTTACTAGCGTCCACCAGACTCATGCAGTCATCCATAAACAGGCCGATGCTTCTATAAGGACGATACCAAACCATGGCCGCCAAATTTATCTCCTTCTGATTTCAAAGTGTCATCTGAGCTTCATACCACTGCTCTTGACACATTCGCTATCAATTCCGAATTGCGTGCGGTAAGTTCCCAATTTCTTATCCTCGCTTTGCAGTGCATTCACTTCACTTGATGGCAAGACACACATCGGCCTCGGAAGACAACCCCAGGAAGAAATGTTCAAGAAAACGAACGAGATTCGGCAGGAGTCTATGCCGGAAAAGGAGACAACCACTGAGAAGCGCGAGACTTCATTCTCCTTGTCACTGGCTTCCTTGCCGTCGTCTTTCACAACGCTCTTGTTGTCCATCCTGGACTCGCCTGCATATGCTAATTTGACGTCATCCTACCTCAACAACGTGTTCAACCCCGCTACCCCCAATGATCCACGTGTTAAGTACTTCAGCATCACCGGACGTACCGCCGACATGAGCATCTGGCACCGCTTTGTCTCCCGTGCGCGGTTACGTTCTGACCTTGGTGAATTTCGGACGAACGCCCAGTTACGGTTAGCAAATGGTTGACTCATCTCTCAGATTGTAGGCTCGAAGATTACCTTGAGCGGGAAAGCGTGCTGAGTGAGGTGTGTGGACTGTGCGAGCTTACTAGCAGGGGCGATGTATACACTCTTGTAGACAGTCCAATCATAATTATTGTTAAAGTGCACTATATCCTGCCTGAGCAAGGAAATCGTCATCCAGCTCCTCGTCTGAGTCTGGAATGACCTTGTCTAGATCGTCGTCATCCTGCGGTGATTCATTATGCCCGTCATCCTCGTCATCATCATTGTCATTCTCATCCTCGTCATCGTCACCCTGGTCAGACTCGATGATCTCTTCATCTAGATCTCCAGCCATATCAATGTCTTCTTCGTCACTTGTTGCAGCATCTTGTTGAGTAGGTGCGCCATCCCGCTGTAAGAACTCGTCCCATTCTCGCGTGATTTTGTGACCTACCCCACCACCACGAAAGCGCATGAACATGTCACGGTCCACGAACCTATGAATCAGAGTAAGACACCGTGAGGCTGAGAATAAAACAATCTGACTGACATATTAACATAAAAATATCGCCAGTCTTCATCAGCCTCTTCATCACGACGAACAAACGAAGGTCCAAGATACTGTGTCGTGCGCTTGTAGGCATACGCGGGAATCAAATGCACACCACGGATCACTTGATCGGGATCGACAAATCCAAAGCAGCCAGAATCAATGTCTGGATTGCTGGTGTCATCGGTAATAAAACCAATGCGATGCAGGCGTTTATTGGAGAAGCCAGCTGGAAAGGTTATGTCCCGTCCAAACCAGCGGACGAAAAGAACATCCATACGCCTTGAGGTTGAAGGTGCATTATCCCCCCCGTAATACCAGACATCAACGTGGAATATGCGGATTAGTCGTGCATACCAGTAAGGATGCCGTTCGTCGTCGTCATCTTCGTGCGATAGAACCATAAGATCGGCGCGAGTTCGAGGGTTAATGCAATCTTGCTCCCTTCTTAGATCATAAGTCGTATAGTTAATCTGTAGGATGCTATGCTCGTGAATTTTATTGTTCGCCAGGATAATGAGATCTCGGTCCGCATCAGAGAAGTCATGTTCGTCGCCTGAATAATCAATACCCCGGAGACGAGCAAGGAGATGATCTTTGAGCAGGGGGACAAAGTTCTGATGGGTCCATTATTAGTAGGTACATATCAAAGAAAATAAACAAACAAACCTTTGTGGCAGGATCGTCATCTTCGAAGTCGCTCAACCAGCCAGTGAGGTCGTGTGATGCCCTGGGATATTTTGAAATATGATAGTGATCGGAGGGGGGGGTGCGTTGACGCCGTCGTGATTGTCCCATCCTTGCAGAAATAACCCTATCCACTTGAGCAACAATCCTCGCAATTAAACGAGTTCGTGCCTCTTGAACGACCATGTTCTTCAGCAGTGTCTTCTTGTTCTTTGGTGTCCTGGGATACCAGCGTTTAGCACGCCGATGCTGCAACTCGCCCTACGAAAACACTAGTGAGCACTAACTCAACAATCAATTGCAACACTCACTGGTTGCGTCGAGTAGTTATCGGTTGTCCCCATTAGTCGGATAGTGTTGGGATAGTCTCCAAGCGCATGGTATTTGTAAGTCTGAAGATTAAGTTTCTTAACCTTGGGACCAGATGACCGTCCCTTCCCCTTTTGCTTTGAAGGTGGGCCTTGCTTGGCACTTAGAGCAGCTTCACGTCGGCCTCGTGTTGCGTACTCTGTGGGAAGTTCAGTAGTGTGGTAGTGTTTACACGTACTGTCCCTGAATTGTCGAACTGTCTTCCCAAGAGTAACTGTAGCGTGGTCGAATAGAGAAAGGGTATCGTCAGTGTGCATGCGAAGCTTGGCAAAAGCATGCCAAGTGCCTAGGTCGAAAAGTAGGTCCAGGACCATCGAATTGTGAACTCCGGGTAGCAGACCCTCAAACACGGGAAGAGCGCACTAGCAGTCCATAACATCAGAAACACGAGGTAAAAACAAAACTCTCAAATTACCTGAAGAAGATCCTCGAAGTCCCGAGCCGCTAGTCGCTTCATAGCTGATGCGTTTGTATGAAATCGTCGAATAGTGCCACGGCCGAAGGTGGGGATCATCCGATAGCTACAGACATACAGTTAGATTAGTGAACTATTTAATGTAAATACTCACCGCTCGTTCAAATCTTTAATTGCTCTACCGCCTTGAGCATGGAGAATTCGCAAGAGGTGAATGAAAATATGTTTCCAAACGCCGAGTTCGAATTCGTGCAGAAGATCAATTACAAACATGATGAAAACGTTGAAGTCGAGTGGTCCCAACTGAACTGAGAATGCATTCTGTTTTAATTTATTGAGCATCGGTCTTAAAACACAAGAAAAACAAGACTCACGCGGATGGGGACATAAGATTCACGATTGAGAATTTTTTTGATACGAGTCCCGTCAACGGATGCACCTGTCTGAAAAATAAGCCTTCGAGCATCCTCTACACGGCGTCGACGATGATCGTTGTCTACCCGCTTCCTAGTCTCACGGCGTCTCATGTCAAGCCTGGTGCCCATATCAGGAACATCAGATTTTTTGATGAGACAACGGGGGCACAGACACTGGCCCAAAAACTTGATGGTTGCGAGAAGGACCCTGCAAGAAGCTAGTAAGCATGCAACAAAAAACGATCGAAGATTCCACTTACTTCTCTGGATAATCTGCAGAATATGAGAAAAATCGGGGGAAGACACGACGTGTGATTCCGTCGCTACAGCGAATGACTATTCCATGCTCATATGCGTGCATGAAGTCCCCGTCTAGTAACAGCCGCCAGATCGCTTGAATAAGTTCGCGCTTGAGAAACGTGTGGACCTGGTCCGTTGTGCCTTCGCCAAAGATGTCAACGTATATGTCTTGGAGATTATCGGGAAGCTGTAGTATATTAATGGTCATACAGATCATCATTAAGATGGAACTTACCGAGGGAATATAGGCCACATGGTGACATGCAGACGATGTTGGCTTCCCTCGCGTGTACTTGGACTGGTTGCCAAAGTACATGTAGAATGGCCACAGTGAAGCGTCTCCAAAACTTGCAAGATGAGTTGCGTCGGACCACATCATGAGAGGTGCCAGTACACGTTCGAGATCGTCGTCTTCTTCACGGGGAATAGCATTGATCTCGGCATAAGCGTCAAGCATCGTAGGAGAGGAATAAGCTTCTGAAAAGACTTGAACAGTTTTTGTGTCGGAAGCCTTCCAGTACTGAGAATAGGGTGTCATGTGGAATGTTTTCGAAATGTCATCCTCGAATGTTGAACGGATGATTGATGTAAGAGAGCGGTGATATACGCCCGGCACCTCAAGTTCTGGTGCATGCTGCTCGGATGGCCAGGTCTGGTGTTCTTTGGGGAGGCGTATTGTGACTGTCGACTGACGCCAGCCGAATTCTTCTCGCAGTGGATTTGTCTTGTCTTGTAGGTATGCATCCATTAGTTTGGACTCACGAGCACAATTGAAACCGGGGACATCCTCCAATGTGAAGTCCGGGTGCTGATGGAAGAGAGCTAGTCGGTTGACTTCTGCATCAGACTTCTCGTTGGTTCCGGTATAGCGCCAAGTCATCATCAACCCGCACGTCGGATTAGTAAACGGATCGAAAATATGATCATCGTCGACATCAGGAGGAGCAAATCCTGTAGACGCAGATGACTCTGTCACCCGTTCTCCCTCTAGTGTTGGTGCATCTGTGCAATTGATGAGCGATGAGTCGTTGGGGGGAATAAATGTGGGGCGTGTCGGGTAGATTCGATACAGTCCCATAGAATCAGGCTCTGTCTCGAATAACTCAGCCAGTGGTTGGTCAATAGATGGCAAACCTTGGTCAGAAGGCTCCGATCGAAGTCGTGGAGGAGATGGGTGATGTGTGGGCTGCTGTGTCATGTGTGCCAGAGGTATGTCTGAGCCAGGAAGGTAGTCGATGAACCGTTGAGGCATGCGGATAGCACGCCCCGAACGTTTTGAAACAACGGGTGGGGGTGGGGTGGGCAGAAGTGCTGGACCTGAAGGCCCTGCGAGAGGTACGTCCTGAAAATTACTATAAATACAGGTGCATGATAGTTAAAAACAAACTTACATTGTCAAAGGTATCGTCCGTATCAAGGTTGACGTAGTCGAGTTCTTGCTCGTCAACGGGGGTAGCTACACGAGCCTTCTTATCACGAAGCTTGGTTCTCGTTTGCAATTTCCGTTTTTTCTCTCGTTTTTCACGAATCGAGTCGAAAGTGAAGTTGAGATTTTCCTGGCATTTCGAAGCATGAGCGGAGAGCTGTTTCTGTGTCTTAAAAGTTCGTTTACAAATGCAGCGGGGAAGATCCATGTGGTAGTAGTGAACGTCTGCAGAAAAACCCGAGAACACAAAGGACGGGGAATTAACACACGCAGCGTGACAGACAGGAAATGAGCTTACCTATGAGGAAATGAGCTTACCTATGTAAGCTGGGCTATAGTGAAGAAGAAATGAAAGTTCCATCTGCGGAGAGAAGTTGAGAATGGTGAATCACTCACGAGCAGCCCACCTTGTCATCTTGAGGTGCGTAGTTACTAGTATAGTCAAGCAGCAGTACCAATTTCAACAGACCCTAGAGTTTGCAGACAATTGTGTGCAAACTCTGAGATCTGTTGAAATTGCAGGTGCCATGAGACGAGGGTATGAACAAACTGTCAAGTTGTGTCCATCAGTCAGTTGATACGGTAATAACATATAAGGTAAATCCTGAACTTACCAGGGGCGCATCAGACTTGCGTCAGACTGATGGCGGCCTTACACGTTTAGGAGGGTATTGAGGTATGTCTGAGGGAGTGTCGTTGAACCTGCGAGCCCATTGTCATCAACCATCATTGCGTCATTGGCCCGTAAAAGATTGTGGCGCGGGAAAGTGTCCACATAAGGTAATTTCAGACTTGGGGAATTTCGGTGATGTGTCTGTTTTGTTGTAGTATTTTTTGAGGGACTCAATGCCTGCTTCGAGTGCAGGCCGCAGTACTGCCATGTTTGGATCAGCCGCAAAACTATGCCATTTTACGATGAAGTCTTCATAAAGGGGAAGGATGCGCCAGACGGTAGGGTAATACTCGGCTGAAAAAGCCTCCTGGATTTCTGCCGCAGCCTGCGAGGACCGTCAATCTAAAAGTAGCGCATGCGACGTGACGCCAGTGACTGATGCTTACCGCAAGGACTTCTTTAATCAAACCCAATAGCTCCCATTCACAGTCGTCAAGCCGATAGCTCGAATACGTCGGCTGACCTTTGTCGACATTTGGCACGTCGTCCGAGTCATCTGCTGTACTAGTGAATAATTTGACAGCCTGTGTGCATGTTAGACTAGTAAGGAGGTGCACAAACCTTGTAGCGAACCTTTTTCAAAATGAGTAAGCGAGTGATGACTCCATTCCATGAGCCCCAACGAGTCTTGCAATACGGAAGCAGCTCGAGAACTTCATTCCGTGCATCTTTGCAACACTTCTTGAAATATTTTTTAGCCTGCGGGGAACGTCGGACCTATAGAGAAGTTTGAATTGACATTACATATGATGACGAAGTTTTGGGACTGACCTTTGCAACGAATCCTCGAATCTTTAAGAGAAGCTTCGCAACAGCTTTCACGTTCTCGGAGCTTGGAGCAGCTTCAACTTCTTGCTCGAGGGCTTGAATGTCATCTTCATTATCCTCTTCGTCTGCTTCCAGCGAGTCCAGTTCACCAGCGCGTGAACTTTCAGATGGTTCTTCAAACACTCCATCTTTGTTCTTTTTTTTTATGGAAGGCGAGAGCTTTGATAAAAATTTGCCCTCGGCGATGGCTACGGCGTGAGAGAAACAGCTGTTGACACCAACATCAGACCTATGCAAGCCTATTCAATAAAAACTTACTGTGAGCGCTGCTGTTTTGCATCAAATGTGATTTTGTCGTCCTTGAGTTTTTTCCCAAGACTCCGCATACTCTTGTCATTCACGGTAACATTATCAGATGTAAGATTTTGTATCTGCATCAGACTCGTCAGACTCAGCAAATTCCACATAACGAAGTGGTACCTTATCACATATACCATACCGCTTAATAACATCATACAGTTCCGCGCCAAGGTTCTCGCCACTGTGACTGCCATGAATCTCGGAAAATGACAGCAATTCTGAATGAAGCCGCCAATGCTCCGACATCCAATGGGCTGTGACCGCAAGATAAGACGTCATGATTTTAGACGTCCATCCATCGAACGTGAGTGAGACACGACCTGGAGAAGCCTACTAACCTTAAGCTATGCATATCATCCACACGATTGTGCACATACCTGCAATTCAGTTGCGAGATCTGCCTGTATTTCCACAGCACGTGCCAAGACCGACTCAGTAACTTTAGTCCGATGTGGAATATCTGCTGACTTTGTTTTGTTGCGACCATTGTAGATCAGAAGTTCACGGAACGCGTCGTGGTCAACAATTGAAAGGGCCTATGTCTGTAAGTAAGATCCTATGAAATATATTGTGATTATTTCAATTTGTACGCACTTGATCAGTTTCGACTATGAAACGAAGAAGGAGATCATCAAATCCCTCATTAGTCCATTCCTCAGGTTTCTTGATAGTGCGTGTGAAGCTCAGAATCGATGGTTGTCTATTCACGCTCAGTCACGAGTCTCATTTCCAAGAAGTCGAACCTACTGTCCATTGGGGTTTCCTGCCAAGCGCTCTTCCTCCTCCTCAGGTATGCATCGTGTATGCATGTCTATATCACCCTCTACACATTTCTCTCGGTATGTGTTATAGTGACACATGCCCATCCGACTAATATGAGTTCGCATCGTCGAGTTGTTGCCCTTGAAGATGGTCTGTAATTTTGCATGTTTCTTCAGATTTTCATTTTTCTTTGCCCTGGTCACGGACTTAGAGAGCTTGCTGACGCGCTTCATTTAATTTCAGTACTCACACACATATCTCACACTCGAATCCTTGTGACAAGTCATTGGCATCCACAGGTTTGAACACGGTCATGATGTCTGCAGCGCCGTCGCCCTTTTTACGCTTCTTTTTCTTAGGTTCATCGCCATCGTCACCATTGTCCGTTTCACCTCCAGCATCCGACAAGGCCATACTTTGAGCCCGCACAGCTTTGACGCGGTCAAATGCAACTGGCGGCGGCTGTGTTACCTTTGCATTGGGCACGTTTTTCCCATTCTGGTGAGCCCTTTTTGAAATTGCCTTGGACTTGGTGCGTGGTTTAGTCGAGTGATCTGAGTCGACATTATGTTTTAGTGCCGCAGGGGCAAAACTCGCTGGTGTCAGCTGTGCACCGAATGCGAAGGCAGATCTAGGGCCAGGAACTGCTGGTGATGGTGATGGAGGAGCAGCGAGAGGTATAGCAGAATTTTTTTGCGTCGGGGAATATTCCCATTCTATGTCGCGGGGGTCTTTGAGTGACCCATCCATGTTCAATGCACACTGACCATCCATACTAGTGTGATTTAACGATGCGCAACACTAGTATTCAGCGCTCGGTACGAGTCGGTAGTGACTCAGCCACTGATATATTACAACTGTACAGTTACAGACTAAACTACAGTACCGGTAGACAAACTCTGTTTACCATTTTTAAAAATATCTATAGCGGTTCGGTCACAGTTCGAACAGGTCCGTGGACGGTTCTCAAATTCCACTTATCTCTGAACCGCGAACCCAACCACCTCTGGACCTCCCGAACCCTAACCGTTACTGGACCGAACCACGGTCCGGTTCGAAGTTTGGAACCGGTTCTGTGGGTTCAGAACTGGACTGCGGCAACTTTATGCCGGGATGTTCCATTTTCCCGACAAAGTTATGTACCCTTCTTACCTAATTGAGTAGTCAGGTTCTTGCAGCCGCATTTGAACCTGTTTGAACTTTGCAATTGCTCTGAGTCAATTGTTGCTTTTAAATTTTCTCACTGGTCACTGCCGCTGGCAATCGTGCATGCTTCTCTTGCGCCAGTTTTCTCTAACAGTCATGCATGGACCATATGATCACGTATGAGTCTTTCGTCAATGATTTCCGGCATGGGTCAGCACCCGGGGATCTCTGACTCGCTCATCTAGGGTGGAGGAAGGCTCTGTTGGTTCAAAACATACCACTGTCGAAAGATGTGATTGCTTCAGCCTGATAGTGTTCTTTGAAACACATCATGGAGCACGTTTCGCTCGGGGGCCATCTTTGTCTACGACGACTTTTCAGGCGGACTAAGTGGTGCACTCTCTGGCGAGTGTTTCGCCCCCTTGCATAAGGCTGTTGATGTACGTATCTTTTTTTTTTTTCGTTTTCCCTCGCATTAACGATCTCCAGTTTCAAGTCACCTCTTGCTTAAATCGCTCGACTCCGATCACCCTCTGTCAGACCATCTCGAGAAGGAAAACAGTGGTTCCTTCTTTATCATAAGATCGCCCTTCCAAGAAGTCAACAAACCGTTCCAAGAGACGTCCCATTGCGCCGATCCAGACTCGTGCTCCAATCCTTGCTCGCTGTCCGAGTCCATGGACACAACTGCATCAGATATACCCACAGTCGAATTCCTAGATGTGCTGTATTTCTTATATTTAGCAAGTAGCGCCAGCTCGGATCTCAGTAGGAACTCCGTAGAACGGTCTTGTCGAGATGTAGGCCACTACACTAAAATGGTAGCGATTACCGAAAATGACATCGCGTACCATAGATTGCGAGTGCCAGTGCACTGCTATGGCCTTGGCCCGTGTTCCTGCGTTTGCCACGACGCAATCGTCATCATTTCCCGAAACAGCTGTGCCAATCACTAGAACCTCGTCCTTATAATTACGAGTCCTGAGTGCCGGCAGGTTGTGATTTCAAATCGCACATACCATTCTTTCTCGAAGCAGTAAAGTCTACTCCCTCTGTCGTTGTGTCTGTGCTTTGTCACAACATATATGGGCCCGTATATGCATTGCATTGGACCCTTCAACGGGCACATCGAGCTGGAACTTACAAGGAGTCACAACTACTCAGCTCACAGCAAGTCCAGCCGAAGGCACACCATGACAGCTCATTGCTGTATCACCGGTCTGGCGGTCATGTCATTAACACCGCTGCCACGATGCCATTTTGAAACGCTGTGCGGTCCGGGGTCGAACTGATCTGTGTTTAGTAGATATGCTGGCTTTGCTTAAACAAGCTCCCTCTATTCGATACCCACTAACTGCAGGCAATTTCTTCCTCACCATGGTCACCAGCTCTGTGTTTTATACGACTCGTAAGTGCGATGATATTATCATGTCGTGATGTCTATGAACAAGTGTATGGTCAATAGAACAGGCCAGTGAAAGCCCCTACAACTATGTCCCTACGGAGTGGATCTGTATCTTTGTGAGTTATGTCGTTTGGACGTCTCACATCCATTTCATATATTTTTTCCTTAGTTCGTAGTGTCGTATAGTATCTCTACTGGTATGAATTTCACTGTTGACAGTGCACAATCATGTCATCACAGCTTCAGCCATCCACATGGGTCAGGCGTTCAAGTATAAACTCTGGTGGATGATTCCCACAGCGACCTTTGCGGGTGTTCTGGAAATATTTGGATGGAGTGCCAGATTATGGTCAAGCCGGAGCCCCCAGCTTTTGACACCTTTTGAGATGCAGTGAGTGTTCATCGAGAAGGAATCAGTCGCATGCACACTCAAGCATTTTCGCTGCAGGCTCGTTGGCACCATCATAGCACCTACTCCACTAGTTGCAGCCAACTTTATCATCCTTGGCAAGATAATCACTCAACTCGGACCCCAGTTCAGCCGTCTGACGCCCAATATGTGTTGGTGTTACTTTGATGTACTGACTTTAAGTTACTGATTTCGCGCAGATACCGTCGTTTTTTGCTCCTTTGTTAGTACCTCACATACAAATGATGCCAACCCTTCATATCCTCTGGTTCATGTAGGATGTTATTTGCTTGACCATACAAGCTGTTGGAGGCGCATTCGCTGCGCAGGCCGTCAATCAGGGCCAAAGCCCCACATTCGTAGGTGCCACTTCTAGCACCTTGTGACATTTACTTAACGCAGACAGGGCGGGCACATCATGCTAGGAGGAATTGCTGCCCAGCTTTGTGCGTGATGCGTGGCCCTGTGATACTCTCTTACTAACATTCCTTCCCTTCGCTCTCTAGTTTCCATAGTGATCTACGTCGCTTTGGCGGCCGAGTTTCTCTTGCGTCGGAAATACAACGCACCCTTCCGCCACCAGGATATTAGATTCGGGAAAGGTCAACGTTCTATAAGCAAGAAAATGCAACGTACAATTTCCGGGCTGAGCTTCTGCACCCTCTGCATTTTCATTCGGTAAGTGTTCTGCACATCTTGTTATAATGACCTAACTTCGTCCTCAGGTCCGTATACCGCACAGTGGAACTCGCCGATGGGTGGTCTGGGTTAGTGATTTCGACCGAGGTCTACTTCAGTACGTTCCGGCACCATGACTATCTTCACTTTGAATATGTTGACGATTGATTGTCGATAGACTGGCTCGATGGGGCCTTCGTCACCGTCGCTATTTACACTCTCAACATTATGCACCCAGGTATCTGTTTGAGGTTGGATACTATTACTCATGCTTCACAGCAAGCCGAGGACGAAGCCGATCAAGATTACTACTATAGACATCGGTTGCCTTTGCGACGTGGCTAGTTGCACTAGTAGTACTTTGAGGCTTGCGCGATAGCGGAAGTTAGTTTAACAACCTGTTTTTGTACCGTTTTTATCCTGCTCTGTATAACCTATATTTATTCAGACTTACCCCTGCGTTCCTCATATCTCATGGATACTTACTATCCAGATTCAAGAGCCTTCCAACACACGAGTACCTCCTGTCTGCATATTCCAAACTGTCCACTACCATCTCTCCAAATGATTGCATGCAAGGCACAGCCGAATTCGAATCAATCTAATGAATCCGGGGCGAACATCGAGATGGGATCAACTGGCGTTTGATCCCGCGGAACCAATTCGCGTCGCCTCCATGTGCGCGCTCCACTCGAGCCCAAGGCTTTGATTTTCCACTCTGACTCACGCTTGTACCCCACTCAAGTTTGGCGCTCCAATTGTGCCCCTTTCATGCCCTCGTGCGTTGTGATCCCTCCCAGTTCAACTTCCTTCGTCATGGCGTCCTGCTGCTTCTTTCACGGTATTGTTGGTATTGTTGGCATTGTGCCTCTATAGAGATAGAGGACGGTTGCAGCAATCTTACTGTCTCCGTTCTCACTTTCGGTGGTGGAACTGTGCCGCCCGATCATGTCAATATTAATGCTCGCATGATAACCGCAATCGCAGGTGATGAGACCGTCGTCCTCAGGCGAGCGGATCACTTGTAACAATATATTATCAATTTTGCCAACCTATGATATCATGACCCAGATTAGTACACAAGTGCCAACGGGATGCATCAAATATCCAAAGGATTGCTCTGGTGCATGCTCAATTGTTGCTTGCTTACTGTCGGATAATAAGATCCGGCAGATAGTAAGACAAGTCAGTGCTCTGGGAATTGGGAACGGAAGAAAGTAGAATGGATCATTGGGTACCAAGTCTAGTCTCAGCTTACTGTTTCCTCTTGGGAGATCCGCCAACTTGAATTACATTCAAGTTGTTACTGGCAGTGTTCGGCCGGTCACTGAACGTTCACAAGAGTCGGTGAACGTTCACCAGTGAACGTCTCTGTATCTACGGGCGAACGTGAATAGCTATGGTACCAGGAGTCCAAGGGAAAAAATTATATAATCATATCTGATTGGCTAAGGCCTGCCTAACCGAGAACTCGCCAAATCTTACTCGTCCAAAATGTCCTCCCCCTGAGGAAATTCTGCGTCGTCAATACCGTCGGCATCCAAATCCAACAGCTCGTATAACTCAATCTCAGCATCTAAGCCTCGAATGGCCGTTTGGTAGAAGGATCCTAGCCAATCTTGAGCACGAGAGAAATTGAAGAGATCTTTGATAGGAATTCGCTGGAAGTCTGAAGGATTAGCGGCTACCTCCATAATCTCAGAGGTCGTGAACGACTCCTCATCCTCAACAGCTTGAATCAAGTGTGCGGCAATTTGCCGTAGCCCTCTGTGCTCATCAACTTCGCTACCTGTCTGCTGGGGACTGCTGAAGGTATTTGTATCATCCTCCGCAGGGTTGACCTCGTTGGTATTCTGGCAGTAGCGCCGTTTGAGCCGCTTCCTGACGGATCCTTCGCGAACATGTTCCTCGTGGAGGTACATCTTCAACTCTGCAAGTAGCATAAGATTCTGGGTGGAAAGTCGATTTCGCCATTTCGTGAGGATTGCACCGAAGATGCTGAAAAGACGCTCGCACGAAGCAGAATTTGGACAGATGGAGAGAATTCGCTGAGCAATTTTCTGGAGGGGCTTTATTTCAGAGCTGCCGTGCGAAAATCCATCCCAAATATCGAGAGGATCAACTGATGTGCCCTGTAGGCAGAAATAGGTCAGACGTGGAGGAATACAGCTGTAGCAGATGAATTACCTGGTCCTTTGCACGAGATACTAATATTTGTGTATATATGTCAAGTGGCTGGAATTCAGGCGAACTTTTTAGATAGTTATCAAGATCTGTAAAAAGCTCGAGTGGTGGCACTCCACCGTAAAAATGTGTCCAGAGGCGACTGAAGAGGGACATTAGCCCCGCACGTGTTGTCAGAGGAATATTGTTGAATGGTTTGTCTTTGTAGAGTGGGTCGACGATAACGGCGGCAATGAAAACTTCTTGATCGACTTGAGCCCAGCGACGCTCGGCACTCTCCAGGACTGCGTTTCGAGCCACAAGGTCAGATTCGTCGCCAACTCTCGAGTAGCGGTAGTAGAGAAATCCAAATGAAATTGGAATGTACTCGGGTTTCGAGTGGGCAGCTTGGTGAACATTTGTCATCAGGGCAATTGGCTCCAAAAGGTTTTTCCATCTAAATGGTAGTGCAACGTCAGTCAAAATAGCATCGTGTCCCAACGAAATATCCCCACCGAGCCATTGCATGCCAGAATGTTGGATTTTTGATTGTTGCAATGGCAGCTGAGGTCTTTGCTCGTGAACGAGCATCACCCGTAGACCGTATTTCTGCTTCGTGCTTTGCTATCAATAGCTCTAGTGATGGTCGAACATCTAAAAGTCGCCGGTATGCTAAATAATGTGACAACCACCGAGTGAGAACAGCACGAATGATGGCCAGCGTCTTTCCCACAGTCGACATTTGGAGTTCGCGAAGGAGTGCGAGAACGTGGGTTTTGCTACGAAGCCATGTAATCAACTCCTGTGCGAGGTCACCATATTGCCCGTAGTCATCCTTGGCTTTGAAGAGATCCCCCACGATAAGGTTGAACTGTAAAATAGATAAGCTAACTCGCATACTATTCTCGCATCGATGACCTACCTGATGAGCAAGGCAGTCAGGTGTTACTAAGTGCGGAAATTTTGTGCGAAGGAGTCGCCGAGCCTTACGAGACTCTCCAGATGCATCAGTAGTACATGCAATGATAATTACTCCCCACTCGCTCTCAACTTGATTGATTGATTCGATAATTTGCTTCAGGAGTTCTTCAGCATTGCGCGAGTCACCAGATGCATCGTGAACACGGACGGCACGCAGCTTATAAGACAAAGGAGTTAGTTTAAAGGTCATAAAAACATCCACAACTTACCTTTCGTTTTACGGTCATCATGAAACCAAGCAAATGGTGGCTATTCTCACCAGTCCAGCCATCACATTGCAGCGTTCCAACGGCACCACGACATTCTTCTTTCGCAGTGGCTTTGATACCACGAAGGACTTGAGGCATGACACGTTTCGTAAGAACCTTCGCTGACGGTGCTTTCGCTCGAGGAATAAACCTATCACAAAGTCTCAACCACTCTGGATTTTCAACCCATCGCAGTGGCAATCCTGCACTCGCAGTTACCCGTGCTAATCCTGCTTCCCAATCTGCTTGATCAGCATCGGTCCAAGTTTGGCTGGTTGACCAGTGAGCTCCGACAAGCGGCGACAAGACAGATCCAGCAGTGACAGGCTGCGAAACAGAGCGATATGCACCTGAATTAGTCAAGCGCTGGCGCTTCGAGGGAAGCGAAAGGAGCGTGATATCAGAAATTGCAGGACTGGGTGCACGAGAATCGAATGCCAGCGGGCTTGGTAAAGATAACAAGCCCGAAGAGTCACCGGCAATTGGAGACGGTGCCGAAAGACCTGGAATAAAGAGACCAAGAGCTGGTGAATGCGTAGCTGAGGACGGTCCCGCAATTTGAGAAGAATCGTTGTGCAGCTGAGGCATGGATAGTGTAGCGTGTACCGCCATGGGTTGCATCACTTGATTGAAGCGAGCAGATTTGTTGGGCGAGCCATGCGCTACAAGATCACCTTGCGCACGTGACCGAACACTCTCAGTATGTAGCTCGCAGTCCCGGATATGCGTCATGAGCGTTTTTGGACGACTGACATGCCAAATCCGTTGCGGATCATGCTGGCCAGTAGCCCACACTACAATAGAAAGTGTTAGAAATAACTAGATGATACAATTTCAGCTTACCTGCTCCCTTAATCGCCTGCTCATCTCGTACATGATTCCGCGATCCAAACTGTACCTCAAGTTCATCACGAGCCCGTTCTGCCGCGACGTAATGCTCGAGTTGTCTGGTGCAGATTACTTTGGCCTTCTGCTGCACCATTGATATTGGTTCTGAACTCTCATAGCCGGGGTGTTCTGTAAATTCCGTCCACCACCAGCCACGATTAGTACTCCGAGTCTTCTTCTTGCCGCTGGCCATAGGACAACGGTTGCGGAACGGCGATGGACGAGAGCAAGAAAAAAGAGCAGGTGCTGTGTTTCGCGCCATGAGCCACAACAAGCCATATAGGTGGGGGCACGAGGATTCCGCATGGATTATTACGAGCATTGATTACTATTGCGCAGTTGAGTTTGCATTAATATATCATAGCTTGGATGCAAAACTCACCTTGATTGATAACACTACCAGATGCAGCGAAGAAGGCAAGGACGTGTGAGACAATGCTCATATGTAGCTAGACATGCATCTAGATGTGAGTAGTCGCGCGCTCGATGCTATTATCTATACCATTTAGATATAAATTGAAACGTATCATTCAGTTTCTATATAAAGAATATACAAGGACTCATGGCACCCGACACGTTCACGATCGAGTGAACGTTGGCAACGGTCATCGACTTTCCCACGCTTTGCGTTCAGTGAACGAACACTGCGGTCGCTGACCGGCAGAACACTGGTTACTGGAGTCAGGGAGGTAAGCTAAACTTCAATGTTTCTTCCTCTGTTCTGTGCATAGATCATTCCATCCGTGACTAGTGACTACGCAGTCATCGATTTGATTGACACCGCGTGATTGCTCAAGCGCTCCGAGTCAGCGGCTCACAGCAGTGTTCTGCCGGTCAGCGACTGCAGTGTTCGTTCACTGAACGCAAAGCGTGGGAAAGTCGATGACCGTTGCCAACGTTCACTCGATCGTGAACGTGTCGGGTGCCATGAGTCCTTGTATATTCTTTATATAGAAACTGAATGATACGTTTCAATTTATATCTAAATGGTATAGATAATAGCATCGAGCGCGCGACTACTCACATCTAGATGCATGTCTAGCTACATATGAGCATTGTCTCACACGTCCTTGCCTTCTTCGCTGCATCTGGTAGTGTTATCAATCAAGGTGAGTTTTGCATCCAAGCTATGATATATTAATGCAAACTCAACTGCGCAATAGTAATCAATGCTCGTAATAATCCATGCGGAATCCTCGTGCCCCCACCTATATGGCTTGTTGTGGCTCATGGCGCGAAACACAGCACCTGCTCTTTTTTCTTGCTCTCGTCCATCGCCGTTCCGCAACCGTTGTCCTATGGCCAGCGGCAAGAAGAAGACTCGGAGTACTAATCGTGGCTGGTGGTGGACGGAATTTACAGAACACCCCGGCTATGAGAGTTCAGAACCAATATCAATGGTGCAGCAGAAGGCCAAAGTAATCTGCACCAGACAACTCGAGCATTACGTCGCGGCAGAACGGGCTCGTGATGAACTTGAGGTACAGTTTGGATCGCGGAATCATGTACGAGATGAGCAGGCGATTAAGGGAGCAGGTAAGCTGAAATTGTATCATCTAGTTATTTCTAACACTTTCTATTGTAGTGTGGGCTACTGGCCAGCATGATCCGCAACGGATTTGGCATGTCAGTCGTCCAAAAACGCTCATGACGCATATCCGGGACTGCGAGCTACATACTGAGAGTGTTCGGTCACGTGCGCAAGGTGATCTTGTAGCGCATGGCTCGCCCAACAAATCTGCTCGCTTCAATCAAGTGATGCAACCCATGGCGGTACACGCTACACTATCCATGCCTCAGCTGCACAACGATTCTTCTCAAATTGCGGGACCGTCCTCAGCTACGCATTCACCAGCTCTTGGTCTCTTTATTCCAGGTCTTTCGGCACCGTCTCCAATTGCCGGTGACTCTTCGGGCTTGTTATCTTTACCAAGCCCGCTGGCATTCGATTCTCGTGCACCCAGTCCTGCAATTTCTGATATCACGCTCCTTTCGCTTCCCTCGAAGCGCCAGCGCTTGACTAATTCAGGTGCATATCGCTCTGTTTCGCAGCCTGTCACTGCTGGATCTGTCTTGTCGCCGCTTGTCGGAGCTCACTGGTCAACCAGCCAAACTTGGACCGATGCTGATCAAGCAGATTGGGAAGCAGGATTAGCACGGGTAACTGCGAGTGCAGGATTGCCACTGCGATGGGTTGAAAATCCAGAGTGGTTGAGACTTTGTGATAGGTTTATTCCTCGAGCGAAAGCACCGTCAGCGAAGGTTCTTACGAAACGTGTCATGCCTCAAGTCCTTCGTGGTATCAAAGCCACTGCGAAAGAAGAATGTCGTGGTGCCGTTGGAACGCTGCAATGTGATGGCTGGACTGGTGAGAATAGCCACCATTTGCTTGGTTTCATGATGACCGTAAAACGAAAGGTAAGTTGTGGATGTTTTTATGACCTTTAAACTAACTCCTTTGTCTTATAAGCTGCGTGCCGTCCGTGTTCACGATGCATCTGGTGACTCGCGCAATGCTGAAGAACTCCTGAAGCAAATTATCGAATCAATCAATCAAGTTGAGAGCGAGTGGGGAGTAATTATCATTGCATGTACTACTGATGCATCTGGAGAGTCTCGTAAGGCTCGGCGACTCCTTCGCACAAAATTTCCGCACTTAGTAACACCTGACTGCCTTGCTCATCAGGTAGGTCATCGATGCGAGAATAGTATGCGAGTTAGCTTATCTATTTTACAGTTCAACCTTATCGTGGGGGATCTCTTCAAAGCCAAGGATGACTACGGGCAATATGGTGACCTCGCACAGGAGTTGATTACATGGCTTCGTAGCAAAACCCACGTTCTCGCACTCCTTCGCGAACTCCAAATGTCGACTGTGGGAAAGACGCTGGCCATCATTCGTGCTGTTCTCACTCGGTGGTTGTCACATTATTTAGCATACCGGCGACTTTTAGATGTTCGACCATCACTAGAGCTATTGATAGCAAAGCACGAAGCAGAAATACGGTCTACGGGTGATGCTCGTTCACGAGCAAAGACCTCAGCTGCCATTGCAACAATCAAAAATCCAACATTCTGGCATGCAATGGCTCGGTGGGGATATTTCGTTGGGACACGATGCTATTTTGACTGACGTTGCACTACCATTTAGATGGAAAAACCTTTTGGAGCCAATTGCCCTGATGACAAATGTTCACCAAGCTGCCCACTCGAAACCCGAGTACATTCCAATTTCATTTGGATTTCTCTACTACCGCTACTCGAGAGTTGGCGACGAATCTGACCTTGTGGCTCGAAACGCAGTCCTGGAGAGTGCCGAGCGTCGCTGGGCTCAAGTCGATCAAGAAGTTTTCATTGCCGCCGTTATCGTCGACCCACTCTACAAAGACAAACCATTCAACAATATTCCTCTGACAACACGTGCGGGGCTAATGTCCCTCTTCAGTCGCCTCTGGACACATTTTTACGGTGGAGTGCCACCACTCGAGCTTTTTACAGATCTTGATAACTATCTAAAAAGTTCGCCTGAATTCCAGCCACTTGACATATATACACAAATATTAGTATCTCGTGCAAAGGACCAGGTAATTCATCTGCTACAGCTGTATTCCTCCACGTCTGACCTATTTCTGCCTACAGGGCACATCAGTTGATCCTCTCGATATTTGGGATGGATTTTCGCACGGCAGCTCTGAAATAAAGCCCCTCCAGAAAATTGCTCAGCGAATTCTCTCCATCTGTCCAAATTCTGCTTCGTGCGAGCGTCTTTTCAGCATCTTCGGTGCAATCCTCACGAAATGGCGAAATCGACTTTCCACCCAGAATCTTATGCTACTTGCAGAGTTGAAGATGTACCTCCACGAGGAACATGTTCGCGAAGGATCCGTCAGGAAGCGGCTCAAACGGCGCTACTGCCAGAATACCAACGAGGTCAACCCTGCGGAGGATGATACAAATACCTTCAGCAGTCCCCAGCAGACAGGTAGCGAAGTTGATGAGCACAGAGGGCTACGGCAAATTGCCGCACACTTGATTCAAGCTGTTGAGGATGAGGAGTCGTTCACGACCTCTGAGATTATGGAGGTAGCCGCTAATCCTTCAGACTTCCAGCGAATTCCTATCAAAGATCTCTTCAATTTCTCTCGTGCTCAAGATTGGCTAGGATCCTTCTACCAAACGGCCATTCGAGGCTTAGATGCTGAGATTGAGTTATACGAGCTGTTGGATTTGGATGCCGACGGTATTGACGACGCAGAATTTCCTCAGGGGGAGGACATTTTGGACGAGTAAGATTTGGCGAGTTCTCGGTTAGGCAGGCCTTAGCCAATCAGATATGATTATATAATTTTTTCCCTTGGACTCCTGGTACCATAGCTATTCACGTTCGCCCGTAGATACAGAGACGTTCACTGGTGAACGTTCACCGACTCTTGTGAACGTTCAGTGACCGGCCGAACACTGGCTCACAGTCAAGCTGTACAGTAATTACATAACACGTGGTTTGGGGACAATAGACATATGATCACATACGTAATTTTCCACATCCCATTTTAGGTAGCAGAGCATCATCATCATGGCCAGTGTGCTTCACCGGAGGGCACGAACGGGGTGACTGCTTCAAGAAAATGTGCTAAAGTGAAGAGACAGGGCAGCCTGTGGAAGGCCAACTGTTCTCGGAGTCTCCCGCCGCTGTTTTGATTTTATATTGTTCATCTGATTAGTACATACATGGTCACGATTGTGGACGCACCTTGAGTGCCAGTGTGCCACAGCGGAGTCCACATTCCGTGTGGGGGGTATTTATTCTCTTTACACCTCTTTCCATCTTTCCCTCCACTTGTATCTACCTTGTACTACACATGGAGAACATCACCCCCCCTGCCCTCGATAGTCAGCGGATGCCCGAGCAATATCCTGCGGGAAAACCGGGCGAGCCTTCTGGCCCTCAAACGGCGTTAGTTCGAACATATGCCCAATACTTAGACTCTGTGGGCAAACCAGGCGAGCCTTCTGGCCCTCAAACGGCGTTTGTTCGAACATATGCCCAATACTTAGACTCTGTGGGCAAACAGGACGAGCCTTCTGGCCCTCAAACGACGTTAGTTCGAACATATGCCCAATACTTTTAATAATATTTGATAGGAATAGCTATCGCATCGCGTCTCATCACGACTCTGATATATGCATCTCCGACACTTGTTATACCAGTGTCATGAATTTGGAATCGATCTATGTACTTTCTATCGCATCTGGTGCAAAGAACACCATTATCCCCCGTTTTACTTATATGGTTATCCTTTAACGTTTCATATTTGAAATATTACATGCCTTCCTCCCCCCAGTCTCAGTTGACGAACAATACATCATCCTTGACTGCTGGACCACTAATCCTTGAAGCTTGAAGTCTGGGGCTCTTAGCCTCCGCCTTCAAATTCTCTTTCATTTGTAATACTCGCCTTGGGATGTCGTTCCTCATCGATGACAGTCTTCATTACCTCTCTAATGAATTTATTGGCTTCCGGGTTTCATTGCGTCTTTTGTTGTCTCATCCCGTTCTTCATGACTCTCCTCTATGGTGGGGGACTGACCCTATACCATGTGCGCACATAGTACTAGAATTCATGATATCATGACCTAAATTAATCCACAAGTGCCAATGGGATGCATCGCTTATTAGCCTTCGAGCAAGACTCAAAACTGCGCAGATAAGTTATTGCCAGAATTTGCTACTTGATGCTCATCGGACAAATGAAGAGAACGAATCGATGGTAAGGAGTGATTGTACTGGTACAGAAGCAAAATGACTTGATACGTTCCTTCTAGCTATGAATCGTCGAGCTCGTTATAATTAATATAACTCGATGCCGACGCTGATGTCAAATAACTGAGATGAAATCCGACATTTACTTCAGCACTACAAAGTGAACAGTTCCGTGTGTAGAGCAATCCCGCCCACATCCATACTCATGGTCATACCTAATCTCGCCACTGCATTCTGTGCCTCCCTGGTCAAGCTTTCCGGGCCACTAGCACAGACCGCGACTCCCCCACCCGAACACTGCCATTTCTTAGTTTCATCAAATCGGGTCTCGATCATATCTTCCGTTTCAGACGTAGGCGGAAGACTGATGAAGTCCTTGAGAAGCTCCTGAACAGACGGACGCGAGAGTGTGACGATGGAGTTGGGGATATGAGGCACCGCTTCAGGATTGCAAAGGCACGTTACGAAAATAGAAATGTGCAGGTCAATGGCGCTATTCGATGCTGCTGTAGCAATATCTATCAGCATCGGAGCAAACCATTCTATCTGACCTGCATAAAGTGGATCAGGATAATGTGACGCCTGTTGTGATCGAAAAAGAGAATTACCGAAAGATCTAATGCACCAAGTGAATTCGATTCTCCTTGTTCGTTCTCCCTGACTGCGGCCTAGTTTGACACACCTGCCGATGATATCGTCCAGCAGACCAAGGGTGAATGTGATGCCAGACCCGCCGGCTATAAGCAATACGCTTTCGTATAGACCCAGATCGACACTTGACCCCCCGTAAGGACCATCTAGCATGACTTGAACGAACGCAGATGAATCACCCTCGCACTTCTCATTGATCTGTAAACGTTCTTGTTCCTTTCGGGTGTAGTTATTCAATGCCCGAGTCCAATCTCCATCAGTTCGTGCGGCGAGAATGAGTCCTGGTGAGGAGAGGCACGAAATGGAAGGTGGAGCGGAGAGAATAGTGAGGGCGTGGGATTCAAGCACTCTGTTGGAGAAGAAAACGCGCAGTCTGACATGCTGGCCAGCGAGCCAGCCATCATCGCAGTTATGAACGCGGATCTGTCAAAGGTGAAGTCAGCAATTATCGAATAACGCTCGACTATTTCCTGTACCAAAGTCATGTGAGCGTCCTGCGCAGTTAATGAGGCGTCCTTGATTCGATAGCGGAACAGGCGCAATAACACATCTGCACCATAGAATGCGAGGGGAGGGAATATCCACGGTGACGCATATATAGTATGATAGCATATAGTTACAAAGAATGCCACATATGTCAAAACGCTGTAACAAACCTTAGCTTTAGTGTGACGCGAAACAACATACTCACTGGATGACGAAGAAATACTCATAAAACAATCTCCTAACTGGCCTCAACGACGTAAGAACAATGATGCAGAGCAGCGCCAACGAAGCCACTCCCGAAGTCTCTTTCTGCGGACCAAGAACTGAAAGTCCATACTGAAGGTGGTTGCGAATCCACAGGGATCCATGAATGCATCCGGCAAGGAACATAGCTCTTCCTGCCATCCTATGCATAAAGTTGAGTTTCTCGTAGCCATTCCCTGGTCCTAACAGTAAGGACAGGATTGAGTTTTTTGTTGCGAACAAAAAGACGACCGGGAACTGTGCGAGAGCGATAAATCCTGAGTGACTCAGATAAGCTTCTCTCGTTCGTAAATATTAATGAGTGTGGCTGACTCACCAGCTCTGTTTGGGTTCGAAATAAGAGGTGCATCCTTTATGATGCAGACAAGTACAGCTGCAAGGTACGCCGACAAGACTATGACTGAATATGGCAATGTGTCAGTATTTCCCATGCGGTACCATGATGCCTCCGATGCGCACTTTGTCCAAGATTGAGTCCGAGTTTCGGAGGAGACCAGTACACCGGTGAGATAAGAGCATTCCAAGCTCCAACTGATCTGCGGAATCTCCGACGGGTAGGTGGAGGCTCTATGCTATCGGATTCAGAATGAGCGGTCCGATATCCATTGGTCTCTGATATTCCAGTGATGCCCTTGAGGGAACGCCCATGCCTCAGACCAAGAATCAAGCTCGGAACAGAAACGGCCACAGCCAGCGCCAGACCAGAACACCAGATCGTGGTGAATTTGATTTGCCATTTGGGATCTTCGACATATGAGCTGTAGCAACTCATGCATGCGTTTCAGTGTGCAGGATAAAGTGTGTCAAACATACTTGTAAATTTGAAAGCTACTGGGAATGACTGGAGCAGCCATCTTGTCGGGCCAGCAAGGAGGTAGAAGCCAAGTCGATAACCGGTGCGCGGCGGTTTCAAGCGCCTGATTAGTAAGTCAGAACAACATTTTCAAGCATTTTCACTTCTTGATCAAGAAATTTAGATGAGCCGCGGGTCACGCAAAAATTGACGAGGGAGTTCGTGGCAGACTCTTACAGTCACATCTGCGGGTCTGGAGTACACCGGATGTGCTAAGAGAGCGCGGGAGAACAGCGTAATTGAGTTTCGTAATGTACAAAACGGTGCCAGCAGCCATACAATGCAACAACTCTGATCAACAAAGAACAGCAGTGGTGATGGGGGACATTAGTGCATGTATAAGCAGCGGGACAGTGTCAGAATGGAACTTCTGCCCAAAGATTGCGTTCTACCGATGATCGTCGCGCGGACATGTTTTGCCTGGCATGCATGATGGTAACTGAACAACACGATATTTTGCAGCATTCTATACTTACAAAAAGAACGCGTGTAATCGGTTTAATGTGCATGCGCAATACTACCAAATCTTCCAAAGAAAGTCTCTCCCACTCCGAGCCCCACCACAAGGGAGAGTATGAAACCCAGCTGGTACGTCCTGTCCATGTCCAACACATCAACACCTTAAAAATGAAAAGAGCAGTACGACGTACATGACTGCCAGCATGAAGAGGTAGCCCAACAGCGCCTGCACTGCAAACATGACCCCACGTGTAATATCATGCGCGGGAATGAAAGGAGGCGTAAAGCGCTTTGTGAATCCGATGCGAGATGTCCGAGTTGGTAGGGTATTGAGTTTATCAGACGCAATGATAATTGCCCTGATCATTCGTAAAAAATATTTTATGCAAATGAAGGGAAAAGAACGTACTGTTGGCCCCAGTGGAATTCCATGACTGCTCGGCAAGCTGCTATCCAGCGCTCGATCAACGCCAACATAAACAGTGCGATACATGTGCCAACCATGGCTCCGGAGCTCTTAGGAACCCAGCCAAGGAACCACACTATATTCCGGCATATTAGAAGAGTTTATTGTGTATACCTGTGAAGATAACCCACGATTGTCTCCTGGCGTAAAGTGCAGGTACGCGAGCATGTTCCCTACAGCAAGACTGATGCCACCATCCATGGACATATCCATGCCATTGTCGGCGAGACAACAGTGACAAAAGCATAAGAAACAGAGCGCCAAAGATTTCCAGTTCATCTCGCAGGTGTTCGTAGGCCCGTGTATGCAGAAAGCCCAAGTGTTGAGAGTCGAGACAACCTGACTAGCCGTGGGAACCACCTTCCTCTAGCGGAACGATGGTCCAGGGAGGGAGGATCGATATCGATGATTCCTTCCTCCCTGGACCAGTAGTTCAAACCACCAATAGATGGACGACAGAATGGTAATACGACAGTGGATAAGACGTGGACAAATTGAGTGTCACGAGAATCACGCTCTCGCTCACATTGGTCAACACCACCCTGGCAACCCTGAGGCACACCATCCAGATTCTGCGGCACCGTACAATTCTGGTCGCAATATATGGGTATCGAGTACGAGTTTGCGGATTGGCTCGGTGTGCAGGAGGCACCGCAGAGGTTGCAGACAAAGTATTATCAGCAAGGATAGAAGTGTCATTATCACGATAGGCCATCCGCTTCACAGTGATTTGTTTGTCTTGCAGTTGAGGAGCTGTAGAGCTCTGTGCTCAGTAAATCTGTGCTTATTCCGCGGAGCTTCGAGATGCAAGATGTCGAAGAAAAAGATACGTATTGCGCTGGTGGGAGTCCGTGGGACGATCAATATTAACGAGGCATTTTAGCGTTTCGTGGGAATGTGATGCCTTAAACGTCTCACCGGTAGTCTCCGGTCTTCTGACAAAGTCGGAATTCCAATCTTCTTGTTCTGTCTCACACTCTCATGATGCTCCATCGCCCAAGTCTTCAGCCCATGTTCATGATCAGCCTCGAAAACACTCTTATCGCCTTCTTCGAATATTCTGCAGCCACGCAGTGACCCAGATAGGCAAACGTGTCACCGCAGCCGTTTCACTCCCCGCCCATACCACTCAGCGTCAAAGCGATATTTCTCGATACTTGACTCGATGCCTTTGCCACCCACTTCGAAAATTTGATCAATTGCTGCTATCACTATCACATGATATCAGGGGTGTGGAATTGTCTTTGCATACGAGGACTGTTCGCTTCGATTCGTCGGGCGTAGTCTATCGGTGCATGTGTGCGTTCGCGTGCGGCATTTCCCTCTTCCCACCAACCCAAACACATTTTAAATAGGGTCAAGTGGCTTTGTCTATGCATACGAGAACTATTCGTCTCCATGCGTCGAGCGTAGTTTATCGGTGTATTTGCACGTTCGCCCATGTGCGTGCGGCATTGCCCTCCTTGACCCGCCTACCCAAAAACCATATAAACGTTTCCATTGACCAGACATTGCATACCACAAAAACCTGCATAACCCAAAAAGCATTTGATCACAAGGGTCCAGTGGCGTTTTTTGCATACGAGGACCGTTCGCCTTGATACGTCAGGCGTGGTTTATCGGTGCATTGTGCGTTCGCGTGCGGCACCACCCTCTCCCGCCAACCCAAATACATTTCAATTAGGGTCAAGTGGCTTTGTTTATGCACACGAGGATTGTTCGCCTCGATATGTCGGGCGTGGTTTATCGGTGCACTCGTGCGTCTGCCTGTGCAGCGTGCGGCATTGCCCTCCTTGACCCGCCAACTCAAAAGCACTTAAAAAACGCATACCATATTCATACCGTTGACCAGACCAATGCAAACCACACGAGCCAGTCATGTCATTGACCAACCATACCAGTGTTTACTCCACAGAAACGCGTATAACACGCAGTCATATCATTGACCAGTGTCTAACCGCACATTAATGCGCATATCACGCAGATCTAACATATCCCGATGCTCATCCACATGGACGAGACCAAAAATGATGCGTTGTTCATAGAACAAGTCATGGACAAAGCATACGAGGACGACCCTTTAAGGCGTCTATTGGTGCTTCTGTGCTTCGCGCGGCGTGTGGCTCAGTTTCCATGGGCTCTTTAGACCCGTTATCAGGACATGGATATATGACTTATGATTGACAGATCATTGCCATCGAAAGCTCCATTGTGATGCCAAGCTGTTGCCGTATGCTGTTGATCCTACGTGGCTAGCTTCGACTCAGATTTCGCTTCACCCCGAGTTGTTGTGGAAATTCATGCGGAACTGGATGTTGTTCTGCAACCGACACGTTGCTCTGAAGTCCTTCATGGTTTTCACAGTCGTAAGTTGTTACACATTTGTTCCATACTTCGACGCTCATGACATGATTTAGCAATTGCTCCCTGCCTTGACTTGTTGATGGTTTCTTCCTTCAACGCGAGGCATACCCCATGGCTTCTGTCAGGGTCTGCTGTCGTCAATTGGAGCCCTCGGGCCTATTGATGATTATCGCATAATTTTTTGCTCCTCCCTTCTTCGTGAAGGGGTCTCGTCTGAACTACAGTTCAGCGCCATTCAGATCGACGAAGTTACGTGCCTTACTGTGGGACGGTATACATACCTGTGACTGCCAACCTTACTATTCTCTCTACAATACCACCCTCCCACGCATGGAAGCGCACTGCGCTCGATGGACCTACTTTAGATGTTCATACGCATCCTCGCTCTCGAAACCCTTTTTTCCAGTGTCGCTTGGCGCTGTATTCTTGCTGAGGCTAACATGTCAGTGCAACAACTCAGCGTCAAGTGACCTTATGCCGCCACAATATTTTCTCCCTCCATATATTATTCAAGAACTAGTCCGCCGATTATGAAAATTTATTCGAGACAATTACATCTAACAACGACACTTCAAACTTTGAGGGCGGTAAAGCTAGCGGTCCTAAGACTGTGCAGTGGCAATACTAGGGGTTGCAGATTTTTGATGGTGCTATGCTGGAAGGTGTGGCCATTGTCCAGGCCTACCATAACGCAACATCGACAACATGTGGTATACAAGTTAAGTTAAGAACGGGACAGCGAGTCCAGTTCATCCCTGATCATCCTGACAACTTTTTCGGCCAATGGACGATCCTGAGGTGCAGTTGACCAGCATTCTTCAATAAAATGCCAGTAGTTATCAGAGAACGCAGGGTAACGTGATCGCATAGGCTTGGCCCCATTGCCTATGTGTTGAATGACCGCAGCGTCCCTTAGGTAATAGTAGGGCACTCTGCTGGTCAGGACCTAGAAGCAGAGCTAACAATATCAGCAGGGAGTATAAAAATTTCCTAGACGTACCTGTAACATAATACCACCAAAGGAATAGATGTCACTGCACTCGCTTGGCCGTATTGGCAGTTCATTATCCGGCTCTCCAAGTAGCTCGGGAGCCAGCCACCGAAATTTGCCGTTGAATGTCGAGGTCCAGGAAGCCAGAGAGGGGCTCATGACTTCGGAGTACACAAGGGACAGACCGAAGTCAGTGAGGCAAGCTGTGCCATCGCCAAGAATGAGCACGTTCGAACATGCTAATCCCAACGGAAAAAGCCTGACACAAAAAACGTACCAGATACGCCACAAACCATCAACACACGCCCTCCAAAAACCGCGCAAAACAGACATCCTCCCAATACCCACCGCGTGACTCCAGCTTCTTATTATTTCCTTTCTTAACCTCACTCGCCTTACTGCCCACCCCACCCACCACTACTACCCTCACGCCCAAATGAAAGTAAACACTCGCTCCGACGAACCACCAACAGCAGGAATCATCTCCCTCACAATAACCTCCCTAGGCGCATGCACGATCGCATGGGATACGTAGGCGAGCTCTAGGGCTGGAGGGAGAAGTGTCAGATTAGGTACGGGCTTTACGGGCGATGTATTTCTGTGTGTTTGGTTAGCGTTGGGTCTGAGTTGTGATGGGGGATAGGAACGTGTGGGGATGGAGATGGGTAGAGGGATGGAAGGGAAAGGGGGAGCGAATAAGAAGCAAGGAAATGAAAACGAAAAACACACCTCGACAGGAATACTCTTCCCCGCGATTTTCTACCTCAGCCCTTGGACGTGCTCCATCAGCTTCTTCGCTTCTGCGTGCTCGCTAAGCGTGGCTAGGCATGTTACCTCTTCGTATGCGTATGTTGCTTTGGACCACTAAGTGCACCCAGATGATAATGAGGGATTGAGGGATGGGGAGTAGAGTGGTCGAGGAATTAGAAGGAAAGAGATCGAGAGATAAAGGGGAGGGATCGACACACAAAGGAAATAATTATGAGCGAACACGAACCAAAAGAAGGGAAGAGAAACTCTGGGGATCGTGTGTAGATGTGAGTGCAGTGTTTGACTGTGGTGGCGTTTCTTCGACATATTTTTTCCTCCCTGATGTAGGTGTTGAGATAGCGACTAGCAGTTCTGGGTGTGCAATACGAAATGGCTGTGACCGAGGCCGCTGTGGATAAACCAGAATGTATCAAGAATCATGGTTTCCTCTATTTGCAGTGCGCAGCTGTGCTCCTTCATCAACGGTTGCTCCTTGTTGGGTAAGCCTGAGGCCTGAGGCCCCATGGAGCTCGAAATGATTAGTACGTACTACATAATTGCCACCTCAACCCGGGGATACCAAAGATCCGAAGTCCTGACACTAAGATGTTGAATTGTCGATGGCGTACTGGGCAGAACGCGAGCACGGAGTACGTCCGACGCGTCCAGCACTTCCCAACTCGCCGTGTCTCTAGTTAACTAGGCTGCTCGAGCGAATTACCTAGGAGTACTCCGTTTCCAAGGGAAACATGGTTTTTGTGCAAAGGTTTAGGTGAGTGGACTCAGCGGAGGATTCAATCTATGATCACTCAATTTGCGGCACTCGTCCATACCTGCAAATTCCAGGACCCCGGACACCAATTGGGTAGCACTAGGTCACCGTGGCTTCTCACACTAATTACCCCCTTTCTGGTATGCACATGCTGCGGTTAATGAAGAGTGTGATTCAAGACACGGCCACTGTCCAGCCTGATCACTATAAAAGCGCTGGATGGTGGTATGTATGGACGAACTCCATACGCTCCATCCTGATATGACCTACACCATCTCAAATAATCCCGATTTCTGGCCGCTCATCAGCGCTCCTCGTTTGACTAGCTATTTTTCAGGTTCGTAAAGAGAAAATGGCATGACAATGTTGACGCCTCACTAACTTTGACTGTGGTTTCGCAGTTGCATGCGCTGTAGTAGTGGTATACGATTGGGGTGAGCGACATTACTTTCCGAAGGGATCATTGATATGTATACGGTACTCAAGTATTTTCATTCGCACAAGAGGTAAGTCGATGCCACGACCTGTGCAGCCATCTCACATCTCACTAAGAATGCTCGAACAGTTCGAACTGATCTGGGTGAGCAAAGTCCTGTGTCAGAAGAAAACAGGATAGTCCGGCTGAGTCCAGGCAGATGCAACGCTGGTCCTTCATGACTGCTCTTTATATTTGTGTACGTTATATTGTGCGCGCAGTTGACATATTTTACTGACTTCAACATACGCTAGGTCCGCAACATTGGAATACTATATTCTTTGTATGTTTGCAACGCTATCAAGTTGACACTGCACCGTACTAATAAACCATATCTCACAATCAGCAACTTCATACTATGTATGTATCCTCAAATACACGATTCGTTTCTGCTGACTGGCGGCATATAGGGTTACTCTCAGTCCCAATAACAAACGTGGTGGGTATTTAGCACCGTGCCTAACATTGCCATTCGACTACTAACTACACTCCTACACAGGGGTGAGTGACAATCTTGGACAAGTTGATGGTTAGACCTGACCGCATCAGCTGTAAGTTCATTCGAAGCATCGAGTCCATCGATGCACATCTAACACTGGGTTTTTCAGGCAATATTTTTTATTTTACAATGATATGGGTGCCTGTTGTCGTCAATGCCATGCTGGGCGGTGAGCTCATTTACCGTAACTTACTGATACTGACTTGACTGACATATAATGCAAGTCATTATGATGACTCGGATACACGCCATGTATGGGCGATCCAACAAAATTCTCATCTTTCTCGCTTTACTCTTGCTGGTTTCCACGATCGCCACCGGAGTCATGGCGGTAATTGGAAACCTTGGTTATTCGGGGGGTAAGCTTTAATTAACTGATGACAGCCTTGAGCACTCGGGACTCATGGACAAATATAAGGGGAGACCGTGCTCTCTGGTTATCATATCTGTGGTTACAATCTTGACACAGACGCAGTAGATCTGAATGACGACATGATAATACCCACCGCTATATGGGAGGTCCTCGCTTTTGTTCTTTCAGTCTGGATTGTTACAAAACACCTCCATGAACTGCGACAATCGCAGAGAGGATCGACCATTGGGGACTGTTTTACGGTATTAATACGAAGTCACATGCGGTACTTTCTAGCGTGAGCTCAGTGATTTGAATATTGTTATCTTATTTTGCTGAAGTTCTGCACGGCTAGCTTTGCTGTCGTGGCTTGCTTAACTCTTGGCGGTTTGTCTCAAAATTTCATGGTGCGCTGGCCTGCGACTGGTATCTGCATCTGACCAATCCTGATCATGTCCACAGCACTCGAGTTCGTTGGGAGCTGCTGTTTATGCCGGCGTTGCCAACATCGCCCAGGTGTTCCAGATGTGTCTGCTGGGACCACGTCTGATTCTCGGCGTTCGTGAATATAACACTAAGGTTGTGTCCAGGTCCGACGGGGGTTCACACATGACGTCAATTGTTTTCCAGGCTGGTGGAGATGCATTGACTAGCGAATATGTGTAGTTCTGGAATACTTAGTAGGAACTTTGTTCCGGTATTTATTTGGTGTTCTGGAGGATAGAATTATGTCTGGGCAATATCACGTTGCATCACATGTGGTACTAGCTGTTAATCCATGCATGCAAGGAGTCTACCGATGTCTCGCAATCATTCAATGAATCATGATGCGCAAGAGACTCTGGTTGATTTGGTAGAATCACGTGACATGAAAACCTTCATTCCAAATTTCCAATGGCCGGTCTTGTTATCATTCGATTCCCTCTGGAGTCTCGGCTGGGTGTGTGTTGACGTTCCATGACTGCCCTCAAGCCTATCACAAGCTGCTGCAGGTAAGAACTAGTCAAATTTCTCAAGGACTTATGGGTTGATGGTCGTCTGTCTGACGCGCAAGAAATCCATAAAGCCAAAAACAATCTCCGAAGTCAGGCTGTCATCGTCGACTGAGGCGTCTCCTTCACACATTTCTCACTGTTCGGTATTGTTCAATGCTCTGGACTCGACGGACATACACGTGCTTCTGAATACCAGTGAAATCCATTATCTCCGGCACCTATCAGTGCACAGTTGCCTTTGCGGAAGATGCCCAACTTCTGGTTTCCGTTATTTGGATACTCAGCACTGTCTGGGAGGTGATCGCACTGTGTTTTGCAGTCTGGATTGCTGTAAAACATTTTCGTGAACTGCGACTACATTTAACAAGAGGGATTATTGGGGACATGTTCACTGTGTTGGTGAAAACTCACTTGGTTTACTTTGTGGGGTGAGCTCATATTGCGAATACAGTTCCCTGATTGCACTGATGTTCTGAACATGCTAGCTGTGTTGCCGTGACTTGCTTCGACCTCGCGTATGCATATTCGGCGCCCTCTGCGGTACGCTAATCTGTCGCAGACCACTCTATTCGACCACCGCTATACTAGGATTCACTTTCTAAGGGACTTTCTGCTGCACTTGAGATATGCCAGCTCGTGCAGATGTTTGTGCTGGGACCCCGCTTGATTCTTGGGGTTCGAGAATATCACGCAAAGCTTGTGGCCGACTCTGATGCAGTAACCGGCATGACTTTCATTGCCTTCCAGGGACGCGTGCATGTGTCAACCAGCAGTAGTGTCTAGCACGAAAAATATTCGATGCACTCAACACTGGTTGGTTTTTATTGCAATTTTCGTCGTGGTACTTACTTAATTATTTCGAAGTAGACTTGACAGAGATATAAGGTCTAGAAAATGCACTGCCGCCGGCACTAGCTACCTACACAAGCTGAAACCTCCGCAATGTTACTTGAAGACAGTCGATCCAGTCAGAATTTCCTTCTTTTCTGTGTCATAGCGTAAACGAGTTGATACCATATAAGATTAGTTTCCTATGCTTGGCATGAGAAGGTGGGTGAGCGTGGTGGCGCATACACAGGGAGGCAATATTCATTCCATGTGATACTATCGTGAAAGCGACCTCTGGGATGTATATCCTTGTGTGGATTTCCGTCTGACGTATCACCTGTAGACCATACAGTGTGACTGCTGCGTCGCTTATACGGTGTCGTTCGTGGAATGACTGCGAGATGACTGGTCGGTGGGTTGATCGGGTTTGAGATGCCCCTCAGAGTGATGCATTTTTGTCATGGGTGGGAGATGTATTCGAATATCAACGCATGTGCAAGAGCAAGAAGAACAAGATGGACGACGACGACAATGCTGTAAAATTCGTTGTTCGCAGGGCGGGGGGGCAGACCATATGTCACGTGCCACAACACTCTGTGATAAGTACAAATTGGTGGCCCGGCTTTGGCCTTGGGTAAACTTGGGCGCTTGATCCTTATCCCACGAATTTTAAATTTACATGAAGTTCCACCTTCGCTTTGTATTAACTTCGTACATGTCTGTTTGATCCCAAGATTCCCAACTGCTTACTTGAAGTAAACTGCTTGTAGATATTTGCGATCAACGAGCCTGAAGATCCATCGTGATATAGAAGGAATATTTGTCTTCCTTCTAGTATATGGTTGTAAGCATGCTGCTTACGTGCATGTGATTAACGTGTCATACTTGTGATCCGTGATCCGTTGTTGATTGGACACCGCGTTATGATTACACGTGTTTGGCTATTAACATGGATCCGATATATATATCGTACTACTGATGTACTGATCTCTTATCTCTTACCGTACCTCGAATCCCACACGCTCTTCCACGTTATTGCTTCCTGACTGCCCGCCAGTGTTCTCTGTCGACTGTGACAGGGTTCCACTTTTTTTTAATGTTCAGCTGAGCGTTGAATGAAAACAAACCGTTAAACCGCCGAACTTATCTGTATCAGAACAACCGTTGGATATCGACAACTCGTCATATCCAATTAACTGTAACCGTCTCCCCCTCTCCACACCTTAGAAGAGTATCGTTGGGTATTGACCGAGGTCAACCCATCGGAACATAATCAAGCTGCCTCCGCGCTGTAATCAGATACCTATACCCCTGTCGGTCACGACACGCAGTCGTGATAGACTCCGATCACCGCCCGCTGATAACACACCCACGATCGTGATCGCACCCACAGTAACTCAACCGATCCATCCGATCATACCACCTTCTCGTTCTCACTCACGGATCAGCACGCATATATCCACTGATTCCGACTCAACCGACCCTCATAGTTCAATCACGCCCACAATGTCAACCACATCGAAACTTGCACGCGTAGAACAATCGTCCCCGAGTAAACTGCCCTTCCTCACATCGGGCGAGTTAACTCCGGAGGCGCTGCGCTCATGGGAAATGGGTTGTACTCAGTTCTTCCTACACAAGGGGGTGAAAGAAGAAGAGATGGTAAAGAAAGTCGCTTGGGGAATGCAAGAAGCGGTCATTCAAGACTGGTATATCAATGATCGCGAGCGTATTGACAAGCTCACCTTCACAGAATATATGACTGAAGTACGCGATTATTGGCTCCCTTCAGGTTGGTCGGATGTTGTACGCCGCAAGATGCTGGCTTCCACCCAAGGACAGAGACCCTTCAACGAGTGGGCGGTGGACATACAAAGCCAGAACACCTTGTTACGAGGAACAACATCCCACCTCAAAGAGATCAACATTCGCTATCACCTAGAATCACATATGAATGCGGAACTCGCTGCAGATTACCACGCAGAAAACATAACAGAAACCGAACTACGCAAGTGGATCGAGAAGGTACGACTACTCGACGAACGGCGTGTACGCTACCTCGTTCGTCAACGTGAAGCCGTCGACACCGCCCTACGCAACGAGCGTGCACGTTCCAGCGGAGAGAAGAAATTCACAGCTGGAACACGCTTCAATACTAAGGCAGGACAGTCCACAACCTCCTCGACCACTACCTCGTCCAAGCCTTTCACACGTTTGCCCTCTCTCACCGACACTGAACGTCAGCTGCTTCGGGACAATGACGGATGTTTCAAGTGTCGCGAGCCTTTCGCAGGCCACACTTCAGCCGCGTGTCCCAAAGGATTCCCAGATGGCGCTTCATACAAACCTATAACCGCATCATCCATTGCGTCGAAGAAACCAAAGATGGTCGCCGCGGTCGAGGTTAATGAAAATCACACTATCGCGGTAGTAATGTCCTCTGCAGCCCTCGGCGACGGAACAGATTCAGAAGAAGAGTGCGTGGCCCCGTTACAAACTCCCCATTTACGTTGGGATTGCCATGTGGACGGGCCAGCTATTTCCTCTTCTATCGTTGTTTCTGCATTAATTGACCACGGATCGTCTTTAGTTCTGATTGACGAGGATCTCGTTAACAAACTCGGTCTTCGACGACACCAACTGTCAAAAGCCCTACCAGTATCACTTGCAATGTCTCAAGCCAACAAACCTCTCGTTCTTTTGCAATATGTCAAAATTTCTTGTTCTTCCCTCGATCATGTTTACAAATCACGAACTGTACGCGCCGTCGTGGCCCCTAATCTTTGTACACCGCTTCTACTTGGAGGCCCCTTTCTGCAACATAATCGAATCATTATTGATCACGAGATGCGTACTTGCATAGTTAAAGATACTGACTACGACCTCCTTCAACCGCCCATAGTTCCAGCCCCCCCGCCTGTTCGAATTTCTCCCTCCGGTCCTCAATTATTCTGGATGAAGCGCGATGTTGTTAACGAACTCAAAAGCGTGCTGCCTGAACTCAAATCAATTGTGGACAAGGAGTGCGAACCTGTACAAGGTGGGGATATAACGGCGGCAGTTCGAACACGTATCACCGAACTCGAATATCAAGACAAACTAATCGCAATGGACGCAGCAGTAAAGTTAGAGTTTAGTGATCGCTTCCCCGCGGACATACCTCACAACGATACTATGCCCTCTGATGTCCTCTTCCGCGTACACTTGAAGGAGGCTAACAAGATTGTCCAACAGCGTTCATATGATTGTCCCAAGAAATATCGAGCGGCCTGGAAGACCTTACTGAACGCACACTTAGAATCAGGTCGCTTAAAGGAGTCCGCAAGCGAGTGGTCATCCCCGTCTTTTATTATCCCGAAGGCCGACCCTATGGTGTTACCACGCTGGGTAAATGATTTCCGCCTGTTAAATGACAATACAGTCCCGGACAATCATCCCTTACCTCGCATCGACGAGATTTTGAAGGACTGCGCCAAAGGCAAGTTCTTTGGAAAAATTGATATGACTAATGCCTTCTTTCAAACGAGAGTACATCCCGACGACACAAAATACCTTGCAATACACACTCCGTTCGGTAAGTACGAGTGGACGGTCATGCCTATGGGAGTCCGCAACGCCCCCTCCGTTCACCAACGCCGCATGACCACTGCACTATGACACCTCATCGGTAAGATCTGCCACGTGTATCTCGACGATATTATTATATGGTCGCAAACACTCGAGGAGCACGAGGCGAATGTCCGACAAGTCCTGCTGGCCTTACGCGCCGCACATTTATATTGCTCACCGAAAAAGACCTCACTTTTTAATACAGAGATAGATTTCCTCGGACATCACATCTCCGCCAGAGGTATCGAGGTCGACAGCTCAAAGGTCGACAGAATATTAGACTGGCCCCAGCCACGAACAGCAACAGAAGTACGAGCCTTCTTGGGCATTGTGCGCTACTTATCAGACCACCTGCCAAACGTCGCTAAGTACACTCGCGTGCTTGCCGCTCTAACAACGAAATCCGCAGAATTAGAGTTTCCCGAATGGACAACAACGCACGCAGAAGCCTTTCAAGCAATAAAGAACTTAGTCGTCAGTCCAGAATGCCTCACCACCATAGACCACGATAATCCCGGGATAAACAAGATATTCCTGACTTGCGATGCGTCGGACTACGCTACGGGTGCACTACTTTCCTGGGGACCAACACGTGAAACTTCTAGACCCGTAGCTTTCGACTCGATGCAACTCCGGACAGCGGAACTCAATTACCCCGTACACGAAAAGGAGTTGCTGGCTATCATACGAGCGTTAAAGAAATGGCGCTCAGATCTATTAGGTGCGCATGTTGATGTGTTTACTGACCATCGGACCCTTCAGAATTTCACTACGCAAAGGGACCTTTCGCGCCGTCAAGCGCGTTGGTCCGAATACATGTCGCAATACGACATGTCTATTCATTACATCAAGGGTGAGGAGAACGAGGCCGCTGACGCGCTATCTCGAAGAACAGACACAAAAACTACCTCAGACATCTGTGCTGCGCTACTCACTCTCCGATCAGACGAGTCTCTCATCAAACGCATCGTTGAAGGGTATACAAACGACCCTTGGTGTAAGAAACTAAATGGTCTCTTAGATTCCTTGCCAGGTTTATCACGCGACGACCAGGGTTTGTTTTATATCGCTGATCGATTGGTTGTGCCACGCGTAGACAACCTTCGCGAAACATTATTTAATGCCGCCCACGACAGCACTGGTCACTTCGGAGCCGACAAGTCTTACGCCCTACTACGCGGATCGTATTACTGGCCCAATATGAGGAGAGATCTCGTAGAATCTTACATCCCCTCGTGCAGCGCATGCTTGCGAAACAAATCAAAAACCACCGCTACCACTGGTCCCTTACATCCGTTACCAATTCCAGACGGGCGTGGCGACTGCATCAGGAAAACAACAACTTACTTATTTCACTTTTTTTGTCACTTAATTTAATGAAAAGCGAATGATAAGTCATTTGAGAGAAAAGCGTGAACCACTTAAAAAAGCCCACTCAATTTCTGGAGTTTCGCTTTTTCAACACTTATTTCACTTAAAAAAGCAGACAAAGCGGCACAATTGTTATTGAAAGGGGGGCATACAAGTAGAAATAAGCGTAGATTAAGCAGACTCCCTAAAATAAAAAGTTGGGAGCCATTCGAACATAAGGAGAAAAAGGTGGGCATGCGGGCAAAAGCGATGATGGCGACATATATCTACTGTAGGGCGGCGGCAGCGGTACAATGGCTTGAAGACAAATCCTGCAGCAATGTAGTATATGATGTTAGCGGCAAGACGAAGTCTAATAAATAAAACTTACAGATCATAGCACGCTCGTCCTCGTCCTCCTCGTAGTCGTTGAGCGAGCCTGGTATTTCAGCGACGTCCTGTAAAATAGCGCGCGCCATTTTTACCGTAGCCTCCACGTAGCCGGTGGGTTTGCTAGAAATAGACTTGAGGTACGAATTTGTAGCTTTGGACCAGCGAGCTGCCGAAAATAAGAATGGCGCATTGGTTTTTTTTCCTGTAGCCTTGTTAAGGACCTTGGGAAGCTTAATCGTAAACTTTCCTCTCGACGCAGACAACAGAATCTCTTGAAGGTTGAGTTCCTTACGCGAGAACATACCAAGGGCACGCTCGAGCTGGAAAAAAATGAGTGTGATTAAAGCATTTAAGATTGAACTCACCGCCGCAGCAGAAAGGGCAAGAACACGTGATGTCCCGGTCGTTGCAAGCGCTCCTAAGTCGAGGGAAGGAACCTCCACATAACCATTGATGGCGCTGAGGTGCGCTCTACCATACAGCTGCAGTATAAATGGTGAACGATATGCTGTGAGGGGGTTGATATTGTCGGGGTCCTCGTATAAAAATGCCCAGCTGGCGAGAAGGGAAGATGCGAGTTCACTGGAATTGCAGTCAGTATTGCGTGCCAAGAAGTTGACGATTATGACAATGGCCGTTGAACCAAAATTACTGCGCCATTCGGAAATACGCTGTGCAGTCTAATCGAAGATATAACATCAGTTAAAGCTGGACATAAATCGGCGAACTTACAAGTAAATGTACCACACCGCCGTGAACAACAGCAATCTTGAGTTCGTGATATACCACGTTGAAAACGAGCTGGACGTGATGGAGCAGGACGTCATCTGGAATGCTCCAGATGTCTTCATAAGTTCCTGCCCACATCATTATGGTAGGGAGGAATGTCTTGGCCCAGCGCTGGTCTGCTTGCATCGCCGGAGGCAAGTCAGCCGTACGATACGCGCCGCGTGACTTCATATGCTCTGGTGCAGTATCCACGTTCTGCTGGCGTTTTCGGGCAGGAGCCTGGGCTTGGGCATGTGGGGTGCCGGAAGATTCAACTTTCACCTTTTTTGGAGCAGGCGGCTTGATGTCAGCATTAGAGGTGGTCGCAGATGTCTATACAAGTGTCAGAATAAACACTATTGAATTCCAAGGGTACTTACCGAAGTCGTCATGCGCAAAACCTTCTCCTTTTTCACTACGATAGGGTTAGCCTGTGGCGGTTCACTATCGGAGTCCTCAATCAAATCTTCAACATTGTCACGATCGATGTCCATGGACCACTGGGACTGCTCGTCATTGTCTGAGATAGAATCGACACTTGCTTTCCGCTTGAGGGCCGCCGTGGCTATGTGATCGTCCATCTGTGTGAACGGAGCCTCAGGCTCCTGCAAGTCTTCATCCTCTTGCGTGAATGAATCCATGAGTTCATCGTCCGAGTCGAATTCTATTGGTGGTATTTGTGTGAAGGGAGCCTTGGGCCCGCCGCAGTCTGAGTCCTCGTCAAAAATTGAGGCTACCTGTGAAGAAAATCGTTAGCGGACTGCACCAATTATTTATGGTCAATTACCTTAGATTTCCCCTTCTTTTGCTTGCTATCCAGGCAAGCAGCCTCACGCTCCAATGAATCGTCTATCTCATCCGCAAAGCCACCAGTAAGGTCATCATCTGGGATACAATCAGCAACTTGAGTTGGGGGCAGGGGAATCTTAGTCTGAATCCGAGGCTGATCAGCCGAGGTTGCTGCTGAGGAAGCAGTGTCATGCGAGAAAATTGTCGTTGGAGGTGCTCGGGTTGAAGTGCTGGATTGGCGGGATGATTGGCGGGACACTGACTCCAACTGTCCAGGCCTGACCCCCGAGACCCAGTTGGTCACTCGGCCACCTAGTGCGAATTTCTGAGTAGCCGTGTTGATGCTATAGGTAAGATTGAGAAAATAGAGTGTCGATTCAGTTAGGAGCAACATTGTGGTGGTGAGAACTAAATCTTACGATGATGGCGTGGAGCCTTTCCCATCAGCACGTGCCTCAAGCTTATCGCCATCACCTTCTGCAATCAACGATGACTCGCTGATTTTCTTTTGCACATTGCTGATAGCGTCTCTGATCAATTTCTTTCCACTTCTCTTAGCAGCCTTCTTCCCTTTCCCCGAGGTTCCATGATCCACGGGCTCAGCAGCATCCTCTGCCACATCAGCGTCTGGTATGTCATCTAATACACTATTAGTGCAATTGTCACCTTCCTTTACAGTACCCTTTGTCGCCTTTCGAGCCTTTGGCTTGGGCCGAACGGGAGTCGCCTTGTTGGTGAGTAACTCCTTCTGTACCTTCTCCATCTCAACCTGCATACCAGCAAGGCGCTCAACTCCCTTTTGGACCGCCGCTTCTTTGGCTTCTTTGGCTTCTTTAACGGCAAGATCGTCAGCAGCCTTCTGTGCCTTGGTGCGCCTCTTGGTCTGTGCGTCGAGCACTATTTTTCCAGGTCTGGCGGTTGCATTTGATGCACGGGTACGGCGGGAAGCTTCTGTGGAAGACATTGTGACTGGGCAGATGGGCGACTTGGGGGTGGAGGGATGGTACGTTTGCTGGAGCAAGAAGGAAGTAACGGGAGTTGGTTGAAAAAATTCGTAAGTCTCACCCCAATGGGCGCCGCCTGTGGCGCTTGCTCACTAATCGGCATCTGTTGAAATATGTCTGGTTTGAACTTACTTTTAGTATTACACACCCCCAGCACCTCTCCACCAGCAATTATCGAGTGCTCGTGTCGTTTGTCTTCCAGCTGGGATGTCTCAGAGCATGCGCAAGGACCACAACGCACTTCAAATTCCATGCGGCTACTTACACTGCGCTCGCTACTTCAAGACTCAAGGAGGGCGCAAAAAGCACTGGAATGTTTCCCACCCAACATTTAGACAAGCCACCGTCTCGCATACTGTCACGGTCGAAGACGAGCCCGAACTACCGGTCGACAACCATCCTGCAGGCAACAACGACCGCCCTGCGGACAATAATGACCTTCCAGCAGATTTATCTGACCCGGGACAGGCATTTGATGAGTCCAACAATCCGGTCGACGCAGACACCGTTTTTTTCGGGCCAGGTGATAGATTATACCGTAACTATCACCCTAAACTAAACGGTACGTTCTTTGAAGCTTTCTGGTGTGTTGCAACTAACCAAAGTTGATATAAGCGCGTCCATGTGATGCAATGGGACACTTCCTTGAAGATGGAGCACCTCCAGCGCCACCTCCAGACAAGTCGCCCGACGACTGGACTCCGTACCGAGATCGGGTTGAGTTTGAGACTGCGGAGTTTCTGTATGTCCGCAACCAAATGTCCGCTGGGGATATCAACATACTACTGGATCTTTGGGCCGCAACCCTCCTGAAATACGATGACAAGCCGCCATTTGCAGACTGCCGCGACTTACACAGAACGATCGACAACACACCATTGGGCGATGTCAAATGGCAATCGTTCAAGGTACGGTACACTGGGGAGAAGCCAACAAGTGATGTACCACCCTGGATGGACCAGTCTCATGATGTGTGGTACCGTGATCCCCATGAGGTGATTCAGGGTATGTTGGGAAATCCCGACTACGAAAAAGAGATGGATTACCGCCCTTTCCGTGAGTTCTCAGCTGACGGCGACAAACGACAATGGCAGGACTTCATGTCCGGTGATTGGGCTTGGAATCAAGCCGTACGTTTTATTTTTTGTTTTCTCTAGCGACCCAAACTAACAATCTTTCATAGGACATAATCTCTGAAGATCCGGATACGCTCGGCTCAACTTTCGTGCCGGTTATACTCGGATCTGATAAGACCACAGTTTCGGTGGCGACTGGCGCGAACGACTACTACCCCTTATATGTATCGATTGGCAATGTTCGCAACAACGTCCGGCGTGCACATCGTGACGCCGTTGCCATTGTTGGTTTCCTTGCTATGCCCAAAAGTAAGTCTCATATGCCTTCCGTTGTTCTGCACTAATTACAGTCGAGCAGCTACGAAGGAGCACGCTGCCGATGCAATATATCGGAAATATCGCCGACAATTGTTCCACTCATCCATCGCCAAGATCCTGGAGAACTTGAGACCTAGCATGACCAAACCAGAGGTGGTTCGCTTTGGCGATGGCCACTATCGGCGTGTGATTTACGGGCTTGGTCCGTATATCGCAGATTACGAAGAGCAGGTCCTTCTAGCATGTATAGTGCGCGGCTGGTGCCCCAGGTGTGTTTTTATCCTCTGCCTCAGTTCTAACTACTAATGTAGTACTACAGGTGTATGTCCAACTGCAAAAATTTAGATGAGAAGTCGTTGTGTCGGTGTCGTGACCACACAGAGGCGCTGATCGAGGAGGTTGCAACATCCCTCGCTCTGTGGGATGAGTACGGGATTGTTGGCGACCTTGTTGTAAGTCTCATATGCGTCTCTAATGCAGCCGAGATTCACCCTTTCTAGCCGTTTACCAACGACTTCCCTCGCGCCGATATACATGAGTTGATTGCACCGGATCTCCTGCATCAACTCATAAAAGGAACCTTCAAGGACCATTTGGTCGAGTGGGTTGGGAAGTATTTGGTACACGTACATGGTAAGAAAGAGGCAGAGAAAATTCAAGATGATATAGACCAAAGGTAGGTCAATTTGTCCTGATTAAATATTTCAAAGCTCACATCATAATAGAATTTCTGCAGTCGCCTCCTTCGCGGGCCTTCGACGTTTTCCAGAAGGTCGAGGATTCAAACAATGGACAGGTGATGATTCAAAAGCGCTTATGAAGGTAAGTTTTTTTTTTGCACGCTATCACAATGTTGCTACCATTAGACTAACAACTATCTAGGTTTATTTACCCGCCATTGAAGGCCACGTCCCAACTGATGTGGTGCGCACGTTTCGTGCATTCCTTGAATTCTGCTACCTCGTACGGCGTAGTATCATCACAGAGTCCACATTAGGCCAAATCCAGGACGCTCTCGACCGATTCCATCATTACAGGGCTATTTTTGAGTCCACCGGCGTCGTTTCCACGTTCTCCCTCCCCCGACAACACTCGTGCACCCATTACATCCTCCTTATCCGACTTTATGGTGCGCCGAATGGCCTTTGCTCATCAATCACTGAGACAAAGCACATCAAGGCAGTCAAGGAACCATGGAGACGATCGAGTCGCTACAAAGCACTCGGTCAAATGCTGGTGACAAACCAGCGCTTAGACAAACTTGCAGCAGCGCGCGTGGATTTCAAGAGCCGTGGAATGTTGAACGGCACCTGTCTGTCTGCAATGCTTCAAAGATTAAGTAAGTTTTATTGCTCTCTACATTGTTGCCGTGTGCTAAATATCTGCGCTAGAGCATTTGCGCTTGAATAAGGATCCTGCTGCCACCAACGAGTCCAACCACGCCAACGACAATCTTTTGGTGCTGCCCTCCAACCCCGACGTTACAATACTCGGCGATAACGAAGAGGGTGAAATCGACGACAGCCCAACGCTGGTACAAGCCCACGTTCAGTTGGCAAAAACGATTCGTAAGTTAGCTAATATTTTCAATTGAATAGTTTTCTAATATAATCCTTCCCATTGTGCAGAACGCAAACGTGCACGCACTATCGCTAATCTATCAACAGAACTCGGTATCCCCCATCTCTACACCCTCCTCCGCCGATTCTTATTCGAGCAAGCGAACCCAGACGACCAGCGTGCTCCCTCTGACATCCCGCTTGCAAGATGTCCTCAATTCGATGGAAAAATTCAAGTGTTCAACTCTGCATCGTCAATGTTTTATGCACCCAGCGACCGCAGCGGGATTGGCGGCATGCGCCGGGAACACATCCGCGCCTGCCCCGTTTGGAGAAACGAAGCACCCCGGTATGACTGCGTGTTCGTTAACATGGATGCAGATGTTGAAGGGATGGGGGGCATGGAGGTAGCCCGTATAATGTGTTTTTTTTCATACACATTCGAAGGTATTTTGTACCCATGCGCTGTGGTACGCTGGTTCGACAAAGCCAGTGACGGGCCCGACGAAGACACAGGGATGTGGATCGTTAAGCCTTCTTTCGATACAGATAATTCGCCGTTCATTGGAATCATCCACATCGACTCGATCTATCGCGCCGCGCACCTTGTTCCAATCTATGGAACACAGTTCATCTCACGCGACCTCAAGCACTATGATTCATATGACGCTTTTCAAGCGTTCTACGTGAACAAATTCGCAGACCATCACGCATTTGAGATTGCGTCTTAGGAACCCGGTGAGCACAACTAGACCATGTTGCCTACTATCACTCACAAGCAAGCGATCGAAGAGTTCGACGAGCGTAATGCCCCGCACCTACTACCGAGCGATCGAGGAATTTGGCGAGCGCAATTCCCCCCCTCTACCTCTCCATGAACCCCTCCCCTCACTTTCAACAACACCCACAGCAGCAGCAGCAGCCTCCTCTGAATCACGTCTCGCTCATGCCCACCAACCCAATGAATTTATTCACCATCACTCACAAACGAGCGATCGAAGAGTTCGACGAGCGTAATGCCCCGCACCTACCGAGCGATCGAGGAATTTGGCGAGCGCAATTCCCCCCCTCTACCTCTCCATGAACCCCTCCCCTCACTTTCAACAACACCCACAGCAGCAGCAGCAGCCTCCTCTGAATCACGTCTCGCTCATGCCTGCCAACCCAATGAATTTACTCGCTATCACTCACCCACCTACTACCACATCACTCATCAGAACTTGTCACCAAATCCCCCCCCCCCCCTTAATCTAGATGGGCCGTGTAATACTTATTTGACTTAATACAACTTTTCCCACTTTTTCGAATCATCCTGACTTGTGAGCTTGAGCGCACGCTGAATTGACTTTTGAGAAAGTCTATTAAGTGAAAAAAGTGACGTTTCGGTTTCATTTCTCAGAAATTAAGTCGCATTAAGTAAAAAAAGAGACCGGTGGTTTTCCTGATGTGTGTCGCCATAGACTTCATTGGACCATTACCTGAAGACAGCGGGTTTAATATGATTGTCTCGATGACTGACCGTTTAAACGCTGACATTCGTCTTGTTCCTTGTAGGGACACTATCTCAGCGGAACAATTCGCAGGTCTATTTTTTGACCACTGGTTTTGTGAAAACGGCTTACCTCAAGAGATTGTATCTGACCGGGATAAGCTCTTCATATCTCGATTTTGGCGCGCATTGCATAAACTAACTGGTGTAAAATTAAAGATGTCGTCGGCATATCATCCTGAAACGGATGGCGCAAGTGAAAGGACCAACAAAACGGTTAATCAAAGCCTACGCTACTACGTGGATCGGAACCATAAGGGTTGGGTTCGTGCCCTGCCACGTGTACGGTTCCACCTGATGAACTCTGTGAACGCGAGTACCGGTTTCTCCCCTTTCCAACTCCACCTTGGACGCTCGCCAAGAATGATACCACCATTGATCGCAGTTCCTCACGCAAATGACCCGGAAGAAGAACGCGCTAGACAACTCATCTCGCAACTTACGCACGATGTAATGGAAGCCCAGGACAACTTACTCGCCGCCAAAGCAGCTCAAGCATCGAACGTCAACAAGAATCGCGCCCCCTCGCTCACGTTGCACGTCGGGGATCGCGTTATGCTCGCTACCAAACACAGACGGAGAGAATACATGCAGAAAGGTGATAAAAGAGTGGCCAAGTTCATGCCAAGATACGACGGGCCATACACGATACTGGACGCACATCCCGAGAGCTCTACCTACACCCTCGATCTTCCTAATTCCCCAAATATCTTTCCTACATTCCACATCAGTCAGTTGCGACCCCACCATGCCAACGATCCCGAACTCTTCCCCACGCGTGAACATCCCCGGCCCGGACCTGTGGTGACAGAAGACGGTCAGCTAGAGAATTTCATCGAACGGATCATAGATGAGAGGAAGGTTGGTAGAGGAAAAAGGTATCTCGTGCGCTGGGTTGGATTTGGAGAAGAGGATGACGAATGGCTGCCCCGAAAGGACTTGGTGGACTGCGAAGCACTTGACGTTTGGGAGAAAGGACGTTCTGAAGGATGATGGGGAAGGATGTAAGCATGCTACTTACGTGCATGTGATTAACGCGTCATACTTGTGATCCGTGATCCGTTGTTGATTGGACACCGCGTTATGATTACACGTGTTTGGCTATTAACATGGATCCGATATATATATCGTACTACTGATGTACTGATCTCTTATCTCTTACCGTACCTCGAATCCCACACGCTCTTCCACGTTATTGCTTCCTGACTGCCCGCCAGTGTTCTCTGTCGACTGTGACAGGGTTCCAATGGTATGACTACGGCGGGCCCGGGAGGCTATCGGGTGACAGGGCAGTGCTCTAAGGCCCTCGCTGCAGACTCCGTGAGTTTCCGAATCAACTTTGTGCCGTTTGATCAAACCTAATTCCCAATTATATGACATAGGTGCGTTTTGTATCCGATCTTTAACTATATGTAGTCTGGCCGCCAATGGCCAAACAACTCATGTGCCTTTGACGGACCAAGTGTGGCTTATTTCTCGGTAAAACTAATGTGGGGGCACTCAAGCTGCACCCCCAGCCCTGTCTGTCACTACAGCATTTCAACTTTCTAGTAACCGGCCCCAGGCCCTCCTGCAAATCGAATTCTGTCCCTATGATTCCTTATGTCATCAGCCGTTCACAAGATATAAGAAGGTGTGTACGAGAATCCTGTATCTCCACACTTATCGAACAGACGCTCTGAAATGGAGTATTCGGCGGACGACATCGCAGCAGCCGAGATTATGCAGTACCTAGCAGTGCGTTGTTTTCTTAATATGAGGGCAAGGTAATAACAAATGTATGGCCACTAGTACATATGCAGTGGGTGGTGTCGGAATTGCTCCTTGTTGTTCGCTCTAACTTGATAGCTCAGCTATGCTAGCGACATTCTGGGTAAGCTTGTCTGGAGCGATTCCATCAGTCGTTAAACTCGCTTATCCAGACCTATGATTACATTTGTTCACTTCACAGAGAGGTAACGTACTTGTGCTGTGATACGCCTCGTTTTGAATGTTTACGATAGCCTCTCCAAAGTGGAAATTCCTGCTTCAGTCCCGCTGGAGCATGGTGAAAGCCCTTTATATCATTGCACGATATGTTCCCTTCGTCCTCATCACTGTGGACGTATATCGTGCGTTCATACAAACACACACCTGATAATGAACTGATATGTTGTACCTCAGTGAACTTCACCCCGAACGAGAACCCCAATGTATGTGAACGTGCGGCGGACTTCCATCGATAGAGACACTTACTGCATTACTTCTCAGAAATGCCGGATAATGATCATTGTTTACTCAGGTACGTTGGCAGTAGATCTATATGCGCGTCCTCGCTGAGCGCTACTCTTTCCTCTCACAGGTTTCTGCCAGATATCAGTCTCTTGCTCTGAATGTATCTCTTCTTCCTCCACCACATATACATACTTCTGATCAGAATCATCAAGGCTTTTTTGTCCTCAGAACATATGCGCTCTGGAACAGCAACAGAACAGTACTCGTAGGCTCTCTGTCTACCGTCCTTGTGAGTCTCATGCCCTCAACACACTTCAATTCATGTTGATGTTTCAGTCAGGCTATCGTCGTGACATCCATAACCCTTCGTTTTACGACCGTTGTCACCTCTCCTGGTTAGTGCTCTCGCCTCCTACCGCTACCAATTTGCACTTATGCACTCCACATTCATAATTACGACTAGTGCGATCCCAGGTATCACAGGCTGTTACTGGACCTCACGCAGTGTCCAATATTTCATGTCCTTTGTTCTCTTGTTTGTATTTCAACTGGGTATGTCGCTGGGAACTGGGAGCATAAATTACAGACGTGTGCTGACTGACACTCTCCCCAGGACTGGTCTCCCTCACACTCATACGTGTCATACAGAGTTGGCGGTCAGCCAAAAGTAAACTGCACGCCGTCCTCGTGAAACACTACATATTTTACTATGCATGCGGTCTCTGTGAGTCAGGACTTATGCGTGTTTCCGTGCTCATCAGTGACGATTATGTTCTGAAAGTTTTCTCGGCCTTGAATGTCATCATGCCAGTGATATTTTCCGGTGTGCGTAAACCTCCAAATGCCCTTCAATATGATTGAGTTGACGTGACATTCAGCATACACAGTCCACATACTTTACCATACTCGAAGAGTATGTACCTCCAATTTCTATTGTGAATTCCTACTGAGAACACCCCCGAACACACAAATAGTATACAGGTCTTCATACTTGCGAACCTCGCCACGCGCATGCACCTCGATCTCTGGCATATCGATCGCGAAGTGCACGGCTC